AAGTAGGTACATGGTCTGACAAGCAGTCATGTTGATATATGTAACTACAATATCTCCCAATGACAGATAGGCCTTGTTGTCTGTTTGTCTACATACCAGATTAATGAGTTTGGTTAAACAGGCACTTTGATGTCCAGATTCAGATGACTTGAATGGAATCTGCATCATTTGGAGAGATTGATGAATGAAGTCTGGTCTTTAAGGCGGGATTGTTTGCAACTGCATATCTTAAATCTTCCCCAGCATTTAAGGTCCTGACAGTAAAAAGTGGCTGTCCGTGCTCTTCCTGGCAAAAGAAGCAAAAGTCCTTGACCTATGGCATTGTAGACGACCGTGTAAATGGTGCGGATGTTTCCTCATGGAGATCTGTTCCTTTCCTTTTACGTCCTCTCTTTTTAGAAGGTGTGGAATCATCAACAATTCCTTTCTGTGTCCTGTCTCGTGCTCGCTGTATTTGATCGCTGTTAGTAGCATTGGAGTATTTGATGCCAGGCAGCACTGTGAGATGATAAAGTCTCTGTCACAGCCTTCAAGTCTTCGCCATATACCGGTATATTCACCATCATGGACATTCGCTCGTTCCTTCAAAACATGGAGTAAGCGGTTGTAAGAATCCAATCTTGGATGTGATACTAGTAGGGATGATCCATGACTTGCATTCTCTTGGCACAGAATACAAAGATTCCAATCTGTAGTGACTGATGTTGATATCTTCTGACTCACTTACCCAATACAAGCTGTGGTAATGATATCATCATTTAGGTTGGAAGTTTCCTGAAACAAACAATACAGATCATAAAGTAAAAACAGAATAAAATAGTATTTTTTTGGTTTTTATACATTTCTTTGTACATTGTTTGGCAAAAACAATAAAATAAACGCCTCTATTTAAAAGATTTCAAAATTTTGGAAATATTACAATACTTCAATATTTGAAACTTTTGTGAATCCAATAGAATACAGTCGTGCCTCGTTTATACGGACACTTGCGTCATTTCACAATTCGTCCGTATAAACGAATTTCCATAAAACTGAAACCAGCTTCTTACTGGAAGAGTTACTTCCCTTCAGTTATGCAACTCATGACAGATGACAGAGCAAACAGATACATCCACTCAATCTTTATTCATACATGTTTAAAAAAACTTAAAGTCTGTCATGGAAGTTTGAACTGTCACCAATTGACGATTTTCCTATGGTATGTCAAAATTTAGGGCCATAATGCTTACTGATGGTTTCTAAACTTGCTGACGGGTGTTTTTCTTTAAACAGACAAATTTCCCTTTTTTCGCGTGCTGTAACTGCGTGTTGCTTACGTTTCGCTGGTTGACAGGCCATACTTACACAACTTTGACCTCTGACCTCCACAGACGCCATATTTATCGAAGGGGATTACATGTACAATAAACAAGCTCGTCTCAAAAGTAACTCAGTGTCACTTGGTTAATTGACTTCTCACGAATCAAAGGATTACCACCAGCGGAAGTGTATTGTCCGGCTAAGTGAGACAATTTTGTGTGCATTTCAGTGTTTTGTGTATGAAAATGACCATCCGGTTCCGGAAACTGAATTTCCGGATATACGGGTAAATTTATATAGTAATTATTTCGTTTTGAATGAAAATCGTCCCGGAACCGAGGTTTCCGGATATCTGAAGTCCGTATAAGCGGGGCATGACTGTACCTTTCATTCACCAACAAGAATAATATGAAAGCATTAAAAATGCTTTCAAATGTTATGTTCAGTTATATTTTTATAAAGTTGTGTTATTTAGTAAAAAAATTCATTTCAAGTCTTCATACTAGAATTTGCCATTATTCACAGTTGTTAGGCAAACATTACTAAAAATGTTTGATGTATACCACAATATCGTATGGGTTTTATTTTTCAAGTGAAATTACCAAAATATTTAACGTATCATCTGAAGCCTGCAAAAGTATTGCTGTAATTAGTTGTCTGGACACAACAATATGTGACATACACACAGGACATTGGAGTGGGGCCATTTTAAGGATGTATGGAGAATTGTTTTTAATACACGCATATAAAATTATTGAATGTACGTTTAATGATAGACATGCTAAATAAAAGTATATAAATTATCTATGAAAAATTTAAGAAACAAGAATAATTGCAATATTTCTCAAATGTAATTATACTGAATCCCTAAAGGGGCCCCAAAGTATCACAGCATATAACTTTTATGTAGCATATCTTGAGCTAAATAGGATAGTTTACACTAAAATTGAAATTTCCTGCAACTGAATATACGCTAGGAAGCATTTTTAGTTAAGTTTAACATGTAGCAAATGGCTGCAATTTACGTTTAATGAAACAGATCAAGCCTATATTTTGTCAATCGTGTTATTATGAAGAAATTATGGTCGTTCAATTTCCCAATAATTATCAATGAACCAACATAGATAGCACATGGCATAATATTCTATAAATATTCACTCACCTATGTAGATGAACTTCAGCGGGCATTAGTTGATGATAAGCCTTCCTTGATGAAGGAAAAACTCTTCTTATCAGAGTTGTCTCAGCCATGTTGACTTGAAAGGTCAATGTTACAAGGAGAGATAACCCATTTTCATAATATTACCTACAACTAGTCATTATTGCTGTCATTTACACTGACATCAAGTGGTCAAGTTTGAGCGTCATTTATTAGAAAAGTATGGACCAAAAAAAATTGTAAACATTGGGTTTTATGTTGAGTAGGCTCTTTAGTATCTAAAAATATATACAGATGCAAATCTAAACAAAAGTTAACGATAAATTAAAAACTTGACTATACAATACAATGGACTATCAAAAAGTCCTAGTCAAAAGGGGCTGTTGGAGGGGGTAGGGGAAGGCTCTTATGTGCCGTGTGCCGGGAGCCACAAAAAAGTGCCAGTCAGCGAGAACCCAGGGGACATTTGGGTTGCATAGACTTGCGGCAAGTCTCATATAGCTAGAATACTGCTGAGTACGGCGTCAACGGGGCACTGATCTAAAGCAATACCCCGGGACTGGTTGTTCCCTTTGTTATTGTTTTTTCCCCGTGAGTACCCGGATGATATAGCAGAAATCTAGACTAGTTCGCGACATGTGCTGCGCCATTCGTAACTGCATTTGTCGCTTGTATTGATAGTGTAAGGACGTATAGTCAATATGATCAATAAACTGAAATACAGTTCAGTCTTGAAAATAATACCGAAATGTAGCTATCTTTGCATAGGTAATGGTGACGAAGTTTTGATATGTCGCTTGCTTGGTATTGTGTATTTTCGTTTACACTATTTTGACTTGCAACACAAAGAAAATACTTCACCTGAGCATTGCTTTTTTTATCGTGTGTATATTTTATTGTCAAAATGTGTAACATTTTCACTTAGGCAATTTATTAAACGCATAAATATTCAATTATTTTACAAATTGACAGAAAAATCTGTCCATTTCTGCTATTATGATAACGCATTCCAAACATTTTTTATGCTTTACTTTCATGACCCAGTGACTGAAAATGATAGGATTAAAAGATTAAAAGAAAACGAAATTCAAAGTACATCTCTATAGTTTTGGCTTCTAATCCTAGCATAATTTGTCTATTTTGATGTTTAAGCCCCTTTAAACCACTTAATAATTGTCAGTCAATCTGTTTCATTAATGGAGAGATGTTTCAGTCAATTTGTAAATTACTGAAATATTTAGACATTTTATAAATTGCCTGAGGGAATCACATTTTCACATTGACTGTAACATATACACGCATACAAACGAAAAGGCTTACGAAAACAACGTCTGTCCCGCAGCGAAGAACTTCCCAACGAAAACGCAGAGGAACAAAAATGATTGTATTCAAAGCAACAGCAAATGAATGAAAACAAAATGCAAATGTCATAATTACAACCTACCAAAGTTATATGTATAAATTTAGGCAGCTACCTTGTTCGAGGAATGTATCCGTGAATATCCCACATAAAGGAACGATATCCCATACGTCTACAGCTGTACAAATAAGCTTATTCGATGTCACATGTCTCTGTAATAATCAAATATTTCAAGATATATAGAGAACCTCACCCGAGTGTCTTTTGATATGAAATATATCAACACGAATTGATAAAAGTGGAAAAATTCCGAAGTCTGTGGAGTCAGAGATGAAGGAGTCGGCTGTTTTTCCTAAGGGGGCAAGGATTCTGGTTAGGTGTTGGGCCGTTTTGTAGAAGACAGTATCTCGGGAACACACAAGTAGACGGGCTTTAGGAGGGTTTTTGTGGATTTTGATGGTGGCTCTGGCATAGGGTGGTTGGGGGTGATTGACGGAGAGTTGGTGGTGAAAAACTTGGCTAATTGCAAGGTTGTCTTTTAGTTGTTTGAGGAGGACTTTATGTTGGCGAAGGAGTTTGACAGTTGGGTCCTTCTTGATCTTGGAGTAGGTGGTGGGGCATTGGAGGATGTTGTTGACTAGGGTTGCTGAAGCCCTTTCTCGATGTTGGAGATGAGGTCATCGTGGTTCCGTAGTGGTCTGGTGGGGATGTATACTTAACCAAATTAAAAACTTCACAATCCTAAAATTTTAACATTTTGACCAGTTATCATTGTGGGCCCTATAATTGTGTATTTAAACAGATTCAGATTAAATAATTACCCCAGACACATGAAATGCCAAATGGGAACCTTTGTCTGGTATTCTGAGTGGAGCTACCACTAATTATACTTGTAATAAATTCATTAAATGCTCATGCCGAGGAAACATGGATGACAACAAGGGAGTAGCAATCGTATTATCCACGCAATCCGGAATCCGAAAATGCTTTCACTTCAGTGATACGTTTTATTATTATTAACTATAACCATCAGGGGTATTTCCAAATATGAACATCCTATGAGCTTCCATCGTTCTTTTTGTCTGTGTGTTTAGGCTGAAGGAATTTATTAACATGTGCCCTTTGTCGAAATCGTCATACATCACGGGTAACAAATCAGTGTTCAAAAATTGGTAAAACAGATACTGCCTCGAAGTTTATTTACGCTGTCCTTACAGACGGTAGCCCAGTCTCTTGTCACGCTCAGTTGCGTAAGCGAGCAAATCGACTCACGGCAGCTAGTGAGCCCCAGCGGGCAGTGTCAGACAGCCGAGAAGAAGACCGAGAGTAGTTCCCCTTTAAAAAACAAACAAACAAACAAATATTGATAATTAATCATCATTTGTCACCATGCATTTTGTCGCTAGCCCGTCTAGCGTAAGGTCCAGCGCCATAACTGGGATGCTGAGAAAAAGCAAAGCAAAGCTTTGAAATTCCTCCAACATTTGAGAGAATTACCCCGTCGCATTCGCATCACGCATTCATGCAAGGGGCTTTTGTGCGGATTCGTACAGTTTGCACATTGGTTTTTCGATTCATACCTCAATGAACCGAAAAAAATACAGTCAATCCTTAAATGACACTACTAATGGCTCTGCTACTGAAGCTGTTAGCAGTACTTTTTCCACTTAGACACTGTTATTACTGTGTACAAACTGAAAAAAGTTGGATGAATGATGTTGGATGATAAATAAAATCTCACCCTCGTATCTTTTGATATCAAATATATCAACTCAATCCCACCTGCACTTGTTCCCAATCAGCCACATTTGTCTCAAATTGGACACGATGTTCATTAAACTTGTTGTTCGGATTAAACTGTAACGCCGGTTCTCTTGTCATTCCTGGTTTCGGCTGTCTCGTATCTGGGTCATTCAGTCAGACACTGTGACAGCAATCGTACTTTTTTAAAATTTACCTACTTTTCGTAACTTTCCTCTAACATGACTCTTGTACATGCCGTATATGTTGTTCTTATAGGTTTGGGCATTTTTGTCAGATTGACAGATTTTCCGTGTTTCCTTTTCTCAATGTGAAATGCATGCCTATGCCGATGACGGCGAGTCTGTCAGTGACGAGACCTTCTCAAAACAAGCCTTGATTAAAAAAAACCGACTTGTCTTCTATTATCAATGCTAGACAGTTTACGCAGTGTAAATCAGACAGAAATATAACTTACTGCAATAATGTGATCTTTAAAGGTTTTAAACAGAACTATATTTTTCAACACGTTAATATTTGAGTGAGTGGACACTGTTGACACAAAACAGCTGATTCTTGATCGGCGACAGTTTTTTCCCCTTTGAAACACGTTTTTAATATGATAAGGGGTAATAAATAGAATAACCCACTCGGTACGAGTGATCACGGAAAATATGTCACTCATGAAATTTATGTTTTAAGTTCCTCGCTAAAGCAACATTAATTTCACCTCGCCGGTTATTCTATAAAAGTATTTCATTTCTCCATAGGGACGGTGGGGTAGCCCAGTAGTTAAAACGTTTGCTCGTCATGCTGTCGATTCCCCACATGGGCACAATGAGTGAAGCCCATTTCTTGTGTCCCCTGACGCGATATTGCTGGAATATTGTTAAAAGCGGCGTAGAACCATACTCACTCTTCCATATACGTCAAATATGATCATGTCGTAGAACCATACTCGCTCTTCCATATACGTCAAATATCATCATGTCGTAGAACCATACTCGCTCTTCCATATACGTCAAATATCATCATGTCGTAGAACCATACTCGCTCTTCCATATACGTCAAATATCATGTCGTAGAACCATACTCGCTCTTCCATATACGTCAAATATGATCATGTCGTAGAACCATACTCGCTCTTCCATATACGTCAAATATCATGTCGTAGAACCATACTCGCTCTTCCATATATGTCAAATGTGATCATGTCGTAGAACCATACTCGCTCTTCCATATACGTCAAATATGATCATGTCGTAGAACCATACTCGCTCTTCCATATACGTCAAATATGATCATGTCATTGAACCATACTCGCTCTTCCATATACGTCAAATATGATCATGTCATTGAACCATACTCGCTCTTCCATATACGTCAAATATGATCATGTCGTAGAACCATACTCGCTCTTCCATATACGTCAAATATGATCATGTCATTGAACCATACTCGCTCTTCCATATATGTCAAATGTGATCATGTCCTAGAACCATACTCGCTCTTCCATATACGTCAAATATGATCATGTCGTAGAACCATACTCGCTCTTCCATATACGTCAAATATGATCATGTCGTAGAACCATACTCGCTCTTCCATATACGTCAAATATGATCATGTCATTGAACCATACTCGCTCTTCCATATACGTCAAATATGATCATGTCATTGAACCATACTCGCTCTTCCATATACGTCAAATATGATCATGTCGTAGAACCATACTCGCTCTTCCATATACGTCAAATATGATCATGTCGTAGAATCTCATCAATAAGTTCGTACCTGAAAGTTGCAGGCGGCCAAACTTGTCGAGGCGAAATGTCCATACGAAATGTTTGTGTTCAGTTTTCCTTTAATTGTGTCTGTCATTTTCTTGTTGTTTCTTGATTGTGCAAATGTAGCAGCAATCACAGGACGAACATGTAGTTTCCGGGCGACATCGCATCTAGGAAGTAGCTGTTGCGGTTCGTCTCCCTGTGTAATTGTTCTTCTACTTGCCAATATATTGTGCCTTTCATTTCGGGATCAAACGTTATACGCCTTAGCAGTTCCTCTTCCGATTTTGTATTTCCTGTAAATCTATCAAACAAACAGAACGTTTCCTTTGAGGGTGGCAAGTCAGTGTCGGAGTCAAGAGCATTGACTGGAGCTACTGTTAGCCATTCTTTCATGTAAGGAATACTCTGAGAAAATATCCCTTCATTAGCTTTCTGTATGGTTCTCAGCAGCTGCTCCGGCCAAGCGTCCCTCGTTGGGAGAGAACATGTTCTTCCGCCGCTTGTTTCCATGGCGTGACATCATAGGGGCTAGTCACTTATGATGACTGGCGGTTGTCTTGACATAAATCCATGTGGTCTCTCACGCTTCCAGGCCTCAGTTTGTTTGTTTGTTTGCTTGGTTGTTGTTTAACGCCGCACTCAGCAATATTCCAGCTATATGACGGCGTTCTGTAAATAATCGAGTATTGACCAGACAATCCAATGATTGACGTTATGAGCATCGATCCACGCAATTGGGATCGATAACATGCATCAACCAAATCAGCAGGCCTTGACCACCCGATCCCGTAAGTCGCCTCTTACGACAAGCATAGTTGCCTTTTACGGCAAGCAAGGGTTGCTGAAGACCTATTCTACTCCGGATCTTCAGGGGTCCTCAGAATACGTTTGAATGCATACACTATTCTATGGGGGCAGGACGCTGATACCCATCCGCCTGAACGAATATTAACATGGTCATTAGTCAAGGAAAATGGAGTGATGGTACACATTTGATTTAACCTTGTTTTAACAGTAGTTATTTTGCATCACTTGGCGTGGCGCCTGAATGTGGGAACACACACAGAGCGCACACTAACATTCAGCAATACTCTAAATTGCATGTTTCGATTGATAGTAAGTCAAATTCATCATTTAAAATGCCATAGTATGGCGTAATTACCAGAATGGCCCCATATGCTTAAAATGACTTGTTGAAGGTTGATTTGATTATCATCTTTTCCTTCAAGCTGTTGACCAACTCCAATTTGGTCCCTTTGGCGTCTACTTCCATCTTTGTGCACCAGTACCGTACACCCAGAACCTACATGATATGATATAGATAATGTTGAAACCACGAGTGAGTATTTTCACTTCGATCGTGCCGTATCGTCTTAATATTTGACATCTCAATGAGACACCATTCCATGTTTTAACATTATGCTACCAAGTATATGTATCGAGTTTCGTTTGTTATCTGCTTCGTGAACATAAGGTGTACTTAATTTGTTTCATTTACATTATCATACAATTTACAAACAAATGAGACATGGATTTCAACTTCAATATCAATATTAGTTTGGCTTACTATATCTAAGTCTTACAGGCTATGTATAAGCCCAAACTACTGCATCTGAATCTAGTTATCAATGATTTCAAATACGTTTGGATAAAGATAGATAAATAGAGATTGTATAAAAGGTTAAGTGTTATGATATTGCATACATAGTTGGGAATCATCTACATCTAATGTCAGTCATTTGATTGTTAGTTTGTTTATTTGTTTAACACCGCTCTCAGCAATATTCCAGCTATATGACGGCGGTCTGTAAATAATCGAGTCTGGACAAGACAATCCAGTGATTGATATCATGAGCACCGATCCAAGCAATTGGGACACGATGACATGCATCAACCAAGTCAGCGAGCCTGACCACCCGATCCCGTAAGTCGTCTCTTACGACAAGCACAGCAACCTTTTACGGCAAGCAGATTTGGATAGGTTTGTTTGGCCCCAGATATAGATGATTCCCAACTATGTATCAACTGAGTGGAGACAGAACTACATCAGGGGGATTCTTCAATGTCTAACAATAACATTAAACAATCATTTGGGAAAACTGAGAGCGACATCGATTCCGGCTAAGAATGATGCAGGCTTTGAAGCCACACAGATCAGGTATATGTCGAGTCACCGAAATGAAGCGTCCATACTAAGCTATGACAGAGAATGCTCGACTTACCAAAAGAAATCACTGAGCTCCACACTGTCGTCTATTGCTTCGGGAAATCCAACCGCGCCGCCTCAAGCGGTAATCCCCGTCATCATCAGCCGCAGTATGACTCAAACACACACCCAAAGTTCACAGAACGATAACAGCCATCCATTTTCAGCATCAGCCGGGTCTGGACTTCTTTCCAACGCAAACTTTACTGTTTGCAACTTTTATTTTAAGCGAGTGACATTGCCGTAGCCGCCATTTTCTGCCGTTTGAAAAACCAAGAACAGGACTATGTAACTAATAATAATAACAATAAATAAAATCGCAAAACAAATAGTAGAGCTGCGAGTTGTTGTTTTTTGTTACTATTATTAGTTACATGGTCCTGTGAACCAAGGGATGTCACTCCATGCAAATGGAATGGTAGGACGGATGACGTCACGACGTCACGAATCTCCGCGTTGATATAGTTCGCTTTAAATAATTAACGTTTGATGTTTAATGGATTGTTTTGTTATGATTTATGTATCTGTCAATATAAGGATTGAAGTTGTACGACAGCAACTCAGCAAGCGTTAATATGCGCAACAAAAAGGAACGAAGAAGCGCAATTCAGACAACGGACCCTTCCAACCATCACCGCGAGTCTTACAGTTCCTTACCCATGCATTGCTGTCTTTTCAGTCGCGATTTTGGAAAACGAGTAATTGTGCTAAGCGTTGTGTTTTCAACAGCACGGCACCGAACAGAACAGAACAATAGGCTGCGCCTCTTAGAAGCTAGAATCACACACCTGTACCCATTCGTGACCAACTCGTGTTATTCCGGGACAAGCCGAATATCTTCTTGCAGGTTACGGAAAGGGGCGAGTGGTGACGAATGACCTGTACCCACACCAACACGTGAAACGGGTCTAATAAAGTCTTATGACGTCATTCCTTTATCATTTGGCACCAATGACGTCATATTGCAAGGGGCATACGCCATGGTGTGTTTATTTAAGGATTGACTGTGTATTTTGTTCGGTTCATTGAGGTATGAATCGAAAAACCAATGTGCAAACTGTATGAATCGCATACACAGTCAATGCTTATAATTAAATTCGACAACATTAAATATGTTTTATCGACAACAGTTTAACCAAAAACAGTTGTATATATCAAAACAGACAAAAATAACGAGATTGATAAACATTCCAGGTGTAGGAATACATACTGTGGCGTCATATGAATCAGATGATCGTTTAATTTATGCACATAACTTGACGCCTACACAGTCAGTAGCCAATCAACGGAGTGGTGGATCAAAACAATGTTCATTGGACCTGTCAATTAAGACAAGAGGCGAAAAGAACTGCAACAGTCAGACTGTAACGAACTGGAAGAATTTGTCCGGGAGAAGGCGACTGTTTAAAAAAAAAAGTACAAGAGAAAAATAGGCTTATTTTCGTGTGAACTTGCTCTGTAATATAAACTCACCGAAAGTTGACAACGCGCATCACTCTCCTACCCAGAGTTCCATGCGGCCGGCAGCCAGCTAGCATAGTACGTGGTGTTATGCTGAGTCACCACTGCGACGGAGTGTGAACGCGCATAGGGAGCCGTAGACCACGAATTGTGACGTCACTACAATTGTGATGTCAAATTATGCTACATGACGTCACAACTAACTACCGTAAACATACAAGGGTATCTCTAAGGCCAAAATGTCTGGAGAGGGGTACAAGTTTGTACAAGATGCCACAAATGAATTGCACAAGAAGCTAGACGACTTGGAGAAGAGGGCTGTGAGTCTGGGAGAACACTACGACAACCTGTTAGAGCGAGCCGGCAAACTAGAGCAGTGGACTAATGAATACATGTCTAGGATTGAGAGAGATGGGAAGCTGTCAGTCATAGTGGAACTTCTCATGCGACGGGACAAGAGGTCTGAGCTGTTACTGGATTATGTTTGTGTGTTCTTTGAAGTTGTGCTGAGGAAGGTGCAGAAGGCAGGTGTGCCGGTAGCCTCTATAAAAGATCTATGGTTGGGATTAGGGGAGGGAGCAACAGAGAGAGCCTTCACTGCTGTCACTGGAAAACTTGGCTTTTCTAAAGCAGAGGTGGATCCACTCTGGCTTCTGTTCGAGGTGGTTCACAATAGAACATTAATTGAATGTGGCACAGGCAAGAGTTTGACAGAGACAATTGTGAGAGGGAGACGGGACGAAGATGATGAAGACAGTTCGTGGATGCGGGATGCGGACGTTGCTAGTCTCATCCTCTATTTGCAGATACAAGACGGGCTACAGACGTCGGTGAGGGGAGCCCTGCGACGGGTAGTAGCTGTAGCCCATTGTGGACTTATGGGAGCAGACGACACAGAAACATGCCTCAATCTTGGAAGTGTCCCGTCGCCAGAGCTTGCATCACGTTTCCTCACGTCAACTCCGAAGACAGCTAAGAAAACCAGACGCTCTTCATCAGCAGAAGCTTCCACCACAGAGTTAATGGACACTCCAACTGCTGTGCGTCCTGTTATCAGTACCCAATATGCCTGTTCAGCGCATATCACAGATAGGTTAGACTCGGCTGACCTGACACCTGGGAAAGGACGGTGTCACACTGGTGACGACTCCACGTCCATGTCAGACACGTTTGAGACAACACGTGGTCACCAGAATGACAGTCGTGTCTCCATCACACACCCGGAAGACAAGTCTGAGTTGGGATCCCATGGCGACCGTCGTGCATCCTCCACAGATGAAGATAAGTTGAAATCTGACAGTGATTGCCACGTACCTGCGAGTAACGCGCGGGACATGCTTGGCGATCAAGCAAGCAGCATGTGTGACGACACGTCTGGAAGAGGGACCCATGACACACGCGCGGATGGCTGTGAAAAATGTGTGCGCTTCTCCGCTCAAACCGCGACGTCGGAATGTGACAGTAACGATGACGTCCGAGACCTCGCTCATAGCGTTGACGACATCCAGGTAGAAAATATGTCGAGTTCTGACCTTGAATCTGCATCATCATCGTTTTCATAAATAACATTCCTGCGATGACCATCCATCGAATACATTTTTTATTATTATTGTTTTTCGTGTGAATCTGGACATGTATACAGCTTAATAAAATGTCTATTGTACACTCTCAGACACTTTTGTTTTATCTGATCTTAATTACTTGACATGGGGCTACCTTGTCACTAATCCCACGAGGACGGAATCGGTGCCAGAACAGATATGCACTGAAGGCTGAACATGCATTCATTACGACGATTACAGCCATTAAAAAGTATTCTCATTACACAATCAGGACGCCATTAGAAATTACAATCTCTTGCTGTGTGACAGGTTCCCAGAAATGATTTGGCGCGTGAAGCCCACCAACACTGATTGTAACAGGGCATGTAACTAAATATAAGCACGTGTTTCTCTTTTAAATTTTTTTATCACCTTAATAATGTTTTTTTTTGTTATTTAACGCCGCACTCAGCAATATTCCAGCTATATGACGGCGGTCTGTAAATAATCGAGTCTGGACCAGACAGTCCGGTGATTGATATCATGAGCATCGATCCACGCAATTGGGATATGATGACATGCATCAACCAATTCAGCGAGCCTGACCACCCAATCCCGTTAGTCGCAAGTACAAGCATGGTCGCCTTTTACGGCAAGCACGGGTTGCTGAAGACCTATTCTACCCCGGATCTTCATGAATAATTCATGTTTTAACCATATTTCATTTATGAAAAACTACTGATTTATGATATTAAAAAATATATTGAAAGAGTATTAAAACTCAAGTACAGGGATGTGAGCAGGTTTTCCCGAAAAAAGAGGAAAAGTCTAGGGGGGTCTGGGGGCATGCCCCCCCAGAAATTTTTAAAACATTTGATTGCATTTTAAGCAATTTCGTGCAGTTTGGACAACATTCACACCAAGAAATGTAATAAGTCAATGGCAAAATTCAATAAGTCAAATAAACAAGATGGCAGATGCAGTAAAATTTCGAAGTTAAATCAGTACTTTTAAAAAATCGGGCATAGCTTTCGCGCACCTGGCTACCGGCCAGGTCTGGGAGCAATACTGCCATAAACTTCAACCCCCATCCCCCAGACACAAGGACAACTGTCACAAGCGTGCAATGTCTGACCCTTTCCCCATGTTGAAGCATATTGAAAAAAACTTACCTTGTACTTACCTTTTGATGAAAAAAACAAAACTCCATTGCAAACATAAGACATTAATACAACATATATCCCCATGACATGGGGTTTTGGACGCTGAAGAAACATTCATAGTTTTCTTGCTTATCACATGAACAACTGTAAAACATCTCATTCACTTACAGGCTAAAAGACAACTTTATCTTAAAAACAAGCCATCAGCTGACTCTGAGTATTTACAATTTATGTGTGACGCCACACCCCACGTTATAGTGCAAGTATTCGTGACAGAAAACGTATGATGTCCGAAAACCTATGCTGGTGAAAGCTCTGATCGAAAACAGGATAATCCGCGCCAATTGTCCGGTTTTCGATCATATTTTTCGGAGTGTTTTTTTTAAAAATATTATTAAATTTTTACGCGGAAGATGATTTTTTCCGAGGACTACTGTTTTAAAAAACGCGATTTTCCGCGTTTCCGCGGAGATTTCACATCCCTGCAAGTAGACAGTCAGTCATGATTGTTTGTTTGACTTTTATTTAAAGGGGCACTGATCTAACGCAATTCCCCGGACTGGTTGTTGCCTTTGTTATTGTTTTTTTCCCCCTGAGTACCCGGATGATACGCAACGCAACTGAGCGTGACCAGAGACTGGGCTACCGTCTGCAAGGACAGCTAAATAAACTTGGAGGCTGGAGGCAATATTTGTTTTACGCATTTTGGCATAAACACTGATTGGTTAACTGTGATCTATAAAGATTTTGACAAAGGGCGCATGTTAATTAATTTCTTCAGCCTAAACAAACAGACAAAAAGAACGGCGGAGCTCATCGGATGTCGTCATTTGGAAATACCCCAGATGGTTATAGTTTAATACTAAAAGAAGTATCCATGCAGTGAAAGCATTTTCGGATTTCGGATTACGTCGATAATACGATTACTACTCCCTTGTTGTCATCCACGTTTTCTCGTATAACCCTACACTTGTGTATTTGTCGTCATTCACTTGATGCTCAGTTAATGAATTTATTACAGGTACAATTAGTGGTAGCACCACTTAGATTACCTGACAAAGGTTCCCATATGGCATTTATTGTGTCTGGGGTAATTATTCAATCTAAATCCAGGTTTGAAGTGAGGTGAAATGTGTGTTATGTAATATGCACGTGGCAGCCCAGCAAGAGATGAATGATCAGTTGATTTACTTTTTTTTGTAAATCAACGGATCGTTCCTAGTCATCAAAGGATTAACAGAAAATACATTGATTGATTAATCACTGTTATCTTGCACAGTGGATATGTCAAAAGTGAGTGTTTACATGTCTAGGTTTACTAAACCAAAGGGAATACACTCATATCATGGCGTGAAGTGCCGATGTAAAAACAACATACTTTGTTCAAAGGGTTAACTGATAATACGTTGATTGATTGATCATTGTTATCTATCACTCAATGGATTTTTTAGGAACCGTGGACGTTATGAAAATAGTCGTCACGTGGGCTTTCTCAGCCGACCCTTGAGACTTGACACCTATGTGAAACACCTGAAACAATCCAAGTGATCAGTTGAGAAACGAACACGGGTTATAATATCCCGAAACGATATATATCTTTTAAAATATTTGATTGTTACAGAGACACGTGACATCGAATAAGTTTCTTTGTACAGCTGCAGACGAGTGGGATATTGTTCCTTTGTGTGGATATTCACGGATACATTCCTCGAACAAGGAAGCTGCCTAAAATTTATACACATAAATTTGGTAGGTTGTAATTATGGTATTTGCATTTTGTTTTCCTTCATTTGAACCGATAATTCGTTCTTGTTTCTCTACGTCTTGGTTGGGAAATTCTTCAATGCGCGATAGACGTTGTTTTCACAGGTCTTTTCCTTTGTAAGCGTGTATATATTACCGTCAATTTGTAAAATGTGATTCTTTCAGGCAATTTATAAAATGTGTAAATATTTCAGTCATTTTGACGAAAACATCTGTCCAGATTGATTAAGACTATCAAAAGGGCCTACAAACATCACAACAGATTATTATGTAGGATTAGAAGCCAAACAACATAGAAATGTACTTTTCAACGTAACATTTTCAGTCTCTTGGTGATGACATTAAACATCAAAATGTTTGGAATTCGTTATCATAATAATAGAGATTGAAATATTTTTCAGTCAATTTGTAAAATGACTGAATATTTAGACGTTTAATAAATATGTTACACATTTTGACAGTAAAATAATATACACACTATAAAAAAGTAATGCTAAGGTGAAATATTTACTTTGTGTTGCAAGTCAAAATAGTGTAGACGAAAATCGCAAAATTACCAAGCAAGTGACTTATCAAAACTTCGTCACCATTACCGATGCTACCCACAGAGATACCTACATTTCCTTATTATCTCGAAAACTGTATTTCATTTTGTTGATCAATGTGACCATACGCCCTTATTACTACCAAAAGTCACTAAAAGTGACTAATGCGCTTACGAATGGCGCAGCAGAGGTCGCGAACTAGTCTAGATTTCTGCTATACATCCGGGTACTCACTGGGAAAAAACAATAACAAAGGCAACAACCAGTCCCGGGGAATTGCGTTAGATCAGTGCCCCTTTAACGCCGCACTCAGCAATATTCTAGATGTAAATAACGACCCAACCCGTCGGTGTAGTACAGTACGGTGACACGTAATCGACCAAGTCACTGAGCCTGACCATCCGATCCATTTGATCGCTTCTAAGTCTGGGGACCAATTCTCACTCGGAATCACCACGGGGGTTTCAGTTAGAGGAAGACGAAGAAGTTAAAAGTATTCTTGAGCATATTTGGTTAAATAAGACAATGCTAACATAGCAATTACAACAGCAATATAGAGTTTGTCGTATTGTCACTGGTCCATTTTGACATGAAAACTTGCTGGTCGGACCACATTCATGTCAGTTTTGATTGCACCCGATTTAACTTTCAGTGGAGTAGAGTGGCCTCCCTTGGGTGTTTATAGTCTAAACTCTTATAATTATACCAGCGTTTGATACCTTCGCTGACTACCCTCCCAGGATATCGGCAGCAATTTCATTTACATGCTTGTTTACAGTTGTTTATTTCCGTGACTGACTACATTGTTCAAACGCTTTGAGGTAGCAGTTTCTTAAAGGCTGGCTATACCTATATGAGAGCGAGACAAGGGCGAGCACATGCCTCATTAAAGAATTTATAGAATCGACCTTCACTTTGTGTGAGTTCATTGGAGTATGAAGCTCCGACGTTCATACAGTTTGGCCCTCACTCTTCAAATCTTATAATTTATAATCACAATTTCTTACCTCAAGGATGTAGGCCAAGATCTAAACACAATTTTATTTAGTACGTGTGATATGTTTACACTGACAGCCATACAACAACCAGCTATATCGCGGAGTAAAATAGTTCCTCAAAAAGAGAGGTGAAGGTCTGTAAAGAACTACCTCAGTAAGTCAGTCACAATGACAGCGCGTCGTAATACATTTACATCAAGTACAAAAATGGCCGACACGATAAACGTGACGGGAGAGATTTGGCGCAAGTTGACGACGCGCATAGGGAGCCGGGAACCAGCTTAGCATAACACTATGCTAGCTGGCTGCCGGCCGCATGGAACTCTGGGTAGGAGAGTGACTTATGAACGTCAATTTTGTGGTCATGTGACCGACCTCTCGTCCAATGGAAAAGCCGTATATCGTGTATACTTCAAATTAAAAAAATATTTAACTGTGAAAGATTCTCGACATTCGTAACCTCACTGACTTCTGTAATAGGGCCTGTTATTTATTGCTTCTGCCACATATTTGACCCATGGTATTGGCTTCTATGATTGTAAACCTCATCCTGTGTATTTCAATAGTGGTTATTGTTCGTTGATTTTGCGCGGTCATTTACTGATTTCACAACTTGGATCTGTCGGTACCGATTTCTAGGTTAATCTTCGCGTTTCAGGTTAGAAATCAACACATAACCCCGGGAAGTGGTATTCCCTAAAACCGTTTTTTTAAATCTCCCAATGGTAGACAACATATGCTTTGATACGTTGAGTCTGCCCTGATATAGTAAAACAACTACAGACTTAACATGAAATCAATACCTGTTTTCATTGGCCTGGAAACCCTCAATATTCCAAGCATGGCGTCCAAATTGTGCAATATCCTTTGGATAAAACAGAGGCCATAATTATACCGACACCACTCGTCGATAAAAATATAAAACTCCACATCAAACCTTGGGAGTTTTGATCTTTTATCGGTTACAGCATATTGATATAGTTGACATTAAAAGGGTGAGATTCTCTATCATGCACCAATAACAAATCAGGTTGTGCAGGCATCATTCATAAATGAATTCAGATTACGATATTTGAATGATCCAGTATAAGTTTCAATATTCCAGCTATACGACACTATGGCAGCCTGTAAATAATTGCGTTTGAGCCAGAAAAAAGTGTTTGTTTTTATGATCAACATCATTCATTCTGTTGCGTCAGAATACACAGGACAACAATCAGCCAAGTCACCTGAGCACCAGATAAATAAACACACAACAGTACTCATGTTCCCAAACATCAATCATTGTCATCAGTCTTCTTAACTACAAATTAAACATTAACAATGGTCTTCATTGTTTTATTCAAACACAACAAAATTCATGACAGCATGAACATGTACGTCCATCATGACTTTGAACACAATTCACTCAATACTCAGGAATACACACTACTTTCTCTTCCAATGTAAATCTACCTATAACCTACAATGGTCATCTGAGCTTGGTCTGTTCACATGGTTTTGTGCTGTTCATTTGCTATTTGTGACATGAAGGCAAGAGAACTCCCACCATCTGCTTAGTCACAGTTCAAACACCCAATGATAACAAGCTCCTGTGTTCCACACATTTGAGACATACAATATACTTTTACACACTTCTTAAGATTTTAATTCTATTGAACACTTGTGAATTTAAGGGTTAACAGATCTGAGTTGAAATAGTAATGACATCCTATAACCCGACCCACAAGTGCAGCTGTTTTGTGATCTCATCCACGAACAGCGCCACAAGTGCCGCTGTTTTGTGATCTCATCCTAGAACAGCGCCACAAGTGCAGCTGTTGTGTGATGACATCCTATAACAGAACCACAATTGCAGCTGTTGTGTGATGACATCCTATATTACAGAGCCACAAGTGCAGCTGTTGTGTGATGACATCCTATAACAGAACCACAATTGCAGCTGTTGTGTGATGACATCCTATATTACAGAGCCACAATTGCAGCTGTTGTGTGATGACATCCTATATTACAGAGCCACAATTGCAGCTGTTGTGTGATGACATCCTATAACAGAGCCACAAGTGCAGCTGTTGTGTGATGACATCCTATATTACAGAGCCACAATTGCAGCTGTTGTGTAATGACATCCTATAACAAAGCCATAAGTGCAGCTGTTGTGCTATACTTTAGCCTTGATTGGAACATATGTAATTCAAAGGTTGGTTTTATGTTCAAAATAGATATTTGCTGGTCTATATATAAATATATAACCCAGCGTATAAATGACATCTGACATCCTGAATCTCTCTCACCTATATACAGATATACACAACATGCAACTGACACAGTGAACAGCTGACTATTTCACAGAACTCAACATTCTCATATACCATATATTCTCTTCCTCCAAAAGTAGTAGGCATGACCAAAGGACTAACAATATTGCACCTCCCTTAAAGTGTATATTTTTGGCAAAATGAGCATATTTGTTTTACTAAATAAAATAAAAAGTCAATGAGCAAATTACAATGAACTACAGTAGTAACTAATAAATACAATATCAATAAAGCATTGTTAATAAATAACAATGGTTTCAGGCCAGTATAAAATAACAAATCATAATGTACCCACAAGCTGTCAGGTACCATAATAAATATATCAATATATACAGACATTATAATTGTTCTACAGACACCTCATCTGCAACACAGATATATCAGTGAATAAGCCCACGTTGCCTGGAAGTGATCAGGACACAGCTGTACCAGTGAGCAAGTCCACGTTGCATGGAAGTGATCAGGACACAGCTGTACCAGTGAGCAAGTCCACGTTGCATGGAAGTGATCAGGACACAGCTGTACCAGTGAGCAAGTCCACGTTGCATGGAAGTGATCAGGACACAGCTGTACCAGTGAGCAAGTCAACCTTGCATGGAAGTGATCAGGACACAGCTGTACCAGTGAGCAAGTCCATCTTGCTGGCACTTCACGACCCACGTTTGACATACTCCAAATTTTGTTCATTTCTGTATCAATAATTGTGGCTTGAAACTGTGTCCTAACACTCAAATTATCAACTATTTCTCCTCTTCTCTGGCCAATCAACCAGTGACATTGTTTGGCAGCCAGGATGACTCTCCGTGGAGAATTCAAACCAACCCAAACACTAATACTGACATCATGCTGAGTACTTGTCAGACTGGACACATGCCATAGTACTGCAGGTCCCTTTCTGATGCATGTAGCAGTGTTGTGGGAAGTCTCCACCAGACCCCTGCATGTGCCCCTGTTGCACTCCCTGTTACACTCCCCTGTTACTCTCCCTGTTACACTTCCTGTTGCACTCCCCTGTTACACCTCCTGTTGCACTCCCTGTTGCACTCCCCTGTTACTCTCCCTGTTGCACTCCCCTGTTACACCTCCTGTTGCACTCCCTGTTGCACTCCCCTGTTACTCTCCCTGATACACTTCCTGTTACACTTCCTGTTGCGCTCCCTGTTACACTCCCTGTTGCACTCCCCTGTTACACTCCCCTGTTACACTTCCTGTTACACTCCCCTGTTACACTTCCTGTTGCACTCCCTGTTGCACTCCCTGTTACACTTCCTGTTGCACTCCCTGTTACGCTCCCTGTTGCACTCCCCTGTTACACTCCCCTGTTACACTTCCTGTTGCACTCCCTGTTGCACTCCCTGTTACACTCCCTGTTGCACTCCCGTTACACTCCCCTGTTGCACTCCTTGTTACACTCCCTGTTACACTTCCTGTTACACTCCCTGTTGCACTCCCGTTACGCTCCCCTGTTGCACTCCTTGTTACACTCCCTGTTACACTTCCTGTTGCACTCCCTGTTACACTCCCTGTTGCACTCCCCTGTTACACTCCCCTGTTACACTTCCTGTTACACTCCCCTGTTACACTTCCCTGTTACACTTCCTGTTACACTCCCCTGTTACACTTCCTGTTACACTCCCCTGTTACACTTCCTGTTTCACTCCTTGTTACACTCCCCTGTTACACTTCCTGTTGCCCTCCCCTGTTACACTTCCCTGTTACTCTTCCTGTTGCACTCCTTGTTACACTCCCCTGTTACACTTCCTGTTACGCTCCCTGTTGCACTCCCCTGTTACACTTCCTGTTGCACTCCTTGTTAAGCTCCCTGTTGCACTCCCCTGTTACAATTCCTGTTGCACTCCTTGTTACACTCCCTGTTGCACTCCCCTGTTACACTCCCCTGTTACACTTCCTGTTACACTCCCCTGTTACACTTCCTGTTGCACTCCCTGTTACACTCCCTGTTGCACTCCCCTGTTACACTCTCTGTTGCACTCCCCTGTTACACTCCCTGTTACACTCCCCTGTTACACTCCCTGTTGCACTCCCCTGTTACACTCCCTGTTGCACTCCCCTGTTACACTCCCCTGTTACACTTCCTGTTGCACTCCCCTGTTACACTCCCTGTTACACTCCCTGTTGCACTCCCCTGTTACACTCCCCTGTTACACTCCCTGTTACACTTCCTGTTGCACTCCTTGTTACACTCCCTGTTGCACTCCCCTGTTACACTCCCCTGTTACACTTCCTGTTACACTCCCCTGTTACACTTCCTGTTACACTTCCTGTTGCACTCCTTGTTACACTCCCTGTTACACTCCCCTGTTACTCTTCCTGTTACACTCACTGTTACACTCCCTGTTACACACTGGGCACAGCTGATGCTGATCCAGTTCTCTCACGTCATCAGCATCAAATCACATCCTGGTTTTGTTTCTTCAAAAGATCATGAAAATGGAGACAATCATCAGCTTGCGTGTACCCCTTGACTTGAACGTCCACCTACCTACACAGTAGGCGAATACAGATCTGGAAAACTGGCTCTACTCTGGCCCTGTTCCCAGTGGAAGGCATAAAATGACCTGTTCCCTTACATCCGAGTTGGCATAGTCTATGCCAATTCCTGTACAAGATTGCAGGGACTGACCACGTCCATACAGCGCTGTAGTGATTTACAGGTGACTAGTCGATATGGTTGTATTGCCACACAACTCTGCAGTGATGTACTGGTGACTAGCACAGTATGGTCCAATTGCCACACAACTCTGCAGTGATGTACTGGTGACTAGCACAGTATGGTCCAATTGCCACACAACTCTATAGTGATGTACTGGTGACTAGTACAGTATGGTCCAATTGCCACACAACTCTACAGTGATGTACTGGTGACTAGTACAGTATGGTCCAATTGCCACACAACTCTGCAGTGATGTACTGGTGACTAGCACAGTATGGTCCAATTGCCACACAACTCTATAGTGATGTACTGGTGACTAGTACAGTATGGTCCAATTGCCACACAACTCTACAGTGATGTACTGGTGACTAGTACAGTATGGTCCAATTGCCACACAACTCTGCAGTGATGTACTGGTGACTAGCACAGTATGGTCCAATTGCCACACAACTCTACAGTGATGTACTGGTGACTAGTACAGTATGGTCCTATTGCCATCTTCTGATATATCGAGACAGTTCAGCTCCTTCCACCAAGAGTTGATGTCAAGTGACACATACTTCCCCACCAGTGCTGAGTCGATTGGGTGCTCCATGGTGGGTGTGGTCAGGTCGTCCTCGGTCCTGCCCTCTGACACCAGAGGGAGGGGCTTGCCACCTGCAGCAGACAACATGGAGAACGTCACAAACACACACCAAGCTTTTCCAAGCACAATGCCTTATAAAACTCAATCTAAGTTTCACTTAAATGTTTTGGCAGAATTTGGTTGAACATATTGTAATGATCCGAAACACTCAAAATCATGATGGTTTCCATCTCTGCTCGCAATAGCTTCATACTTGAACATTACACCTAAACATTATACCTGAACATTACGCCTGAACATTACACCTAAACATTATACCTAAACATTCTACTTGAACATTACACCTAAACATTATACTTGAAAAGTATACCTAAAACATTATACCTGAACATTATACCTAAACATTATACCTGAACATTGTACCTAAACATTATACCTAAACATTATACTTGAACATTATAACTGAACATTATACTTGGACAACATTATACCTAAAAATTATACCTGAACATTACATCTGAACTTCATACCTGAACATTATAATTGAACATTATACCTGCACATTATACTTGAACATTATACCTGAACATTATACTTGAACTTTATACCTGAACATTATACTTGAACTTTATACCTGAACATTAGACCTGAACTTTATACTTGAACTTTTTACCTGAACATTATACTTGAACATTATACCTGAACATTATACTTGAACATTATACTTGATCATTACACCTTAACATTATACCTGAACTTTATAACTGAACATTATTCTTGAACTTTATACCTGAACATTACATCTGAACTTCATACCTGAACATTATAATTGAACATTATACCTGCACATTATACTTGAACATTATACCTGAACATTATACTTGAACTTTATACCTGAACATTATACCTGAACTTTATACTTGAACTTTATACCTGAACATTATACTTGAACATTATACCTGAACATTATAATTGAACATTATATCTAAACATTATACTTGAACATTATACCTGAACATTATACTTGAACATTATACTTGAACATTACACCTTAACATTATACCTGAACTTTATAACTGAACATTATTCTTGAACTTTATACCTGAACATTACATCTGAACTTCATACCTGAACATTACACCTAAACATTACACCTGAACATTATACCTGAACATTATACTTGAACTTCATACCTGAACATTATACCTGAACTTTATACGTGAACATTATACTTGAACTTTATACCTGAACATTACACCTGAACATTATACCTGCACATTATACTTGAACATTATACTTGAACATTATACTTGAACTTTATACTTGAACTTCATACCTGAACATTATACATGAACATTATACGTGAACATTATACTTGAACTTCATACCTGAACATTATACGTGAACTTCATACCTGAACTTTATAACTGAACATTATATCTGAACATTATAATTGAACATTATATCTAAACATTATACTTGAACATTATACTTGAATATTATACCTTAACATGATACCTGAACTTTATAACTGAACATTATTCTTGAACTTTATACCTGAACATTATACCTGAACTTTATAGCTGAAAAAATAGCTGAACTTTATACTTGAACTTCATACCTGAACATTATACCTGAGCATTATACGTGAACATTATACCTGAACATTATACTTGAACTTCATACCTGAACATTATACCTGAACATTATATCTGAACTTTATACCTGAACATTACACCTGCACATTATACTTGAACATTATAATTGAACATTATACTTGAACTTCATACTTCAACTTCATACCTGAACATTATACCTGAGCATTATACGTGAACATTATACTTGAACTTCATACCTGAACATTATACCTGAGCTTTATAGGTGAACATTATACTTGAACTTCATACCTGAACATTATACCTGAACATTATACTTGAACTTCATACCTGAACTTTATAACTGAACATTATATCTGAACATTATAATTGAACATTATATCTAAACATTATATCTAAACATTATACTTGAACATTATACCTGAACATTATACGTGAACATTATACTTGAACATTACACCTGAACATTATACCTGAGCATTATACTTGAACATTATACTTGAACTTCATACCTGAACATTATACCTGAACATCATACTTGAACTTCATACCTGAACTTTATAACTGAACATTATATCTGAACATTATAATTGAACATTATATCTAAACATTATATCTAAACATTATACTTGAACATTATACCTGAACATTATACTTGAACATTATACTTGAACATTACACCTTAACATGATACCTGAACATTATACCTGCACATTATTCTTGAACTTTATACCTGAACATTATACTTGAACTTCATACCTGAACTTTATAACTGATCATTATATCTGAACATTATAATTGAACATTATATCTAAACATTATATCTAAACATTATACTTGAACATTATACCTGAACATTATACTTGAACATTATACTTGAACATTACACCTTAACATGATACCTGAACATTATACCTGCACATTATTCTTGAACTTCATACCTGAACATTATACCTGAACATTATACTTAAACTTCATACCTGAACTTTATAACTGAACATTATATCTGAACATTATACTTGAACTTTATACTTGAACATTACACCTGAACATTATACCTGAACATTATACCTGAACATTATATCTGAACATTTTACTTGAACTTTATACTTGAACTTCATACCTGAACATTATACCTGAGCATTATACGTGAACATTATACTTGAACTTCATACCTGAACATTATACTTGAACATCATACTTGAACTTTATAACTGAACATTATATCTGAACATTATAATTGAACATTATATCTAAACATTATATCTAAACATTATACTTGAACATTATACCTGAACATTATATCTGAACATTTTACTTGAACTTTATACTTGAACTTCATACCTGAACATTATACCTGAGCATTATACGTGAACATTATACTTGAACTTCATACCTGAACATTATACTTGAACATCATACTTGAACTTTATAACTGAACATTATATCTGAACATTATAATTGAACATTATATCTAAACATTATATCTGAACATTATACTTGAACATTATACCTGCACATTATCCTTGAACTTTATACCTGCACATTATACCTGAACTTTATACCTGAACATTATACTTGAACTTCATACCTGAACATTATAGCTGAGCATTATACGTGAACATTATACGTGAACATTATACTTGAACTTCATACCTGAACATTATACCTGAACATTATACTTGAACTTCATACCTGAACTTTATAACTGAACATTATATCTGAACATTATACTTGAACTTTATACCTGAACATTCTACCTGAACATTATAACTGAACATTATATCTGAACATTATACTTGAACTTTATACCTAAACATTACACCTGAACATTACACCTGAACATTATACCTGAACATTATACTTGAACTTTATACTTGAACTTCATACCTGAACATTATAGCTGAGCATTATACGTGAACATTATACGTGAACATTATACTTGAACTTCATACCTGAACATTATACCTGAACATTATACTTGAACTTCATACCTGAACTTTATAACTGAACATTATATCTGAACATTATACTTGAACTTTATACCTGAACATTACACCTGAACATTATACCTGAACATTACACCTGAACATTATACTTGAACATTATATCTGAACATTATACTTGAACTTTATACCTGAACATTATACCTGCACATTATACTTGAACATTATACCTGAACTTTATACCTGAACATTATACCTGAATATTATATGTGAACATTATACTTGAACTTTTTACTTGAACATTACACCTGAACATTATACCTGAACATTACACCTGAACATTATACTTGATCATTATACCTGAACATTACACCTGAACATTACACCTGAACTTTATAACTGAACATTATACCTGAACATTATACTTGAACTTCATACCTGAACATTATACCTGAACTTTATACCTGAGCATTATACTTGAACATTATACCTCAACATTACATTTGAACTTTATACTTAAACATTATGCTTGACCATTATACCTAAACATTATACCTGAACATTACAATAAAACTAGAGCTATATACTTGAGCCTTATACCCGAACTTGCTGGCTACTGTATATGGATGTCTGTATATGGATGTCTGACAGGTACACACAGACCGATACACATCTACCGGTACACACCCACAGGTACACACACACACACTGACCGGAACACATTGATTGATACACACTGACAGGTACACACACACACAACGGTACACACAGACCGGTACACACCAAATTTTACACACAGACTGGTACACAGAGACCAGTACACACTGACCAGTACACATTGATTCACACACACACATACACACACACACACTGGTACACAGAGACCGGTACACAGACTTGTACACACCCACAGCTACACAGACTGATACACACTGACCGGTACACACAGACTGATACACACACTGACACACTCACCGGTACATACAGACCGGTTCACACACACCAATACACACACACATCGATACCCACAGACCAGTTCACACACACTGGTACACACACACACATCGGTACACACACACACACACACCGATACACAGACTGGTACACACCCACCAATACACAATGACCAGTTCACACACACCGGTACACACACACACAGACCAGTTCACACACACACACACACACCGGCACCCACCCACTGGTACACACACACTGGTACACAAAGACCAGTACACACTGACCAGTACACATTGATTCACACACACACACACACTGGTACACACACTGGTACACAGAGACTTGTACACAGACTTGTACACACCCACTGCTACACAGACTGATACTCACTGACCGGTACACACAGACTGATACACACTGACCGGTACACACACTGCTACACACTGATCGGTACACACACTGCTACACACAGACTGATACACACTGATCGGTACATACAGACTGATACACACTGATCGGTACACACACTGACACACACTCACCGGTACACACAGACCAGTTCACACACACCAATACACACACACACCAATACATACAGACCGGTTGACACACACCAATACACACAGACCAGTTCACAGACACTGGTACACACACACACATCGGTACACACAGACCGGTACACACGCACACACACCAATACACAATGACCAGTTCACACACACCGGTACACACACACACCGATACACACAGACCAGTTGACACACACACACACACCGGCACCCACCCACTGGTACACAGAGACCAGTACACACTGACAAGTACACATTGATTAACACATACACATACACACACACACTGGTACACAGACTGGTACACAGAGACTTGAACACAGACTTGTACACACCCACTGCTACACAGACTGATACACACTGACCAGTACACACAGACTGATACACACTGACCGGTACACACACTGCTACACACTGATCGGTACACACACTGCTACACACAGACTGATACACACTGATCGGTACATACAGACTGATACACACTGATCGGTACATACAGACTGATACACACTGATCGGTACACAGACTGATACACACTGAACGGTACACACAATGATACACACTGATTGTAACACACACTGATCGGTACACACAGACTGATACACACTGATCGGTACACACACTAATCAGTACACACAGACTGATACACACTGATTGGTACACACTGACCGGTACACACACACTGATTGGTACACACACTGATCGGTACACACACTGATCGATACACACTGATCGATATACACATTGATACACACCCACCCGCACACACCCACTGATACACACTGACCCGCACACACCCACTGGTACACACACTGACCTGCACACATCCACTGGTACACACAGACTGATACACACTGACAGGTACACACAGACTGATACACACTGACCGGTACACACAGACTGATACACACTGACCGGTACACACACACTGATCCGCACACACCCACTGGTACACAGACTGGTACACACTGACCGGTAACTTTTTTTGTTCTACAGGTACATATATATGTTCTCTGCCTCAAAGAATTTATTCAGCCCAAACATTGTGTTCCTCATAATAAAGAAGTTGTCATCAACAAATTCTCTTTCTTATGTGTATCACTTCTAAATGCCTGTCAAAGACATACTACCTGTGTTGATCTTACAGCTTCTCTTGCGGAGGTTAGGTCTTTCCTTCTCTGCCAGGCGTGACGCTCCGTCACTCAGTGTTGGGGTCAGAAACTTCCTCATTGACTGGCCCTATACAACACAAACACCTCTCATCAAACACACAAACTTACAGGACAAAGGTCAGAATATAAGGCTAAAAAAGTATAAAGTTCCAGAAACCCTTAGAACACTGGGTGGCTGTATGACAGGGTACCTACCTACCTGCAGAACACTGGGTGGCTGTATGACAGGGTACCTACCTACCTGTAGAACACTCGGTGGCTGGTTGTATGACAGGGTACCTACCTGTAGAACACTGGGTGGCTGTATGACAGGGTACCTACCTGTACAACACTGGGTGGCTGTATGACAGGGTACCTACCTGTAGAACACTGGGTGGCTGTATGACAGGGTACCTACCTGTACAACACTGGGTGGCTGTATGACAGGGTACCTACCTGTAGAACACTGGGTGGTTGTATGACAGGGTACCTACCTGTAGAACACTGGGTGGTTGTATGACAGGATTGCGGAGCTCGACATGCCCCTTCTTCCTGGTGCGGGGAGGCACAGGTCCCTCCTCCTTCTCCTCCTTGATGTCAGCTCCCCCCGATGTCAGTTCAGTGACAGTGAACAGTGGCTCATTGGTTGCTCGCAGGTTGGAGATAATGTTGGAATGCTCCTTCTGCAAGGAGAGAAATGAACTTGTCAGTCTGTTCGTCAGGATTGTTTTGTCCACAAAGCCATAACTGGTAGATCTAAATCTTGCATAAAGAAAGAGCACCAAGGTGGTGACTTCTTTCATGTCGTAATAGCTTACCACAATTCAACATTGTTGGATTGATAGCTTTCCTTATGTCTGTATGGGTTAGGGAATGAATGTCTGTCTATATGGGTTAGGTAATGCCACTCTGTCTATATGGGTTAGGTAATGAATGTCTGTCGCACAATTTCCTTATGCATTCGAAATGAGCTTATATAGACCAACTATTGTTAATAAATTGGTGCTAGCATAATCCTGACAACATTTAAGAAGTACACATACAGCTCTGATTCTCTTGAGGCACTTGTCGAGCCAGTTGCGGATCGTCTGTTTGGCCACCTCCTCCTCGATGGTGTACTCCAGTTCCTCCCGTGCCAGTAGCTCCTCCAGCTGCAGGGACTTGCGAATGTCCACTGACCGGTACGACAGCATGCTGTAACACAGTCACCCACATAAACGGTGGATGTCAAAGCCCAGGCTCAGATGGCTTTCCCACTGAATTTTATACATTCTTTTGGAAAGATGTTAGACAGTTTTTATTGCGATCATTGAATTGTGGTTTAAAATCAGGTGAACTCTCTGTTACCCAGAAACAAGGGTTATTGTCTGTATTCCAAAGGGGGACAAGCCTAAATGCTTCATAACTAACTGGAGGCCCATATCACTATTGAATGTTTCATATATACAGGTCGCTACATTGGTGACAATATTCGCTTAATCTATGATGCCATCTCATGTACAGAAAAATCAAACATTCCTGGTATGCTTCTTCTTATAGACTTTGAGAAGGCATTTGATTCCATTGCTTGGTCATTTATCGACAAATCTTTATCCTTTTGAGGATCTGGTGAAAATTTAAGAAAATATATATCTGTATTTTTCAATGATATAAAAAGCTGTATGTCCATCAATGGTCAGTTGTTATCTTATTTTAATATCCAACAAGGTTGTAGACAGGGTAACCCATTATCACCGTATATAATTATTATCTGTGCAGAAATACTAGCCAATATGATCCGCTCTAACAGATGTCAAAGGTATCCTGGTAGTGAGTATCTTCTTAGTCAGTATGCTGACGATATGGAATTATTACTTGACGCACGGATGTATATACGTCTTTGCTTGACGGTAGTCAGTCCTCCTTTGTATCATGTATTAACTCCCTTGATTGTTTTGCCAAAATATCTGGTCTTAAGATTAACTATAATAAAACTCAAGTTATCTGGCTTGGCCCCAAGAGAGGTTGAAAAGAAAAGTTCAAAGATTATTTGCCTATTAGTTGGAATCCAGAAGAGTTTAGAATTCTTGGAGTCAAATTTTGCATAAATCGGTTGAACTTAAATTATTTGAGTTAAAACTGATTATGAATAGGTGGATGAAATGGATAGTTACACCAATTGGTAGGGTGGCAATCATTAAATCCTTGATGATTTCAAAACTCAATTATCTATTGTTATCACTGCCTGATCCCCCAAATGGTTTTCTTGTTACCTTAAATGCTATGCTTTTTATATTTCTTTAGAGTGATAAACGAGACAAATTAAAGAGGATTAAAGTTGTCAACCTGTTAAACAAGGGGGCTTAAGTATGGTGAATATTTATTCATATGTAACATCCCTTAAGGCCACATGGATAAAGAGACTTGTGTCCTTAGGTGATCCAAAATGGAAGCACCTATTTAAATCTACATTTCCTTATTTGTGTAAACTTGGTGAGTTTGGTGTGACGTGTTTCCAAGAGAAACGTATCTTTGATAAGTCATGAGCTTTGGAAAAGTTGTTTTCAGTCATTTATAGTGCTTGATAAGAAAATCAAGCCAGGGCGTCTCCAAAGTTATAGACTTGGTCAAGGCCAATAAGGAGTTTCTGTCATATGAGGAATTTATTGAAATGTATGGTATTTGTTCATCCTATCTGGAGTTGTATGGTGTCGCAGCAGCATTAAACAAAACCTTAAAGCTCTAAATTTAGTAAGAGTTCCAACAGGTTCTGTGGAGGACCAGCGCTGTGTGGTAAAAACTATTTGTAGTTCCAAGTCGGGTTCAAAGCATTTTAATTTTTTATTGGTTTCTACAGAAGTTAAAAAAACTAAAGGGCAGGAAAAGTGGGAATTACAATATTTGTAATAAAATATTCAGTACAACACAGGATGTCAACCTGTGATGGTTTCAATACAAAATTATCAACAGAATTCTCACCACTAATACTTTTCTGTATGTACTCAATAATGCTCAGAATGATTTGTGCTCCTGTCACAATGAAAGGGAAACAATTACTCACTTGATTTGGGAATGTGGTGTAATAAAACGATTTGGGGATGAAGTGTCAGTGTGGATAGACCAGTGCTTTCATGTTTATTAAATGACATTTTGTTCAGAATTGATACTTTTTGGAGTTAAAGAGAATATAAAAACAGATAAAGTGTTTGATTTACTTTTACAAATTGCAAAATTCTATATTTATAGATGCAAATTCCAAAATACAAAACCTTATTTTCATGTTTATAAAAACGAAGCTTTTTCACTATACAACATTGAAAAAGTTATTCCTTTCAAGACAGGTATTCAACAGAAATTCTATGGTGCTTGGATGCTGTATCATCAACTTTTTCGAAAATGAGGAGCAGCTTTCATTTTAATTTTAGTTTTGTACTTAAGACTTTAATGTTTGAGACCATGTACTTTCCTACACCGCAATATGATATATAAACTTTAATAGTTTAAGCATACTTGATATATGCAGTATGTTTGTATTACTAAAGTGAATGAGTGAGTGAGAAGTATGTTATTTTACTGTAAAAAAAAGAAGTAATAAATAAGATGTACTGAAGTCATGGGCTTTCTGCTACCCTGAGTGAGGGTTGATGTATGGAGCATGAGGGAGTGAGACACGAGGGTTGACGTATGGAGCAAGAGCAAGACAGAGTAAGACGCGAGAGTTGACACATGGAGCATGACAGAGTAAGACGCAAGGGTTGACGTATGGAGCATGAGAGGGTAAGATGCGAGGGTTGACGTATGGAGCATGAGCATGAGCATGACAGAGTAAGACGCAAGGGTTGACACATGGAGCATGAGAGGGTAAGATGCGAGGGTTGACGTATGGAGCATGAGCATGAGCATGAGAGAGTGAGATGCGAGGGTTGACATATGGAGCATGAGAGAGTGAGACGCGAGGGTTGACACATGGAGCATGAGAGAGTGAGACGCGAGGGTTGACATATGGAGCATGAGAGAGTGAGACGCGGGGGTTGACATATGGAGCATGAGAGAGTGAGACGCGGGGGTTGACATATGGAGCGTGAGAGAGTGAGACGCGAGGGTTGACATATGGAGCATGAGAGAGTGAGACGCGGGGGTTGACATATGGAGCATGAGAGAGTGAGACGCGGGGGTTGACATATGGAGCATGAGAGAGTGAGACGCGGGGGGTGACATATGGAGCGTGAGAGAGTGAGACGCGGGGGTTGACATATGGAGCATGAGAGAGTGAGACGCGAGGGTTGACATATGGAGCATGAGAGAGTGAGACGCGGGGGGTGACATATGGAGCATGAGAGAGTGAGACGCGAGGGTTGACGTATGGAGCATGAGAGAGTGAGACGCGAGGGTTGACGTATGGAGCATGAGAGAGTGAGACACGAGGGTTGACGTATGGAGCATGAGAGAGTGAGACGCGGGGGGTGACATATAGAGCATGAGAGAGTGAGACGCGGGGGTTGACATATGGAGCGTGAGAGAGTGAGACGCGAGGGTTGACATATGGAGCATGAGAGAGTGAGACGCGGGGGGTGACATATGGAGCATGAGAGAGTGAGACGCGAGGGTTGACGTATGGAGCATGAGAGAGTGAGACACGAGGGTTGACATATGGAGCATGAGAGAGTGAGACATGAGGGTTGACATACCTGAGGACATCATGGAATGTAACGTCGCCGCCCTGGTGCAACTTCTCGATCTCGTAGCACATGTGTTTGAACAACAAGCGGTCCTTCTCCAGATCTACCTCAAGACGGCCTCGCAGCAGGCGGAGCAAGTACTTCACCCGCCGAGCCGGGATCACACCCTGTCGACACAGTGTAGTACATCACTAACAATTCTTAAATATTATAGTTCAGCATAATGAAACCAAAAGCACAACAGAAGAAAAGAAAAACCTGCTTATTTTAAAGTGTATATTTACTTCTGACTGTTGTCAATGTGAGGATGTCTGCATACCTTTCTATTGATGTCTACATAGTTCCATGTGTTCTGGAACTGCCGAATGTCATTGTAGCTGAGCAGAGCATCCTCCTCATTAGAGTAGAACAGAGAGAAGTTCTCCATGATGATGGCTGAATCCAACAAAACATACCATCAGTTAGACAACAAACTACCTTGGCTGCAACAGTCACATCAACATCACACACCATCATCAGTCAAACAAATAACTACTCCGGTTGTAACAGTCACATCAACATCACACACCATCAGTTAGACAACAAACTACTCTGGTTGCAACAGTCACATCAACATCACACACCATCAGTCAGACTAAAAACTACTCCAGTTGCAACAGTCACATCAACATCCCACACCATCAGTCAGACAACAAACTACCTTGGCTGCAACAGTCACATCAACATCACACACCATCAGTCAGACAACAAACTACTCTGGTTGCAACAGTCAGATCAACATCACACACCATCAGTCAGACAACAAACTACTCTGGTTGCAACAGTCACATCAACATCACACACCATCAGTCAGACAACAAACTACTCTGGTTGCAACAGTCACATCAACATCACACACCATCAGTCAGACAACAAACTACTCTGGTTGCAACACTCACATCAACATCACACACCATTAGTCAGACAACAAACTACTCTGGTTGCAACACTCACATCAACATCACACACCATCAGTCAGACAACAAACTACTCTGGCTGCAACAGTCACATCAACATCACACACCATCAGTCAGACAACAAACTACTCTGGTTGCAACAGTCACGTCAACATCACACACCATCAGTCAGACAACAAACTACTCTGGCTGCAACAGTCACATCAACATCACACACCATCAGTCAGACAACAAACTACTCTGGCTGCAACAGTCACATCAACATCACACACCATCAGTCAGACAACAAACTACTCTGGCTGCAACAGTCACATCAACATCACACATCATCAGTCAGACAACAAACTACCTTGGCTGCAACAGTCACATCAACATCACACACAATCAGTCAGACAACAAACTACCTTGGCTGCAACAGTCACATCAACATCACACATCATCAGTCAGACAACAAACTACTCTGGTTGCAACAGTCACATCAACATCACACACCATCAGTCAGACAACAAACTACTCTGGTTGCAACAGTCACATCAACATCACACACCATCAGTCAGACAACAAACTACTCTGGCTGCAACAGTCACATCAACATCACACACCATCAGTCAGACAACAAACTACTCTGGCTGCAACAGTCACATCAACATCACACATCATCAGTCAGACAACAAACTACCTTGGCTGCAACAGTCACATCAACATCAACAAAATCAGTCAGACAACAAACTACCTTGGCTGCAACAGTCACATCAACATCACACATCATCAGTCAGACAACAAACTACTCTGGTTGCAACAGTCACATCAACATCACACACCATCAGTCAGACAACAAACGTCAGACAACAAACTACTCTGGCTGCAACAGTCACATCAACATCACACACCATCAGTCAGACAACAAACTACTCTGGTTGCAACAGTCACATCAACATCACACACCATCAGTCAGACAACAAACTACTCTGGCTGCAACAGTCACATCAACATCACACACCATCAGTCAGACAACAAACTACTCTGGTTGCAACAGTCACATCAACATCACACACCATCAGTCAGACAACAAACTACTCTGGCTGCAACAGTCACATCAACATCACACACCATCAGTCAGACAACAAACTACTCTGGCTGCAACAGTCACATCAACATCACACATCATCAGTCAGACAACAAACTACCTTGGCTGCAACAGTCACATCAACATCAACACAATCAGTCAGACAACAAACTACCTAGGCTGCAACAGTCACATCAACATCACACATCATCAGTCAGACAACAAACTACTCTGGTTGCAACAGTCACATCAACATCACACACCATCAGTCAGACAACAAACTACTCTGGTTGCAACAGTCACATCAACATCACACACCATCAGTCAGACAACAAACTACTCTGGTTGCAACAGTCACATCAACATCACACACCATCAGTCAGACAACAAACTACTCTGGCTGCAACAGTCACATCAACATCACACACCATCAGTCAGACAACAAACTACTCTGGTTGCAACAGTCACATCAACATCACACATCATCAGTCAGACAACAAACTACCTTGGCTGCAACAGTCACATCAACATCACACACAATCAGTCAGACAACAAACTACCTTGGCTGCAACAGTCACATCAACATCACACATCATCAGTCAGACAACAAACTACTCTGGTTGCAACAGTCACATCAACATCACACACCATCAGTCAGACAACAAACTACTCTGGTTGCAACAGTCACAGCAACATCACACACCATCAGTCAGACAACAAACTACCTTGGCTGCAACAGTCACATCAACATCACACACCATCAGTCAGACAACAAACTACTCTGGTTGCAACAGTCACATCAACATCACACACCATCAGTCAGACAACAAACTACTCTGGTTGCAACAGTCACATCAACATCACACACCATCAGTCAGACAACAAACTACCTTGGCTGCAACAGTCACATCAACATCACACACCATCAGTCAGACAACAAACTACTCTGGCTGCAACAGTCACATCAACATCACACATCATCAGTCAGACAACAAACTACTCCGGTTGCAACAGTCACATCAACATCACACATCATCAGTCAGACAACAAACTACTCCGGTTGTAACAGTCACATCAACATCACACACCATCAGTCAGACAACAAACTACTCCGGTTGCAACAGTCAGATCAACATCACACACCATCAGTCAGACAACAAACTACTCTGGTTGCAACAGTCACATCAACATCACACACCATCAGTCAGACAACAAACTACTCTGGCTGCAACAGTCACATCAACATCACACACCATCAGTCAGACAACAAACTACTCTGGTTGCAACAGTCACATCAACATCACACACCATCAGTTAGACAACAAACTACTCCGGTTGCAACAGTCACATCAACATCACACACCATCAGTCAGACAACAAACTACTCTGGTTGCAACAGTCACATCAACATCACACACCATCAGTCAGACAACAAACTACTCTGGCTGCAACAGTCACATCAACATCACACACCATCAGTCAGACAACAAACTACTCTGGTTGCAACAGTCACATCAACATCACACACCATCAGTCAGACAACAAACTACTCTGGTTGCAACAGTCACAGCAACATCACACACCATCAGTCAGACAACAAACTACTCTGGCTGCAACAGTCACATCAACATCACACACCATCAGTCAGACAACAAACTACTCTGGCTGCAACAGTCACATCAACATCACACACCATCAGTCAGACAACAAACTACTCTGGTTGCAACAGTCACATCAACATCACACACCATCAGTCAGACAACAAACTACTCTGGTTGCAACAGTCACAGCAACATCACACACCATCAGTCAGACAACAAACTACTCCGGTTGTAACAGTCACATCAACATCACACACCATCAGTTAGACAACAAACTACTCTGGTTGCAACAGTCACATCAACATCACACACCATCAGTCAGACAACAAACTACTCTGGCTGCAACAGTCACATCAACATCACACACCATCAGTCAGACAACAAACTACTCTGGTTGCAACAGTCACATCAACATCACACACCATCAGTCAGACAACAAACTACTCCGGTTGCAACAGTCACATCAACATCACACACCATTTGTCAGACAACAAACTACTCCGGTTGTAACAGTCACATCAACATCACACACCATCAGTCAGACAACAAACTACTCTGGTTGCAACAGTCACATCAACATCACACACCATCAGTCAGACAACAAACTACTCCAGTTGCAACAGTCACAGCAACATCACACACCATCAGTCAGACAACAAACTACTCCGGTTGTAACAGTCACATCAACATCATACAGTACATCCTCACCTCTTTTCATTCACCTTAAATCAGACTTTTGTTAATGACTATCAAGTAAATAATTTAACCCTGAAATATGATCAGTGAGTGAAACTATGTGCATAATGTACTGCTTGTTTGTTTGCTTGTTTGTTTGTTTGTTTGTTTGTTGGTTGTTTAACACCGCACTCAGCAATATTCCACCTACAAGACGGCGATCTGTAAATAATCAAGTCTGGACCAGACAATCCAGAGATTGACATCATGAGCATCAATCAACACAATTGGGATAGGATGACATGCATCATCCAAGTCAGTGAGCATGACCACCTGATCCCTTTGGTACCTCTTATGACAAGCACAGTCACCTCCAACAACAAGCGTGGGTTGCTGAAGACCTATTCTAAGGCAGATCTTCACGGGTGTAATGTACTGCTAGTTTTGTGGAAATGTTCATCATGTGACATGTGAAATAACACATTCAAGCCGGTTGTTCAGCGTTACAAATCATCACTGTTGTTTTGTTCATGGGAATCCTAAACTCTTTTTTTCAGTGTTATACACAGTGTCTTGGGAGCCAAAAAATAGGATCCACAATATATATGGCCACACCCAGTGTCAATATACTGTATAAAAGGAAAGGGTAGTAATGAGGCCAACTCACCAAGTTTGTATGAGGATGATTTCAACAATGTCCATTGTAAACACCCCAATTAAACTATGCACTCATCTCAAGCCAATACATTTAGCTACATAATGAGACATACATGAAGAAAATCAAAGCCAAAATATTGATTTTTTTATTCCAAGCCAAAATCCCTGCTCAAAATTGAAAAAAGTTGCGCCATTCATTAAGGAGACTATGTAGAGGAAAAACACATTTTATTTATAGCCAAACAGATCGCTGGATTTTTTTCAGTGACAGGTATGGCAAGGTCAAGGTCGTCTATGGCGGACGGGTCACGGCAAAGGGCTTATTGAGACAAATAAATGTGCGTAAACTCATTATACCATCAGGTTCATGTGTCGCGGAAAGAATGACGATGGGAGGGCTGACAGGTGCCATCGATTAAACTTGTTTTGGTGGATGGTATTTGTGTACAGGATCCAATAAACAACAAAATCGGTAAGTTAGCGGTACAAATCGGTACAAATTCTGAGTAGGGATTTTGAATTGAAAAATCATGGTATTTCAGCTTCTGAAGACGCAAGCCCCCAAACAATGGCATCGATTTTCTTCATCTATGTCTCACTGTGAGCTGGCCTCGTTACATCCCTTTCCTTTTATACAGAATACTGACACTGGGTGTGACCATATATCTTGTAGCTCCTATTTTTTGCGTTTCAATCCCCTGTGGTATCAGACAGTGTCACACATGTGCCAAGATAAGATGCTGACCGACAAGCAAGTTGAGCACAATGTAGGTGATGATGACGTAGAAGGTGCAGAAGTAGATGAGTGATGCAGTGAAGTTGCCACAGTCTGTGTCCCAGTAGTTGGGCCCCCTGCTGCAGAACGGAGGACTGATCTGAAACAGGAGCTGAGCAGTAGTACCTTGTCCTACAATAACACCATTTCATGGAGGCAAGAAACAGCAGTAGTACCTGGTCCTACAATAACACATCTCATGGAGGCCAGAAACAGCAGTAGTACCTGGTCCTACAATAACACCATCTCATGGAGGCCAGAAACAGCAGTAGTACCTTGTCCTACAATAACACATCTCATGGAGGCCAGAAACAGCAGTAGTACCTTGTCCTACAATAACACCATTTCATGGAGGCAAGAAACAGCAGTAGTACCTTGTCCTACAATAACACATCTCATGGAGGCCAGAAACAGCAGTAGTACCTTGTCCTACAATAACACATCTCATGGAGGCAAGAAACAGCAGTAGTACATGGTCCTACAATAACACCATTTCATGGAGTCGGGAAACAGCAGTAGTACCTTGTCCTACAATAACACCATTTCATGGAGGCCAGAAACAGCAGTAGTACATGGTCCTACAATAACACCATTTCATGGAGTCGGGAAACAGCAGTATTACCTTGTCCTACAATAACACCATTTCATGGAGGCAAGAAACAGCAGTAGTACCTGGTCCTACAATAACACCATCTCATGGAGGCCAGAAACAGCAGAAGTACCTTGTCCTACAATAACACATCTCATGGAGGCCAGAAACAGCAGTAGTACATGGTCCTACAATAACACCATTTCATGGAGTCGGGAAACAGCAGTAGTACCTTGTCCTACAATAACACCATTTCATGGAGGCCAGAAACAGCAGTAGTACATGGTCCTACATTAACACATTTCATGGAGGCGGGAAACAGCAGTAGTACCTTGTCCTACAATAACACATCTCATGGAGGCAAGAAACAGCAGTAGTACATGGTCCTACAATAACACATCTCATGGAGGCCAGAAACAGCAGTAGTACATGGTCCTACATTAACACATTTCATGGAGGCGGGAAACAGCAGTAGTACCTTGTCCTACAATAACACCATCTCATGGAGGCCAGAAACAGCAGTAGTACATGGTCCTACAATAACACATCTCATGGAGGCCAGAAACAGCAGTAGTACATTGTCCTACATTAACACATCTCATGGAGGCAAGAAACAGCAGTAGTACATGGTCCTACAATAACACCATTTCATGGAGTCGGGAAACAGCAGTAGTACCTTGTCCTACAATAACACCATCTCATGGAGGCCAGAAACAGCAGTAGTACATGGTCCTACATTAACACATTTCATGGAGGCGGGAAACAGCAGTAGTACCTTGTCCTACAATAACACCATCTCATGGAGGCCAGAAACAGCAGTAGTACATGGTCCTACATTAACACATTTCATGGAGGCGGGAAACAGCAGTAGTACCTTGTCCTACAATAACACCATCTCATGGAGGCCAGAAACAGCAGTAGTACCTTGTCCTACAATAACACATCTCATGGAGGCCAGAAACAGCAGTAGTACATGGTCCTACAATAACACCATCTCATGGAGGCCAGAAACAGCAGTAGTACATGGTCCTACAATAACACATCTCATGGAGGCCAGAAACAGCAGTAGTACATGGTCCTACATTAACACATCTCATGGAGGCCAGAAACAGCAGTAGTACCTTGTCCTACAATAACAAATCTCATGGAGGCAAGAAACAGCAGTAGTACCTGGTCCTACAATAACACCATTTCATGGAGGCGGGAAAATGCAGTAGTACCTTGTCCTACAATAACACCATCTCATGGAGGCCAGAAACAGCAGTAGTACCTGGTCCTTCATTAACACATCTCATGGAGGCCAGAAACAGCAGTAGTACCTTGTCCTACAATAACACATCTCATGGAGGCCAGAAACAGCAGTAGTACATGGTCCTACATTAACACATTTCATGGAGGCGGGAAACAGCAGTAGTACCTTGTCCTACAATAACACCATCTCATGGAGGCCAGAAACAGCAGTAGTACATGGTCCTACATTAACACATTTCATGGAGGCGGGAAACAGCAGTAGTACCTTGTCCTACAATAACACATCTCATGGAGGCCAGAAACAGCAGTAGTACATGGTCCTACAATAACACATCTCATGGAGGCAAGAAACAGCAGTAGTACCTTGTCCTACAATAACACATCTCATGGAGGCAAGAAACAGCAGTAGTACATGGTCCTACAATAACACATTTCATGGAGGCGGGAAACAGCAGTAGTACCTTGTCCTACAATAACACCATCTCATGGAGGCCAGAAACAGCAGTAGTACCTTGTCCTACAATAACACCATCTCATGGAGGCCAGAAACAGCAGTAGTACCTTGTCCTACATTAACACATTTCATGGAGGCAAGAAACAGCAGTAGTACATGGTCCTACAATAACACATTTCATGGAGGCGGGAAACAGCAGTAGTACCTTGTCCTACAATAACACCATCTCATGGATGCCAGAAACAGCAGTAGTACCTTGTCCTACAATAACACATCTCATGGAGGCCAGAAACAGCAGTAGTACCTTGTCCTACAATAACACATCTCATGGAGGCAAGAAACAGCAGTAGTACATGGTCCTACAATAACACCATCTCATGGAGGCCAGAAACAGCAGTAGTACCTGGTCCTTCATTAACACATCTCATGGAGGCCAGAAACAGCAGTAGTACATGGTCCTACAATAACACCATCTCATGGAGGCCAGAAACAGCAGTAGTACCTGGTCCTTCATTAACACATCTCATGGAGGCCAGAAACAGCAGTAGTACATGGTCCTACAATAACACCATCTCATGGAGGCCAGAAACAGCAGTAGTACATGGTCCTACAATAACACATCTCATGGAGGCCAGAAACAGCAGTAGTACATGGTCCTACATTAACACATTTCATGGAGGCAAGAAACAGCAGTAGTACATGGTCCTACAATAACACATTTCATGGAGGCAAGAAACAGCAGTAGTACCTTGTCCTACAATAACACATCTCATGGAGGCAAGAAACAGCAGTAGTACATGGTCCTACAATAACACCATCTCATGGAGGCCAGAAACAGCAGTAGTACCTGGTCCTTCATTAACACATCTCATGGAGGCCAGAAACAGCAGTAGTACATGGTCCTACAATAACACCATCTCATGGAGGCCAGAAACAGCAGTAGTACCTGGTCCTTCATTAACACATCTCATGGAGGCCAGAAACAGCAGTAGTACATGGTCCTACAATAACACCATCTCATGGAGGCCAGAAACAGCAGTAGTACATGGTCCTACAATAACACATCTCATGGAGGCAAGAAACAGCAGTAGTACCTTGTCCTACAATAACACCATCTCATGGAGGCCAGAAACAGCAGTAGTACCTGGTCCTTCATTAACACATCTCATGGAGGCCAGAAACAGCAGTAGTACCTTGTCCTACAATAACACCATCTCATGGAGGCCAGAAACAGCAGTAGTACCTGGTCCTTCATTAACACATCTCATGGAGGCCAGAAACAGCAGTAGTACCTTGTCCTACAATAACACCATCTCATGGAGGCCAGAAACAGCAGTAGTACCTTGTCCTACAATAACACCATCTCATGGAGGCCAGAAACAGCAGTAGTACCTTGTCCTACAATAACACCATCTCATGGAGGCCAGAAACAGCAGTAGTACCTGGTCCTACATTAACACATCTCATGGAGGCCAGAAACAGCAGTAGTACATGGTCCTACAATAACACATCTCATGGAGGCCAGAAACAGCAGTAGTACATGGTCCTACATTAACACATCTCATGGAGGCCAGAAACAGCAGTAGTACCTTGTCCTACATTAACACATCTCATGGAGGCAAGAAACAGCAGTAGTACCTGGTACTACATTAACACATCTCATGGAGGCCAGAAACAGCAGTAGTACCTTGTCCTACAATAACACCATCTCATGGAGGCAAGAAACAGCAGTAGTACATGGTCCTACAATAACACCATCTCATGGAGGCCAGAAACAGCAGTAGTACATGGTCCTACATTAACACATCTCATGGAGGCCAGAAACAGCAGTAGTACATGGTCCTACAATAACACCATCTCATGGAGGCCAGAAACAGCAGTAGTACCTGGTCCTACATTAACACATCTCATGGAGGCCAGAAACAGCAGTAGTACATGGTCCTACATTAACACATCTCATGGAGGCCAGAAACAGCAGTAGTACCTGGTCCTACATTAACACATCTCATGGAGGCCAGAAACAGCAGTAGTACATGGTCCTAGATTAACACATCTCATGGAGGCCAGAAACAGCAGTAGTACCTGGTCCTACATTAACACATCTCATGGAGGCCAGAAACAGCAGTAGTACCTTGTCCTACAATAACACATCTCATGGAGGCAAGAAACAGCAGTAGTACCTTGTCCTACAATAACACATCTCATGGAGGCCAGAAACAGCAGTAGTACATGGTCCTACAATAACACATCTCATGGAGGCAAGAAACAGCAGTAGTACATGGTCCTACAATAACACCATTTCATGGAGGCAGGAAACAGCAGTAGTACCTTGTCCTACAATAACACCATCTCATGGAGGCCAGAAACAGCAGTAGTACATGGTCCTACATTAACACATTTCATGGAGGCGGGAAACAGCAGTAGTACCTTGTCCTACAATAACACATCTCATGGAGGCCAGAAACAGCAGTAGTACATGGTCCTACATTAACACATCTCATGGAGGCCAGAAACAGCAGTAGTACCTGGTCCTACATTAACACATCTCATGGAGGCCAGAAACAGCAGTAGTACATGGTCCTAGATTAACACATCTCATGGAGGCCAGAAACAGCAGTAGTACCTGGTCCTACATTAACACATCTCATGGAGGCCAGAAACAGCAGTAGTACCTTGTCCTACAATAACACATCTCATGGAGGCCAGAAACAGCAGTAGTACCTTGTCCTACAATAACACATCTCATGGAGGCCAGAAACAGCAGTAGTACATGGTCCTACAATAACACATCTCATGGAGGCAAGAAACAGCAGTAGTACATGGTCCTACAATAACACCATTTCATGGAGGCAGGAAACAGCAGTAGTACCTTGTCCTACAATAACACATCTCATGGAGGCAAGAAACAGCAGTAGTACATGGTCCTACATTAACACATTTCATGGAGGCGGGAAACAGCAGTAGTACCTTGTCCTACAATAACACATCTCATGGAGGCAAGAAACAGCAGTAGTACATGGTCCTACAATAACACATCTCATGGAGGCAAGAAACAGCAGTAGTACCTTGTCCTACAATAACACATCTCATGGAGGCAAGAAACAGCAGTAGTACATGGTCCTACATTAACACATTTCATGGAGGCGGGAAACAGCAGTAGTACATGGTCCTACAATAACACATCTCATGGAGGCAAGAAACAGCAGTAGTACCTGGTCCTACAATAACACATTTCATGGAGGCGGGAAACAGCAGTAGTACCTTGTCCTACAATAACACCATCTCATGGAGGCCAGAAACAGCAGTAGTACCTTGTCCTACATTAACACATCTCATGGAGGCCAGAAACAGCAGTAGTACCTTGTCCTACAATAACACCATCTCATGGAGGCCAGAAACAGCAGTAGTACATGGTCCTACATTAACACATTTCATGGAGGCAAGAAACAGCAGTAGTACATGGTCCTACAATAACACATCTCATGGAGGCAAGAAACAGCAGTAGTACCTTGTCCTACAATAACACATCTCATGGAGGCCAGAAACAGCAGTAGTACATGGTCCTACAATAACACCATCTCATGGAGGCCAGAAACAGCAGTAGTACCTGGTCCTTCATTAACACATCTCACGGAGGCCAGAAACAGCAGTAGTACATGGTCCTACAATAACACCATCTCATGGAGGCCAGAAACAGCAGTAGTACCTGGTCCTTCATTAACACATCTCATGGAGGCCAGAAACAGCAGTAGTACATGGTCCTACAATAACACCATCTCATGGAGGCCAGAAACAGCAGTAGTACCTTGTCCTACAATAACACATCTCATGGAGGCCAGAAACAGCAGTAGTACCTTGTCCTACAATAACACCATCTCATGGAGGCCAGAAACAGCAGTAGTACCTGGTCCTTCATTAACACATCTCATGGAGGCCAGAAACAGCAGTAGTACCTTGTCCTACAATAACAACATCTCATGGAGGCCAGAAACAGCAGTAGTACCTGGTCCTTCATTAACACATCTCATGGAGGCCAGAAACAGCAGTAGTACCTTGTCCTACAATAACACCATCTCATGGAGGCCAGAAACAGCAGTAGTACCTTGTCCTACAATAACACCATCTCATGGAGGCCAGAAACAGCAGTAGTACCTTGTCCTACAATAACACCATCTCATGGAGGCCAGAAACAGCAGTAGTACATGGTCCTACAATAACACATCTCATGGAGGCCAGAAACAGCAGTAGTACATGGTCCTACAATAACACATCTCATGGAGGCCAGAAACAGCAGTAGTACATGGTCCTACATTAACACATCTCATGGAGGCCAGAAACAGCAGTAGTACCTTGTCCTACATTAACACATCTCATGGAGGCCAGAAACAGCAGTAGTACCTTGTCCTACATTAACACATCTCATGGAGGCAAGAAACAGCAGTAGTACCTGGTACTACATTAACACATCTCATGGAGGCCAGAAACAGCAGTAGTACATGGTCCTACAATAACACCATTTCATGGAGGCGGGAAACAGCAGTAGTACCTTGTCCTACAATAACACATCTCATGGAGGCAAGAAACAGCAGTAGTACCTGGTACTACATTAACACATCTCATGGAGGCCAGAAACAGCAGTAGTACATGGTCCTACAATAACACCATTTCATGGAGGCGGGAAACAGCAGTAGTACCTTGTCCTACAATAACACATCTCATGGAGGCCAGAAACAGCAGTAGTACCTTGTCCTACATTAACACATGTCATGGAGGCCAGAAACAGCAGTAGTACATGGTACTACATTAACACATCTCATGGAGGCGGGAAACAGCAGTAGTACCTTGTCCTACAATAACACATCTCATGGAGGCAAGAAACAGCAGTAGTACCTGGTACTACATTAACACATCTCATGGAGGCCAGAAACAGCAGTAGTACCTTGTCCTACATTAACACATGTCATGGAGGCGGGAAACAGCAGTAGTACCTTGTCCTACATTAACACATCTCATGGAGGCAAGAAACAGCAGTAGTACCTTGTCCTACAATAACACATCTCATGGAGGCCAGAAACAGCAGTAGTACCTTGTCCTACATTAACACATCTCATGGAGGCGGGAAACAGCAGTAGTACCTTGTCCTACAATAACACATCTCATGGAGGCCAGAAACAGCAGTAGTACCTTGTCCTACAATAACACATCTCATGGAGGCCAGAAACAGCAGTAGTACCTTGTCCTACAATAACACATCTCATGGAGGCCAGAAACAGCAGTAGTACCTTGTCCTACAATAACACATCTCATGGAGGCCAGAAACAGCAGTAGTACCTTGTCCTACAATAACACATCTCATGGAGGCCAGAAACAGCAGTAGTACCTTGTCCTACATTAACACATCTCATGGAGGCAAGAAACAGCAGTAGTACATGGTACTACATTAACACATCTCATGGAGGCCAGAAACAGCAGTAGTACCTTGTCCTACATTAACACATGTCATGGAGTCGGGAAACAGCAGTAGTACCTTGTCCTACAATAACACATCTCATGGAGGCCAGAAACAGCAGTAGTACCTTGTCCTACAATAACACATCTCATGGAGGCAAGAAACAGCAGTAGTACCTGGTCCTACAATAACACATCTCATGGAGGCAAGAAACAGCAGTAGTACCTGGTCCTACAATAACACATCTCATGGAGGCAAGAAACAGCAGTAGTACCTGGTCCTACAATAACACCATCTCATGGAGGCCAGAAACAGCAGTAGTACATGGTCCTACATTAACACCATCTCATGGAGGCCAGAAACAGCAGTAGTACCTTGTCCTACATTAACACATCTCATGGAGGCAAGAAACAGCAGTAGTACCTGGTCCTACATTAACACATCTCATGGAGGCCAGAAACAGCAGTAGTACATGGTCCTACAATAACACATCTCATGGAGGCCAGAAACAGCAGTAGTACCTGGTCCTACAATAACACCATCTCATGGAGGCCAGAAACAGCAGTAGTACATGGTCCTACATTAACACATCTCATGGAGGCCAGAAACAGCAGTAGTACCTTGTCCTACAATAACACATCTCATGGAGGCAAGAAACAGCAGTAGTACCTGGTCCTACATTAACACATCTCATGGAGGCCAGAAACAGCAGTAGTACCTTGTCCTACATTAACACATCTCATGGAGGCAAGAAACAGCAGTAGTACCTTGTCCTACAATAACACCATCTCATGGAGGCAAGAAACAGCAGTAGTACCTTGTCCTACAATAACACCATCTCATGGAGGCCAGAAACAGCTTGAGTATAAACAAGATACAGTTGATATTGCTGTAAATTGATATGTGACAGGGTTAAATAGTGTAAGATCACATTAACCTAATTCAGGAGAGTATGGTCTTTTGAAAAATGATTGGCCTTATGACTATTGCCAAACCAGTATCTGGGCATCCCCTGCTGCAGCAGCAGCAGCGTGCACTGTCCACCCACCATACAGTCATGCATGATCTTGTTCCAGTCCTCCCCAGTCACAATACGGAACAGCAGGATCACGGCACTTGATGCTGTCTCGAAGTTGGCATGTCTGAAACATACATGGGTGAAGAAATGTAGCAGGATGCTTGTAAATAGTATGTGGGCAGATTTTATAGCATCATTACATTAAACTAAGATGAACTAAATTAATAACCTAAAACTAAATATTTAATATTTATTTCCATAAATAACTTGTGTTAACTTCTACACCAGCACAAATCTACTAATTCATAGGAGAGCTAGCTTCTCTAAACAACTTCTTTTAGGGTCATGACTATCATGACTGGGTCTGTCGCAGGCCTGGCCTGTGGTTAGGCTGCTATTGTTCTCTGGTCCTCCATGACCTCTTCAATCATGGGAGTACCCTGGTCACTCAGCATATATCTCTGCCCATGTTCTGAGAGCACCAGCACTTCACTGCATCACACAGGGTAAGTTCATTTCATTATTACTCTATTTATCTGAAGAACCTCGGTTAGAATACTATGTATTAAGAATTGTTGTTGAATATAGTACTTTAGCAAGCATTGTCTTATGATATTGTAATGTATTCTTAATTCAACTTACTTGTGTGTTTAACTTTGGTATGAACCATGTGTATATTCTGTAATATGTTTATACAAAGAATACCAGTGATATATGTATGTATGTCATGTATATGCATAGAGTATTTTGTAGTATTTCTAATGCTTGTTTTCCATACATGCCAGTGGAACTGTGTTGATAGTAAACATATTTATAGCATATTTATTTGTTCAGGGATAAAGACAATGGGAGCTACCTTTGCAGTTGCTACATTTTGCTAGCCAAACATGACAATCCAGTGATCCATCATATAACTGATAAAACTTGAGACCTCCGTGGAGCATTGTCAGGAGGACCTGGTCCAGTGTGGGGTGAGGCCATACTCCAGTCGTCTATACTACTTGGGCTATAAACTGCATCCTGCATCAGCCTGCATCCCTCATACAAGTTGGGATATTTATGTTTCATTTATTGAACATGATTCAACTCTGTACAAGTGTAATGTGTTTTATCTTGGAGGAGGATTGACTTCCGCACATGTCCCCCCCTCCAAATCTGCCACTCAATCCTTTTCATCATATATCGTTTTTAGGGTGGGATTGGGTGGAAGTCTTACCCCTAGTGCCATATACTATCCATACTGATCATGTTTATAATTAAATTATGTATGTATTGGGGCTGAAACAAACTACCTGTAGGGATCTTCACAGCCCACTCAACACTCCATCGAATAGATTCTTTACACTCTACAAGTACTCACTTATCTTTGAGAAGACAAAAGTACCGCTGTTGCAAAGAAAGAGTTTAGTAACCAAAGCCATGAACACAACGCGGCCTTCCAAAGTTCGAAAATCAAAACCTACTACCATGACTAGTACAAGAAGTTTGTAGTTTTGGTGGTACTTTTTCACAAACAAAGTGTTTCCAAATAATCAAATCACATAAACATGCCATGCATCCTACTTTATTACATCCCCAGACAGGACATATACACAGTATGGCTGTCAGTGGTGCTCCGGAGTAAACGTGCATATGATACAGACTGGGATATTCCATGTAAAGTCTTGGCTTCAATGACCTTTTGATTTCAGGGAGATTACAGATATCTGTTGAAGTCCAAAGTTATAGGATGGTTAAGAAGAAGGTAAGCTTAAACAGTTGTTATGTTATTCTGCCCACCACATAACTGCACATCCAGTTTCACAAAGAAACATCCAGAAATAACTGAGTATTGGGTAAAATAATGACTTTCAATGTGGCTGCCATGGTAACCCTATTGATTCATAATCCATTTGTAGTAAAATAATAAACTGACTTATATTGGTGAATGGTACAAATGCATGTCTAGGTGAAGAGAGAGTATTTTCCGATGTTCCCTGCTCTGTCTAGAGTCCCACCTGCCCAGGTTGTAGCCGTACTTGACAGCCCCGAAGAGAAGGACGCCAGCATAGGCATAGAACAGCATGAGGAGAAACATGCCCATGATGATGAAGAAGCTCTTGAACACCGACATCACCACGGTCTGCATCAGCATCTTCAGTGTGGCCTGCAACAAGGAGGAGGGCACAGCTCCATCACTGCCTAGTTCTGGTAGGGATCACAGACCAATGTATGCCACATTAAACTTATCTCCTTACGAGTTCTAAATATAATATGTGCATTTGGCCTTGCTTAACATGATTTACAGTCTCAAACAGAAAATGACAGGTTGGTAACTTTCTGTTGTCAAAGGTCAGAGGAAAGGTGCTTACATGTTTTACATGGTCAGCATACAGAATACTTACGAGGGGCGTTCAATAAGTTTTGCAACTTCAATATCAGACCAAGTCGCAGAATATGTTTTGCACTTTTAATTTTCAATATAATTTCATTTGCCGGAACAGGAAACAGTCACTGGTGGCTAAGTCTGGGCTGTAGGGTGGGTGATTTAACTGTTTGAACCCAGACTTAGCCCCCAGTGACTATTTCTTGTTCTGGCAAATGAAATCTGCCCTACGTGCAAGACGCTTCCAGGATGACGAAGACATAAAGGCTGCCACACAGGTGTGGTTAGAGGGCCAATCTGCAGATTTCTATATTGAACGCCCCTCGTACATGGTGTCCAAGGTCAGTGTATAGCAGGGCTCCAGATAATGTTTCAGCGTCAAGAGTATGTACTTCTTATTATGTCAATATAGGAGTAATGGCAAAACTAAAGAGAACACTTAGAGTACTGAATGGAACTTAATGGGTTAATCTTGTATTTCACTTTGTTAAATGTTAATAACCATAAGCTAACTTTGGTACCGCTGTTCGATATTGTCGGATATTTTTTTCGTATGGAGCAATATAACCATGTCACCGTCGATTCTCCTGTGCTCCTGCTCACATAAACTCTATGTTGTCCAAGGTCAGTGTATAGGGTACTCATATGTTGTCCAAGGTCAGTGTATAGGGTACTCATATGTTGTCCAAGGTCAGTGTATAGGGTACTCATATGTTGTCCAAGGTCAATAAATAGGGTACTCACATGTTGTCCAAGGTCAGTGTATAGGTATGTTGTCCAAGGTCAGTGTATAGGGTATTCACATGTTGTCCAAGGTCAGTGTATAGGGTACTCATATGTTGTCCAAGGTCAGTGTATAGGGTATTCACATGTTGTCCAAGGTCAGTGTATAGGGTACTCATATGTTGTCCAAGGTCAATAAATAGGGTACTCACATGTTGTCCAAGGTCAGTGTATAGGGTACTCATATGTTGTCCAAGGTCAATAAATAGGGTACTCACATGTTGTCCAAAGTCTGTGTATAGGGTATTCACATGTTGTCCAAGGTCAATGTATAGGTATGTGGTCCAAGGTCAGTGTATAGGGTATTCACATGTTGTCTAAGGTCAGCATATAGGGTACTCACATGTTGTCCAAGGTCAATGTATAGGTTACTCACATGTTGTCCAAGGTCTGTGTATAGGTATGTGGTCCAAGGTCAATGTATAGGGTACTCACATGTTGTCCAAGGTCTGTGTATAGGTATGTGGTCCAAGGTCAGTGTATAGGGTATTCACATGTTGTCTAAGGTCAGCATATAGGGTACTCACATGTTGTCCAAGGTCAATGTATAGGGTACTCACATGTTGTCCAAGGTCAATGTATAGGGTACTCACATGTTGTCCAAGGTCAATGTATAGGGTACTCACATGTTGTCCAAGGTCAGTGTATAGGGTACTCACATGTTGTCCAAAGTCAATGTATAGGGTACTCACATGTTGTCCAAGGTCAATGTATAGGGTACTCACATGTTGTCCAAGGTCAGTGTTTAGGGTACTCACATGTTGTCCAAGGTCAGTGTATAGGGTACTCACAAGTTGTCCAAGGTCAGTGTATAGGGTACTCATATGTTGTCCAAGGTCAATGTATAGGGTACTCACATGTTGTCCAAGGTCAGTGTATAGGGTACTCACAAGTTGTCCAAGGTCAGTGTATAGGTATGTTGTCCAAGGTCAGTGTATAGGGTACTCACATGTTGTCCAAGGTCAGCATATAGGGTACTTACATGTTGTCCAAGGTCAGTGTATAGGGTACTCACATGTTGTCCAAGGTCAGTGTATAGGTATGTGGTCCAAGGTCAGTGTATAGGGTACTCACATGTTGTCCAAGGTTAGTGACTAGGGTACTCACATGTTTTCCAGTAATGGTGAAGAAGCGCAGCACAATCACCACATACCCCACAGTGTTGCTGTAGTCATTCTGCACAAACATATACAAACTGTATAAGTCCTGCACAAAAAATTTGATTCAACCTTAAAAAGACATAACTCCCACAGTTTTTATGAAATGCTACATGAATGGAGTAGAAACATTCCTACTGTCGACGCATCATCACAAAGTTCGCCAAACAGTTGGGTAAAATAACCATGTTCCAAAAATAATCCCAAATCCCCTCAACGTAAAACACCATGTTGGCATGGATGTCTGTTGAGAGTTACCCCTTTCACTTAGAGATACTTGATGGCAGCATGGTAACCAATGTTGTCCATCATCATTTACACCTATTCCCTTTGCTGCCTGCAGAACTATGCTGCCTGGCCGTGTGATTGGTTCAAGTGCAGCCTGTACATGCACACTGTACATCCTTTGTAGTTAGGCTCAGATCTTTACAGCCAGCCCTAATACATACAGGTACATTATAACTATTCTTGTACAGATAGATTCAAACTGAACAACACACACACACATGCCATCAGCTTGGTGTGAAGTGTTGCCAGTGTGTACTCATGGCTTGTGGTATGAAGTGTTGCCAGTGTGTACTAACAGCTTGTGGTGTGAAGTGTTGCCAGTGTGTACTCACGGCTTGTGGTATGAAGTGTTGCCAGTGTGTACTAACAGCTTGTGGTGTGAAGTGTTGCCAGAGTGTACTCACGGCTTGTGGTATGAAGTGTTGCCAGTGTGTACTCACAGCTTGTGGTGTGAAGTGTTGCCAGTGTGTACTCACGGCTTGTGGTATGAAGTGTTGCCAGTGTGTACTCACAGCTTGTGGTTTGAAGTGTTGCCAGTGTGTACTCATGGCTTGTGGTATGAAGTGTTGCCAGTGTGTACTCATGGCTTGTGACATGAAGTGTTGCCAGTGTGTACTAACGGCTTGTGGTTTGAAGTGTTGCCAGTGTGTACTCATGGCTTGTGGTATGAAGTGTTGCCAGTGTGTACTCACTGCTTGTGGTTTGAAGTGTTGCCAGTGTGTACTCATGGCTTGTGGTATGAAGTGTTGCCAGTGTGTACTCACGGTTTGTGGTGTGAAGTGTTGCCAGTGTGCACTCACGGCTTGTGGTTTGAAGTGTTGCCAGTGTGTACTCACTGCTTGTGGTGAGAAGTGTTGCCAGTGTGCACTCACGGCTTGTGGTTTGAAGTTTTGCCAGTGTGTACTCATAGCTTGTGGTATGAAGTGTTGCCAGTGTGTACTCATGGCTTGTGGTATGAAGTGTTGCCAGTGTACTCACGGCTTGTGGTGTGAAGTCTTGCTGGTGTGTACTCACGGCTTGTAGTGTGACATGTTGCCAGTGTGTACTCACGGCTTGTGGTATGAAGTGTTGCCAGTGTGTACTCATGGCTTGTGGGGTGAAGTGTTGCCAGTGTGTACTAACGGCTTGTGGTGTGAAGTGTTGTCAGTGTGTACTCAGGCCTTGTGGTATGAAGTGTTGTCAGTGTGTACTTACGGCTTGTGGTATGAAGTGCATGATAATCCAGATGACTCCCAACAGCGTGACAAACATGTCGTATCGGTTGCGCCGACTCGTCCAGTACCCGCCAGGTGTCAGTGCTATCATCTTCATTATAACCTGTACCACACAAGCACAGACGACAATACATTAGTCCCACATACCCAGCTGAAAGACCTGTTGCTAGGCAATGTATCATTACAGCACTAGTACTGGATATTGAACCATGACATTTTAACATTAGACTCAAACTTATGAAAAAAGTTCATAATATAATCAAACATAAACAGAAATAGATTTGATATCACCTCAACTGGTGGGAATATTCACTGTGTGTAGAACGTGTCAGTAGAAAGTGAAAGTTAAGTCTCCCAGTAATTACCTTCAAGACAAAGAGAATGGTGAAGGGTGCCAGTACTTACCTCCAAGGCAAAGAGAATGGTGAAGGGTGCCAGTACTTACCTCCAAGACAAAGAGAATGGTGAAGGGTGCCAGTACTTACCTCCAAGACAAAGAGAATGGTAAAGGATGCCAGTACTTACCTCCAAGACAAAGAGAATGGTAAAGGATGCCAGTACTTACCTCCAAGACAAAGAGAGTGGTAAAGGATGCCAGTACTTTCCTCCAAGGCAAAGAGAATGGTGAAGGGTGCCAGTACTTACCTCCAAGACAAAGAGAATGGTGAAGGATGCCAGTACTTACCTCCAAGACAAAGAGAATGGTAAAGGATGCCAGTACTTACCTCCAAGACAAAGAGAATGGTAAAGGATGCCAGTACTTACCTCCAAGACAAAGAGAGTGGTAAAGGATGCCAGTACTTTCCTCCAAGGCAAAGAGAATGGTGAAGGGTGCCAGTACTTACCTCCAAGACAAAGAGAATGGTGAAGGATGCCAGTACTTACCTCCAAGACAAAGAGAATGGTAAAGGATGCCAGTACTTACCTCCAAGACAAAGAGAATGGTGAAGGATGCCAGTACTTACCTCCAAGACAAAGAGAATGGTGAAGGATGCCAGTACTTTCCTCCAAGACAAAGAGAATGTCGAAGGATGCCAGTACTTACCTCCAAGACAAAGAGAATGGTGAAGGATGCCAGTATTTACCTCCAAGACAAAGAGAATGGTAAAGGATGCCAGTACTTACCTCCAAGACAAAGAGAATGGTAAAGGATGCCAGTACTTTCCTCCAAGACAAAGAGAATGGTAAAGGATGCCAGTACTTTCCTCCAAGACAAAGAGAATGGTAAAGGATGCAAGTACTTACCTCCAAGACAAAGAGAATGGTGAAGGGTGCCAGTACTTTCCTCCAAGGCAAAGAGAATGGTGTAGGGTGCCAGTACTTACCTCCAAGACAAAGAGAATGGGAAAGGGTGCCAGTACTTACCTCCAAGACAAAGAGAATGGTAAAGGATGCCAGTACTTACCTCCAAGACAAAGAGAATGGTAAAGGATGCCAGTACTTACCTCCAAAACAAAGAGAATGGTAAAGGATGCCAGTACTTACCTCCCAGACAAAGAGAATGGTAAAGGATGCCAGTACTTACCTCAAAGACAAAGAGAATGGTGAAGGATGCTAGTACTTACCTCAAAGACAAAGAGAATGGTGAAGGCTGTTGAAAAGCCTGCTAGGATGACTGTCCACTGGCTGTCCTTCCACTGTAGCGGAGAAACAACACATATGTACTGACCCACAACACTAACTAGTAACACTACTTCATGCAATGAGACTTTGACAGCTTAAACTGGCAGTTGGGGAATATGCTTGACCCCATACTAATGCTGTCACTAGCAGGTTCAGACAGTACCCCATTGACAGACAATTAGTCCCAGAAAAAAAGTTATCTTATAAGAAAATATATATACAGTAAACTACAGTTATAACCAACCCAAAGGGACAAATAGTTTTATTTCGTTACTACCGTCAATCGTTATGAGCATTTCTACTGAAGTATATAGCATATGGCTGGACCGAAAATAGAACAAAAACATAATCAAAAGGGAGTCCAGAACAATCCTTAATTTCCGGAACAAACCAAATCTGCAAAGCTCTAATTTGTTGGAATTTCTGTAATCTAGTAAATGTGTCCATGCCACTGCTACTCAGAAGGCATATTTCTGCCCCCTCCCTGCCACCTCCTCCCTTGGTATTCTTCCCCCAGTGTGGCACTCACAGGTTCAAACAGCATACAGCAGTTGGAGAGCACCAGGAGCACCACCACCCTCTTGAAGATGATGTGCTGAGTGATGTCATACATCCAGGATCGGAACTCATTGCGGTCTGAATAGGAACACAAAACATTAATAACAATAAAAGGTGAAATAGTGGAAATGAAATATAGTTTCACCTCATCCAACAAACTGACCTGGTCTGGGGGGTATGTGCAGTAAGGTAAGACTGACCTGGTCTGTGGGGTATGTGCAGTAAGGTAAGACTGACCTGGTCTGGGGGGTATGTGCAGCAAGGTTAAACAGACTGACCTGGTCTGGGGGGTATGTGCAGCAAGGTTAGACAGACAGACCTGGTCTGGGGGGTATGTGCAGCAAGGTTAGACTCACTGACCTGGCCTGGGGGGTATGTGCAGCAAGGTTAGACAGACTGACCTGGTCTGGGGGGTATGTGCAGCAAGGTTAGACAGACTGACCTGGTCTGGGGGGTATGTGCAGCAAGGTTAGACAGACTGACCTGGTCTGGGGGGTATGTGCAGCAAGGTTAGACAGACAGACCTGGTCTGGGGGGTATGTGAAGCAAGGTTAGACTCACTGACCTGGCCTGGGGGGTATGTGCAGCAAGGTTAGACAGACTGACCTGGTCTGGGGGGTATGTGCAGCAAGGTTAGACAGACTGACCTAGCCTGGGGGGGTATGTGCAGCAAGGTTAGACAGACAGACCTGGTCTGGGGGGTATGTGCAGCAAGGTTAGACTGACTGACCTGGTCTGGGGGGTATGTGCAGCAAGGTTAGACAGACTGACCTGGTCTGGGGGGTATGTGCAGCAAGGTTAGACAGACTGACCTGGCCTGGGGGGTATGTGCAGTGGCTGAGCCAGCTTGATCCTGCCCTTCAGGTCCATCCATCTCCTCTGGTCAACTGTCAGCAATGCTGTGCCCTGGACACAGTGGAACACACAAACACCATCTTAACACATGCACACAGCATGACATCATAAATATATGTTAAATACCAACTGATTTGGCTGGCTATACAGAGATTCAATTAGTAGGGGATAATTGTTAGAGAATTCCATTGATACCAAATCATAATCACTTATGCAACCTTGCAATCTTTACATATTGACCCATTCAGTAGAGATTAGGGCTGGGACGAGTCCAAATTTACTACCAAGGTACCCACCCCCCTATTACCCGACCATACCTGGGTACCCTGCCCCCTATTACTCGACCATAGCCCTGGCAAAATGTATTTAGATACATGTATTAAACAATCTGGTCATGCATACACTGAAATTGACTTAAGTTATATCTTTATTCAACCATGTGTCACCCAGAAGGAATGGGTGCATAGTTAGAAAGTATTAGAACATTAGTGACTTGTGGCGCAACTATAGAGTTCTAGATAATTTTTGTCATAAAACAATATATCATGTGACTAACCACAGGTCCGGGTAGACCTTTGGGTATCTGGGCCCTACTCAGTACCCACCAGACCCAGGTACCCAAGTTACCCGTCCAAGCCAAAGTAGAAATCTAATTTGCCAAAATTCACTTCAAAGAATTACTTTACCTCCTTTCAATTAATTGTGTTAGCTTAGGTATTTAATTATATGATTGAAATGTATCTGATAACTGACAAGCTGAAAGGAGGTCTAGGACATAAAACCTACTGCTGGAGAGACAAGCACGCAAGAGTTGTCCAACTGCCTTCATGGAGCATACCTTGTTTTCACTGTAGTTGGCGATGACAACGCCGACAAACAGAGTCAGTCCAATCATGTAGCCAAGGAACACAAAGAAGTGGATGTAGATAGCCTCCATCTGTTGACACAGAGCATCAACCACATCAGTGAAATGAAGAAAAATTACTTGTACTTATTAATCATTACACTTTAACAGACTATCCTTGAGTTTTGCAACTAAAATGTCCGACCCTGCCAACATGGGTGTGGGGACATACTGACTGGTCCGACCCTGCCAACATGGGTGTGGGGAGATACTGACTGGTCCGACCCTGCCAACATGGGTGTGGGGAGATACTGACTGGTCCGACCCTGCCAACATGGGTGTGGGGAGATACTGACTGGTCCGACCCTGCCAACATGAGTGTGGGGAGACACTGACCAGTCCAACCTACATGAGTGTTGGAAGATACTGACTGGTCCGTCCTACATAAGCATGGGGAGATACTGACTGGTCTGAGCTACATGAGTGTGGGGAGATACTGACTGGTCTGAGCTACATGAGTGTGGGGAGATACTGACTGGTCTGAGCTACATGAGTGTGGGGAGACACTGACTGGTCCGACCTACATGAGTGTGGGGAGATACTGACTGGTCTGAGCTACATGAGTGTGGGGAGACACTGACCAGTCCAACCTACATGAGTGTTGGGAGATACTGACTGGTCCGACCTACATGAGTGTGGGGAGACACTGACCGGTCCGACCTCTAGAGTGTTGGGAGATAATGACCGGTCCGACCTACATGAGTGTTGGGAGATACTGACTGGTCCGACCTACATGAGTGTGGGGAGACACTGACCAGTCCAACCTACATGAGTGTTGGGAGATACTGACTGGTCCGACCTACATGAGTGTGGGGAGACACTGATCGGTCTGACCTACATGAGCGTGGGGAGACACTTACTGGTCCGACCTACATGAGCGTTGGGAGATACTGACCGGTCCGACCTACATGAGCATGGGGAGATACTGACTGGTCCGTCCTACATGAGTGTGGGGAGATACTGACTGGTCTGACCTACATGAGTGTGGGGTGATACTGACTGGTCCGAGCTACATGAGCATGGGGAGATACTGACCGGTCCGACCTACATGAGTGTTGGGAGATACTGACTGGTCCGACCTACATGAGTGTTGGGAGATACTGACTGGTCCGACCTACATGAGCATGGGGAGATACTGACTGGTCCGACCTACATGAGTGTGGGGAGACACTGACCAGTCCAACCTACATGAGTGTTGGGAGATACTGACTGGTCCGACCTACATGAGTGTGGGGAGACACTGACCGGTCCGACCTCTAGAGTGTTGGGAGATAATGACCGGTCCGACCTACATGAGTGTTGGGAGATACTGACTGGTCCGACCTACATGAGTGTGGGGAGACACTGACCAGTCCAACCTACATGAGTGTTGGGAGATACTGACTGGTCCGACCTACATGAGTGTGGGGAGACACTGATCGGTCTGACCTACATGAGCGTGGGGAGACACTTACTGGTCCGACCTACATGAGCGTTGGGAGATACTGACCGGTCCGACCTACATGAGCATGGGGAGATACTGACTGGTCCGTCCTACATGAGTGTGGGGAGATACTGACTGGTCTGACCTACATGAGTGTGGGGTGATACTGACTGGTCCGAGCTACATGAGCGTGGGGAGATACTGACCGGTCCGACCTACATGAGTGTTGGGAGATACTGACTGGTCCGACCTACATGAGTGTTGGGAGATACTGACTGGTCCGACCTACATGAGCATGGGGAGATACTGACTGGTCCGACCTACATGAGTGTTGGGAGATACTGACTGGTCCGATCTACATGAGTGTGGGGAGATACTGACTGGTCCGACCTACATGAGCATGGGGAGATACTGACTGGTCCGACCTACATGAGTGTGGGGTGATACTGACTGGTCCGACCTACATGAGCGTGGGGAGATACTGACTGGTCCGAGCTACATGAGTGTGGGGAGATACTGACTGGTCCGACCTACATGAGTGTGGGGAGATACTGACCGGTCCGTCCTACATGAGTGTAGGGAGATACTGACCGGTCCGTCCTACATGAGTGTGGGGAGATACTGACTGGTCCGACCTACATGAGTGTGGGGAGACACTGACCGGTCCGACCTACATGAGTGTGGGGAGATACTGACCGGTCCAACCCTGCTGATGATGACGTCCCTGATCTCCAGCCAGCCCTCCAGGGACAACACCTCAAAGAGAGCCAGCATAGCATTGCCGATGTTGTCAAAGTTGAAGTTGCGTGGGTTGGCCCTGGAAACAGAATAAAGGAATGTCTCACTTTCTCATAGAGTGCACCACATAGAAAACTTATCTTTTGGTATTCTATTTATGAGGGGCTGAAAAAACTATTTAGATTCTCTGCATTGATATTAATCACTGTGAGATGCCTCACAAGGCTTGTCAAGACAGGGAACATGTCTTTGGTCCTCTTCATTTGATGTTGGGAAAGTAAATCTTGTAATAATTAATGTCACTTGAAACACTCTTCTCACTTTATGAGTACTAAGTACTGGTATACCAGATGTTATAAAGCCAGAAAATAGCGTCATCACTATCACCCATCATGGGGCAAACTAGAATTTTGTTTGTTCACATAGTAATGAATAAAAACTATAAAAAAAGAGTTCTAAGTCTTAAGAAGAGATAAGGACTTGTGGTGCTTTATGTCATCAGAAAGGCCCCAATCTCAGTCTTGATAAGTATCTCTTAGATAAACCAACTTCAGTAGTTTCAGAGAAAACTTGTCATTGCAGACACTATGCACCAAGGTGAGGTGAGGTGAGGTGAAACGGGGTTTAACGTAGCGTCCAAGATTATTGCACTTATATAGCGACGTGCATGTACGTGTGTGTGTGTTTGTGTGGCTGCTTGTACTAGTCGGGACCGATGCCGATTTATAGTGCTAACTCACTGAGATACCATGCCGCAGTTTAACATGAATACACCATTTAGACACAGTATACTGACTCCGAGCCGACAAGTCCTTGTTTTAGCCCCTTAATGCCGAGCGCCAGACAGGGGAACAACAAGAACAATCTTTTATCGTCTTTTGGTATGAGTGAGTGAGTATGGTTTTACGCCGCTTTTAGCAATATTCCAGCAATATCACGGCGGGGGACACCAGAAATGGGCTTCACACATTGTACCCATGTCGGGAATCGAACCCGGGTCTTCGGCGTGACGAGCCAACGCTTTAACCACTAGGCTACCCGACCGCCCCTCTTTTGGTATGACGCGGTCGGGGATCGAACCCCGGACCTTACGCTCTACGGGCGGACGCTCTACCACTAGACCAAGGAGGCAGTCCTATACACCAAGAGTAACATAACATGGAAAACATAACTCAGTCTATACAAGTATCTCTTAGAAAAGCATGCAAACTTTCATTTATGTAACTTCAGTAGTTTCTGAGAAAACTTGTCCCTATTTCATGCAGTATGCACTAAGTTGAAAAGCACGGAGCAAGAGCCATAACTCTGTAAAAAAGTAATTTATTAAACCAATTTTTGAACTCATTTGACATGATGACCAGTAACATCAGTGTGTAAAATTCCAATTCTGTGACTTAAATTGATTTTGAAAACATTTGTCCAAATTAAGAAGCAGACGGACGGATGAACTCGGTTCCCATACCCCTACCCAACTTTGTGACGGGGGATAATAGTCTGGACCAGACAAACCAATGAGGGGGGTATGAAATGCAAACCAATTCCATGTGTTCATACATAGTGGCTTTCATCATTCCTCATGTGTTTGCAGGTGTCAATCATTCCTCATGTGTTTGCAGGTGGCAATCATTCCTCATGTGTTTGCTGGTGTCAATCATTCCTCATGTGTTTGCAGGTGGCAATCATTCCTCATGTGTTTGCTGGTGTCAATCATTCCTCATGTGTTTGCAGGTGTCAATCATTCCTCATGTGTTTGCAGGTGTCAATCATTCCTCATGTGTTTGCAGGTGTCAATCATTCCTCGTGTGTTTGCAGGTGTCAATCATTCCTCATGTGTTTGCAGGTGTCAATCATTCATCATGTGTTTGCAGGTGTCAATCATTCCTCGTGTGTTTGCAGGTGTCAATCAGTCCTCATGTGTTTGCAGGTGTCAATCATTCATCGTGTGTTTGCAGGTGTCAATCATTCCTCATGTGTCTGCAGGTGCCAATCATTCCTCATGTGTTTGCTGGTGTCAATCATTCCTCATGTGTTTGCAGGTGTCAATCATTGCAAATGATGAGTGAATTGTTGCCACTGACCAGACTCTTGGTACCAGAAAGCCGGGTCCCTCGCTGTCTTTGCGACCAATCTTCATCTTTGTGATGTACACCTTGCTGAAGAACAGCCCAGTGCAGTTTTCCTGCAACAGACAAACTCCCTGTCCAGTTCATTGCCTCAGACATGTCTCCCTTTATCCACTCCCACAAACATTACAAGATCATTCCTTACCCTCGATCCAATATTTGGGTCATTACAGCGAGCTAGTCGGCCTCCCAGCAGATGTACACCGTACGTGGCAAACACAAACATGAGGACAATCAGCAGCACGGATACCTGACAAATAAACAGTCACATGGTCAGTAGATGCATGGCTACCTGACAAATAAACAGTCACATGGTCAGTAGATGCATGGCTACCTGACAAATAAACAGTCACATGGTCAGTAGATGCATGGCTACCTGACAAATAAACAGTCACATGGTCAGTAGATGCATGGCTACCTGACAAATAAACAGTCACATGGTCAGAAGATGCATGGCTACCTGACAAATAAACAGTCACATGGTCAGTAGATGCATGGCTACCTGACAAATAAACAGTCACATGGTCAGTAGATGCATGGCTACCTGACAAATAAACAGTCACATGGTCAGTAGATGCATGGCTTCCTGACAAATAAACAGTCACATGGTCAGTAGATGCATGGCTACCTGAAAATAAACAGTCACATGGCCAGTAGATGCATGGCTACCTGACAAATAAACAGTCACATGGTCAGTAGATGCATGGCTACCTGACAAATAAACAGTCACATGGTCAGTAGATGCATGGATACCTGACAAATAACAGTCACATGGTCAGTAGATGCATGGCTACCTGACAAATAAACAGTCACATGGTCAGTAGATGCATAGCTACCTGACAAATAAACAGTCACATGGTCAGTAGATGCATGGATATCTGACAAATAAACAGTCGCATGGTGTGTAGATGCATGGATAGGACCAGACAAGGGCACAAGTAGGGGGTACATGGTCTATATGTCACGTAGTACCAGACTAGGGCACAAGTAGGGGGTACATGGTCTATATGTCACGTAGTACCAGACTAGGGCACAAGTAGGGGGTACGTGTTTTATGTGTCACACAGAACCCGACTAGGGCACAAGTAGGGGGTACGTGTTTTATGTGTCACACAGAACCCGACTAGGGCACAAGTAGGGGGTACATGGTCTATATGTCATGTAGAACCAGACTAGGGCACAAGTAGGGGGTACGTGTTTTATGTGTCACACAGAACCCGACTAGGGCACAAGTAGGGGGTACATGGTCTATATGTCATGTAGAACCTGACTAGGGCACAAGTAGGGGTACGTGTTTTATGTGTCACACAGAACCAGACTAGGGCACAAGTAGGGGGTACGTGGTCCATATGTCACGTAGAACCAGAGTAGGGCACAAGTAGGGGGTACGTGGTCCATATGTCACGTAGAACCAGACTAGGGCACAAGTAGGGGGTACGTGTTTTATGTGTCACACAGAACCAGACTAGGGCACAAGTAGGAGGTACATGGTCTATATATCACGTAGAACCCGACTAGGACACAAGTAGGGGGTCTTTAGGAATAACCAGGAGCTCCTTATCCTGTATATGTGAACGTCATGCTGCAGGCTACATACCAGCAATATTTCCCTGAATCCCCGCACCAGCTCAAAGACAACCTTCCTCATGTGAGGCACCAGGCTGTAGATACGTAACGGCCGGAGACATCTCAGGATCATGAAGACCTGTGCACCGGACATGGGGGGCACTTCATTGGGCATCCAGCACAGGAACACAACACTGATCTGTAGTAGGTACATACAAGTTAGTAACAACACATCTACATAGCAATATCACAACAATACCTTATTACATCAATGGATGCCAGTATATGTTGGCTTGCTTGTGCATATTATACACATATTGCAGAACAGAAGATACCTTTCCCAACAAAAACAGTACAAGTGAACTATACCTAATAGAGAAATGTCTAATTGAACAACTTTCAGATCTATGTATGTTACTAGATGAGATTCATTGTATTGAGACTCTGCAACATGAGCTGCGTGTTCACTCTTGCAGCACACATCCTCTTTCAGCTAGCACTCAAGAATCACAAATAACCATGCAAGTCCTGGCAGAGGAGTAAGGATGATGTACAGGTGAATCTGTCACTTACCCCATACACAAACAGATCCAGGATGCCACTGAAGTCCCTCACCACAGCCTTGGGTGTAAACAGCAGGCCGTTTGCCATCAGCTTCAGGCTCATCTCCAGACTCATGCACACAACAAAGGCATACTCCGCAATCTGCAGTAGCGACAATGACAACGGTTCAGTCCACATCAACTTGGGAATACACATTACATGCCTATGCAGTACAAACCTTATATGTACCATGCCCTCAACTCACTTAACAGAGTCCGAGAAACTTCCGGTCTCATGAAACCACCTAGAACACAATGCTGTAGACTTCCAGTCTCATGAAACCACCTAGGACACAATGCTGTAGACTTCTGGTCTAATGAAACCACCTAGAACACAATGTTGTAGACTTCTGGTCTACTGAAATCACCTGGAACACAATGTTGTAGACTTCCAGTCTCATGAAACCACCTAGAACACAATGCTGTAGACTTCTGGTCTAATGAAACCACCTAGAACACAATGTTGTAGACTTCTGGTCTAATGAAATCACCTGGAACACAATGCTGTAGACTTCTGGTCAAATGAAACCACCTAGAACACAATGCTGTAGACTTCTGGTCTAATGAAACCACCTAGAACACAATGTTGTAGGCTTCCGGTCTAATGAAACCACCTAGAACACAATGCTGTAGACATCTGGTCTAATGAAACCACCTAGAACACAATATTGTAGACTTCTGGTCTAATGAAATCACCTAGAACACAATGTTGTAGACTTCTGGTCAAATGAAACCACCTAGAAGACAATGCTGTAGACTTCTGGTCTCATGAAACCACCTAGAACACAATGCTGTAGACTTCCAGTCTCATGAAACCACCTAGAACAAAATGCTGTAGACTTCTGGTATAATGAAACCACCTGGAACACAATGCTGTAGACTTCTGGTCAAATGAAACCACCTAGAACACAATATTGTAGACTTCTGGTCTAATGAAATCACCTAGAACACAATGTTGTAGACTTCTGGTCTAATGAAACCACCTAGAACACAATATTGTAGACTTCTGGTCTAATGAAATCACCTAGAACACAATGTTGTAGACTTCTGGTCAAATGAAACCACCTAGAAGACAATGCTGTAGACTTCTGGTCTAATGAAACCACCTAGAACACAATGTTGCAGACATCTGGTCTAATGAAACCACCCAGAACACAATGCTGTAGACTTCTGGTCTAATGAAATCACCTGGAACACAATGTTGTAGACTTCTGGTCTAATGAAACCACCTAAAACACAATGCTGTAGACTTCTGGTCTAATGAAATCACCTAGAACACAATGCTGTAGACTTCTGGTCAAATGAAACCACCTAGAAGACAATGCTGTAGACTTCTGGTCTAATGAAACCACCTAGAACACAATGTTGTAGACTTCTGGTCAAATGAAACCACCTAGAAGACAATGCTGTAGACTTCTGGTCTAATGAAACCACCTAGAACACAATGCTGCAGACATCTGGTCTAATGAAACCACCTGGAACACAATGCTGTAGACTTCTGGTCAAATGAAACCACCTAGAACACAATATTGTAGACTTCTGGTCTAATGAAATCACCTAGAACACAATGTTGTAGACTTCTGGTCTAATGAAACCACCTAGAACACAATATTGTAGACTTCTGGTCTAATGAAACCACCCAGAACACAATGCTGTAGACTTCTGGTCTAATGAAATCACCTAGAACACAATGTTGTAGACTTCTGGTCTAATGAAACCACCTAAAACACAATGTTGTAGACTTCTGGTCTAATGAAACCACCTAGAACACAATGTTGTAGACTTCCAGTCTCATGAAACCACCTAGAACACAATGCTGTAGACTTCTGGTCTAATGAAATCACCTAGAACACAATGTTGTAGACTTCTGGTCAAATGAAACCACCTAGAAGACAATGCTGTAGACTTCTGGTCTAATGAAACCACCTAGAACACAATGTTGCAGACATCTGGTCTAATGAAACCACCTAGAACACAATGCTGTAGACTTCTGGTCTAATGAAATCACCTAGAACACAATGTTGTAGACTTCTCATCTAATAAAACAACATCAGCACAATCTTATAGACTTCTGGTCTAATGAAATCACCTAGGACCTAATGCTATAGATGTCATGAAAGGAACGTCTAATTCCTTGAAAAAGCTTCACAACAAAGTTTTGTGATATTCACATGTGTTCACTGCAGTAGAAGTGTTATTGTGGCCGAGTTGATTTTATTGCTATTTTTTTTTTAAAATATTTTAGTAAAGTCCTTTAATTGTCTTGTTTCTGTTTTAACCTGTTTCTGTCTCAAGCTAGATTACTTGAGCAGTATGAAAACAACAACAATTAGATTAGCTCCAGTAGCCACTTTCACCTACACAGTCACCAACAGCACAAGCGTCTTGCTTTGTTTTCCTTCCCAGCTTCTGTATTATGTAAGTAAAAGGTTTCTTCTGTTTTTTGCTGACTTTGCTAAATTAGTTGGTCAATACACTTGAAGGAAATCAGTGGTTCTGTGGACTGGATTCAAATCAGTGGATGATTTATATTTGTTGTGTTCAGGATCTCTATAAGGTTAGTTTGTGTTTGATTCATATTTATGTATCTTGTAGATATGTCTGTGTATTTAGTTTTATGAATTAGATGTATTAAGGTAATGCATTGATTGGTAATTATATATATTTTATATATAGCTATATATGTCAAACTGAAAATAGTTTAAAACACAAGTATTTGTCACAGAGTGACGAAATATCCCCCGCCTGTACACCATAGTACCAAATATGAAGACAATCCAGCGATTAGTTCTTGAGATATTGTGGCAACACCGTTTTCCAACTCCAAAAACAGATTTGCCTGCTGTGACCTTGAAAATGGGGTCAAGGTCACCAAATCTGACAGGTGTATGCGGTGTCTGTATATACACTATAGTTCCAAATATGAAGACAATCCAGCGATTAGTTCTTGAGATATCGCGGCAACACCGTTTTCTAACTCCAAAAGCAGATTTGCCTGCTGTGACCTTGACAATGGGGTCAAGGTCACCACAACAGACTGGTGTCTGCGGTGTCTGTATATACACCATAGTTCCAAATATGAAGACAATCCAGTGTTTAGTTCTTGAGATATCGCGGCAACACCGTTTTCCAATTCCAAAAGCAGATTTGCCTGCTGTGACCTTTAAAATGGGATCAAGGTCACCAAAACCGACTGGTGTCTGCGGAGTCTGTATATACACCATAGTTCCAAATATGAAGACAATCCAGTGTTTAGTTCTTGAGATATCGCGGCAACACCGTTTTCCAACTCTAAAAGCAGATTTGTCTGCTGTGACCTTGAAAATGGGATCAAGGTCACCAAAACCGACTGGTGTCTGCGGAGTCTGTATATACACCATAGTTCCAAATATGAAGACAATCCAGTGTTTAGTTCTTGAGATATCACGGCAACACCGTTTTCCAACTCTAAAAGCAGATTTGTCTGCTGTGACCTTGAAAATGGGATCAAGGTCACCAAAACCGACTGGTGTCTGCGGAGTCTGTATATACACCATAGTTCCAAATATGAAGACAATCCAGTGTTTAGTTCTTGAGATATCGCGGCAACACCGTTTTCCAACTCCAAAAGCAGATATGCCTGCTGTGACCTTGAAAATGGGGTCAAGGTCACCAAAACCGACTGGTGTCTGCGGAGTCTGTATATACACCATAGTTCCAAATATGAAGACAATCCAGTGTTTAGTTCTTGAGATATCGCGGCAACAAACAGGTGGGACGTACGGACGGACGTACGGACGGTCGTGAATACTATATCCCCCGCTTCGCGCTTTCGCGTGGCGGGGGATAATAAACTAGTACTTCATAATAAGTATACATGTTATCTCGATATCTTCAGATATTCCATACCTTCCCTCTTAATTTGCTGGGGGCACGGGTGGCCCAGTCGTCTAAGGCGCCGCGTTTCGCTGTGCAGAGTTGCGTCCCTTGGTCACGCCAGAAACCTATGATTGTGGGTTCCAATCCCGGTTCGCCCCAATTATGTTTCTAGGTTTGTCAGCACCTTACCCGTGCTCGTGGGTTTCACCGAAGTGGTAAACGTCTGAGACCTGCATCACTTTGGGCTTTCCTCCCACATTAAGCTGACACGCCGTGATATAACTGGAATACTGTTAAAAGCGGCGTTAAACCCAACTCACTCACTCACTCTTAATTTGCTAAACACTTCAGTTAAATCTAAACTAAATCTATAATCAAATTTAACTATTAATCACTACTTAAATACCATCTAACTACATGTGTGAATGCAGTATGTATGTATGTAGATTATGATTGAATGGATACATATGAAAAGGTCATTTTACATGTTCTTAATTTTATTGGCCATTTCCTTTTTCTTTTGCGGCCTTATTGTTTCAATTTTTCTAGAATATGGCAATCAATGTTATTACGATGCCTGTGATCTGCCAACGCTGACATAGTTGCCAGCTCATTGCCACACAGTGGTAAGTTATGTGTATATTGTGTTTATATTATATTTATATTATATTTATATTATATTTATATCATGGCAATCTGTAGAGGCGGTATTTATGTAACCGTCTTAAGTATTTTTAGATGTAATTTGGCTTAAAACTACAAGGGTAAGTGTAACTACTGCTCAGCATGTTTGATACATTAATGTAAAATATCAAGTATAAATAATGTTTATAGTATGCATAGCATATTAAACTGGATTTGCCGTTTATGCATTGGTGTGTTGATACTATGTGATATGTTTGTTATATTTCATCTATTAGATATTTTCATTGTATTTTTGCAGAGTTCAGAAACAACTAGCGTGTGTGCAAATAAAATCAGCTGTCAACTCACACCCCAGTAGCCTGTTCTGTGTTTACTGCCCTAACTGGAGCCTTGCCCGCTACTACATTATAACAAGATCCTGAGCTTCTAGCTGATGAGCGAGCTTGCTTTGTAAGAAATTCACATGACTAACTGTTTTGACAAAACACATGGTAAATATCATACAACTCATAAACCCTGTCCTATGCCTCATAGCGAGAAATACGTACTTTTTGTCGAATGACCTTTACCCACAATCTCAGTATATCACTTGCAAGGACATTTCTTGTTGTCAACATCCAACTTTACAACACCTCCCTCCCCGATGATTTGTACAGTGACCCTGACCCTGGTCACATGAACCCGAGCACTTCAGTGCCAGGTCACATAATACTGATCTATATACTAAAATCTGGTTATATGATGAATGAGTGAGTAAGTCAAAATTCAATGACACATGACAATATTTCTGCGATATAGTTACCAATGGTATAACCATGTACATTTGATAACATTCAGAATGAAGCATTATTTTATTAAATCTCAATGAACTAACAGTTGTGCCACCAAAAGCAAGGTTACCTTTAACTTGTCATCGTTCATGATGCGCCTGTGTGGAGTCTCCATCATCATGGATGTGCAGGAGAGGATGGTGACGATGATCATCACCCAGTCCAGGTAAGTCACCAGCCCCAGCAGCTTACTGCAACACAGACACGCCATTAGACACTCAACTCACTGGTGTCAGCTTCAAGGAAACAAGGAAACAAAAAGAGAAAGCTTAATATTGAACTCACTGGAAGCGCTTATACTTGCTCTTGATTTCTTTGCCAGTGATGGGGTCACGTGACATGTATTTGTACTTGGCATTGACAATGAGTTGACAGATCTTCCTCAGCTTGCTCTCCCGGCCCACAAAGAACAGCGGAGTGTCGAAGTAAGGGTGGTTTTCCCGCAGCTCCTCCTCCTGCTGGTTCCTGTCAGTAAAACACAGATTTGTACACTACCACTACACAGGCTTGTACACTACTACCACTACACAGGCTTGTACACTACTACCACCACACAGGCTGTACACCACCACACAGGCTTGTACACCACTACCACCACACAGGTTTGTACACCACCACACAGGCTTGTACACCAGTACCACTACACAGGCTTGTACACCACTACCACCACACAGGCTTGTACACTACCACCACACAGGCTTGTACACCACCACACAGGCTTGTAAACCACTACCACCACACAGGCTTGTACACTACTACCACCACACAGGCTTGTACACCACTACCACCACACAGGCTTGTACACCACTACCACCATACAGACTTGTACACCACTACCACTATACATACTTGTACACTACCACTACACAGGCTTGTACACCACTACCAGTACACCTGCTTGTACACTACCACTACACAGGCTTGTACACCACTACCACCACACAGGCTTGTACACAACTACCACTACATAGGCTTGTACACCACTACCACTACACAGACTTGTACACTACCACAGCCTTGTACACCACTACCACAGGCTTGTACACAGGCTTGTACACCACTACCACAGGCTTGTACACTACTACCACAGGCTTGTACACTACTACCACAGGCTTGTACACTACTACCACAGGTTTGTACACAGGCTTGTACACCACTACCACTACACAGACTTGTACACTACCACAGCCTTGTACACCACTACCACAGCCTTGTACACCACTACCACAGGCTTGTACACCACTACCACAGGCTTGTACACTACTACCACAGGTTTGTACACATCCATGGCACAGAAACAACTACCCACAGGGTCATGGTCTTTGTGTTGTTCCTATTTACTTCCCACTGCATCAGCTTCTCACCTCTTGATCTCTGCCTGTTGTTTCTTCTGCTGCCACACCTTGATATCAAAGTCATCTGTGCGGCGACCGGCCAGACTCCCAGCATGCATCATGTTTATGTCACCATTCTCCCGCAGTGTGCCGTGAGGCCGGATACGCATGCTACTTGGGCGGGATCCACGCATGCTCCTTGAAATAAAAAAACAGGATCACCTCTGTGTATTGGATAGTGAGGGAGTGAATGTTGTTTAATTCTGGATTGTGAGTGAATGTTGTTTAACACTGGATAGTGAGGGAGTGAATGTTGTTTAACACTGGATAGTGAGGGAGTGACTGTTGTTTAACACTGGATAGTGAGGGAGTGAATATTGTTTAACACTGGATAGTGAGTGAGTGAAGGTTGTTTAATGTTGGATAGTGAGGGAGTGAATGTTGTTTAATGTTGGATAGTGAGGGAGTAAATGTTGTTTAACACTGGCTAGTGAGGGAGTGAATGTTGTTTAACACTGGATAGTGAGGGCGTGAATTAGGAGATAAACATACTGTGTTTTCATTGTAGAGTTAGGTTACCTGTAGATTTAACCCTGCTAAATTGAATTTGGAACCGAACGCGCATCCTGAGGTTTCAAATGTTAAATTTAGCGTGGGTAAATCTACAGGTAACCTAGCTCTACATTGAAAACACCGTATGTTTTTCTCCATTCTACCATGACTAAATAAAACGCCAACTCTTTGGTGTTAGCAAATATACTGAGTGAAGCGGCATGGGTTGAGTTCAGTGTTTTGAGTGGGTTATCGATCTGAATTACGGAATCACCAAACAAAATATGGCGCTGTATATACTCAAGCAGTTTGTTCACACCGTAACACTTCAATCGAACATATGACAGGCATTGAATTATAAGCACGACAACTTGGTAAGCTAACATGAGGTGGGCATCCCTAAAGAAAACAAAGCAAGCTTTGCAAGGCTTTCTCTCTACATCGCACATCACCATTATGACGTCATATCGCTCATTGTGACGCAAAAAATATGACGTCACAGTCGTATATAGAAAAGCGCCAAAATTCCAAGCTCTCTGTTGTCTCCAAAACGTAAATACATTCCCCTTGTTGATTTCTGTCGTGTTTTTCTGCACGAAATGTATTGCCACACATCCTTTGAATATTGTAGTAACCGCATCTGTGCATTTTGTAACCTGTAATTGTAGATATAATTATTTAAATATGCCTACCAACAATGACTGAAAATAGTACTATTCTATGAATATTAGCTTCCGCGGTGATGCGACCGTCAAACCAGCTGTTTCAATCAGAGGGGGTTTATTGTGATTTAATAGCCTCCGATTGACTAATCAGAATTGAGTAAATTCCAAATTCATGGTAGAATGTTGTTAAATACTGGATTGTGAGTGAATGTTGTTTAACACTGGATAGTGAGGGAGTGAATGTTGTTTAATACTGGATTGTGAGTGAACGCTGTTTAACACTGGATAGTGAGGGAGTGAATGTTGTTAAATGTTGGATAGTGAGGGAGTGAATGTTGTTTAACACTGGATAGTCAGTGAGAGAATGTTGTTTAATGTTGGATAGTGAGGGAGTGAATGTTGTTTAACACTGGATAGTGAATGGGTGAATTATGTTTTGTACTGGATAGTGAGTGATTGAATGCTGTTTAACACTGCAATATTCAACCTGCATCATGGCAGGCTGTAAATAATCAAGTCTGGGCTAGGCAAAGAAGTGTCTCAGGCCATCATGGAACAATGATATGCTATCATCCAAATCAGAGCCTGACCAAAAGATCCATCTTCAGTTCATTTGGACAAGTACAGGACCATATTCTACTGAGTACCCCCACAGGGGGATAACTGGATACCAACAGATGCCTACAAAGCCTCATTGAAGCTGGCCAAACAAGCAGCTAATCCATTACCTGCGCTGGTCCATGCGTATCTGATGCTGCTGCCCCAGTAAGGACAGGGCCTTACTTCCGGCTGCTATCAGCTGGGCTGACCCTCCGCTCTCCACCTTGTGCTGACTTGAATCTCTGGTCATACAAACACACACTTTACCCACAATGTAAGTACCAGCAATGTAGTTTTATTTTACATAAATGAAGACAATGTTCAGGTGCCAAATTTGTTGTTTTAAAGTCTCCACTCATGCATTTGTTTTCTGCACCAATGCAGGAAGTAGTCATCAAAGGTATATCATCTCCTTGTTCATATCATGATATTCTGATGATTCTTGTGTTCCCTTGACAGGGTACTATTAATCAAACTCTCATCAAACTTCCACTAATTAAGTTATACAAGCTTTTGCCCTGGAAGGGTGTATTAACCAGGTAGGTAATCCTGTGCACATCAAAAGCACTACGCAATGGATAAATCATGAGAATCTCTAGATTCATGGAAATAGAATTAACTTCCAGAAGCAACTGATTTGAGTGATTTTCCTGACTTAACCAGATTATTGTTGATGTAGAATTTTGCATAATGACCAATAGCTCCATCCGTTTTACTTGCCAAACTGTTGTACAGAATGGTCAGTGAATTGCTGACTCAGAGTCAAGGGCACCAACAATAGTTGGTTTGTTGTTAAACACCCAACTCAGAAATATACCAGCTATATGATGGCTGTCTGTAAATAATTGAGTCCAGACCAGACAATCCAGTGATTGACATCATGAGCATCGATCTAGTCAAGTTGGATATGTTGACATGCATCAACCGAGTTAGTGAGTCTGACCACCTCATTCTGTTAGTCTCCTCTTAAGACAAGCATAGTCACTTCTTACGGCAAGCATGGGTTTCTGAAGACTTATTTCGACCCAGATCTTCACAACATTAGTGTGACATCATCATAAAGGTTTAACTACTTAGCCAGTAGTGGGCTAGCACTGATACTATCACAACCCCACCTGACAATGGTAAAGATGCCACTCTTCTTCTCTACCACCCCCCCACTGCGTGTCTCGTGTGTGGGGGACTTGATGAGGTGGAGGTGAGCTGCCTTGAGGCAGGAGGACACCTGGTGGTCGTTGTCCTGGGTGTCCACCACCAGGTTCAGGCTGTTCTGATGGGTCTGGAACTGGCGCATGAAGCTCTCACGCACATCTGCGATGTCAAAGTCACTGGACATTTTGTGTACTCTCACCATCTGGGGATGGTCACTGAAAAGGAAACCTTTCTTGTTTAATGGGAAATTCACACCCTAAGATGTGATGAACTATTTCCTAAAACATACATTCTTGTAATTCGCAATTTAATTTTAGTTAACAAGGATGAAATAGTGTTCACAACTCGGTGAATCAATTTAATGTAAGCCACAGTGACACAATCATGTGCATTTCTGTTCGTCATACCATGAGCAGATGGAATCGGGGAACCCAGTGTTCATTTCAGTAACCGGAAAAGTGGGGCCCAATGTCCCTACCTTTCTAACAACTGGGGCCCATTTCCGGTGTCCCATTTTTGGTTATGCTTTGGTGTCATGTCGTAACTGCATTTTTCATTAGAGATTGACTGTAATCAAGTTATCAATAAAAGCACCAGTGTCATGTTGGTTTATTGATTAATAATATGACAATCACCAAAAAGCAGTAATCATCAATTCTTGTCATAAATTGTTAAAAATCAACTTACGGGAATCTGGCAAACACTCGCAGTCTGAGAGGCAGGAACTCCTGGGTCTCAGCACTCATCTCCCTGGCCTTCAACTGTCAACATGGAAACACAGCACACCTGTAGCACAAACAACCTCATCACCCCGGCCTCCAACTGTCAACATGGAAACACAGCACACCTGTAGCACAAACAACCTCATCTCACTGGCCTCCAACTGTCAACAAGGAAACACAGCACACCTGTAGCACAAACAACCTCATCACCCTGGCCTTCAACTGTCAACATGGAAACACAGCACACCTGTAGCACAAACAACCTCATCTCCCTGGCCTCCAACTGTCAACATGGAAACACAGCACACCTGTAGCACAAACAACCTCATCACCCTGGCCTCCAACTGTCAACATGGAAACACAGCACACCTGTAGCACAAACAACCTCATCTCCCTGGCCTTCAACTGTCAACATGGAAACACAGCACACCTGTAGCACAAACAACCTCATCACCCTGGCCTTCAACTGTCAACATGGAAACACAGCACACCTGTAGCACAAACAACCTCATCACCCTGGCCTCCAACTGTCAACATGGAAACACAGCACACCTGTAGCACAAACAACCTCATCTCCCTGGCCTTCAACTGTCAACATGGAAACACAGCACACCTGTAGCACAAACAACCTCATCACCCTGGCCTTCAACTGTCAACATGGAAACACAGCACACCTGTAGCACAAACAACCTCATCACCCTGGCCTTCAACTGTCAACATGGAAACACAGCACACCTGTAGCACAAACAACCTCATCACCCCGGCCTTCAACTGTCAACATGGAAACACAGCACACCTGTAGCACAAACAACCTCATCACCCTGGCCTCCAACTGTCAACATGGAAACACAGCACACCTGTAGCACAAACAACCTCATCTCCCTGGCCTTCAACTGTCAACATGGAAACACAGCACACCTGTAGCACAAACAACCTCATCACCCTGGCCTTCAACTGTCAACATGGAAACACAGCACACCTGTAGCACAAACAACCTCATCAACCTGGCCTTCAACTGTCAACATGGAAACACAGCACACCTGTAGCACAAACAACCTCATCTCCCTGGCCTCCAACTGTCAACATGGAAACACAGCACACCTGTAGCACAAACAACCTCATCACCCTGGCCTTCAACTGTCAACATGGAAACACAGCACACCTGTAGCACAAACAACCTCATCACCCCGGCCTCCAACTGTCAACATGGAAACACAGCACACCTGTAGCACAAACAACCTCATCTCCCTGGCCTCCAACTGTCAACATGGAAACACAGCACACCTGTAGCACAAACAACCTCATCTCCCTGGCCTCCAACTGTCAACATGGAAACACAGCACACCTGTAGCACAAACAACCTCATCACCCACACACCAAATTTGCAACGAAATGCTGAAATCACTCATAAATGAGTCTTGTTAATCCGACACATTGATCAGGGTATTCGGTGGTCATCTGCCTGCGAGTACACAGCTCCGTGTTTTGATGGGAGACAAGTCAGCTGGTGGCTCCATATAACAACTGCTGCAGATATAACCTTGCTTGACAATAAACACGTCAGAACGTTCTTTCGCAAGCTCTGACCGGCCATTGAAACAGGAAGTCACCATTAGCCACAAAGAAAGCAGCTTTCTCGAGTTTTTGTGGCACTAGTTCCGAACTGGCAACTTTCATTCCAGACTATGCTTTCAAAAGTATTTTAAGTCAGTCCCAGTACAGCCTGTAACAGTAGTTTTGTGTTACGCTTTAGAGGTTGCATGATTCGAAAACATAGTCCGCTAACAATAGAACATTACAAGATGCAACATGTTTGTATCATTATCTATTGTGTAGCTGTCTGATTTTCAATCACAAATGTTGATACTACTTAATTTTGTTTATCCAACATTCCCGTTAATCCGACATAATCACATGCAACCAACCAGGTCGGATAAATGGGACTTGACAGTATTAATAATTGACAAGAAGCTTACAGTGTCCCTGTACATGTTCTAAGACAAATATCTGAAGAAAGACCCCCTATAAGTCCTCCGACACAAAGTCACTAGACAGAGTACTGGCTGGCTATCCACCGGAGTAGGTAACCACAATGCATTACAACATGATGAGCAAGTCCTGACCTGTTTCAGCTTCTTGATGTCTTCATCCAACTCCAAGTTGTCAAGGATAACAGCCACAAACAAGCTGATGACAATCTGTGTATAGCAGTACCATTATACAGCAGCAGTAACAACACACACATGGCACCACCAACATCATCTCCATCAGGATTAATTATTACATTCTTCATTTATATTAACACTTATCAGGTGCCAAGTTAGTTCTATAGAAATAACATTTAATATACATTATTACAAATTTATTGAATACCATAAAAAAGACAATGATTAGATATCATTAGATATATGATATTATAACACATCAATTACAAAGAAATGATATACACTTGTAAAAGGAAACACAGCACGATATCTGAAGTAATAAATATATCCGACTCACAACTACCACAAATAGTTTATGTGCAAAATATAACCACCACACCAAAGCCAGACATTTCAATGGTACAAGAATACATCTGGGACATCTATTTACATGAACAAAAGATGACACTGAAATCAACAGAGTATAAAAACAACATGAGTACCAGCAGAAGAACTGAGCTATTCCGCTAGAAGTGTTAGCTTATGGTCAGGTAGTTTCAGCATGTTTGCACTGGATTTCACACAGTTAACTGAAAGATTTTCAAAGGGTTAGACAATCAAGACAGATAGTGTCTATATCTCAAATCCAAACTCAAAACAAAAATGTTTCAAGAGGGTGAAAGTTGCTATAACCACTGAAACTTACAAAACATCCCTCGTAAATAGGGAGAATTTATCATCCTTAAATGCCATCGGGCAATTTGTATTGGATTAGTATTGAACACATCATGTAGGACATTTGAACGCCTTATGGTTACCTTGTGTTGTGGTTGCTAACATTTACTGTTACCATACAGACCGCGGAGACACTAAGGTACAGTGTGATGCTAGGTGGCAGAGTAGCTGCTGAAAACAAACAGAACTGAAAAGAATACAAAGATATGTGTACAGACATCTAGAATACATGGATCCCCAGCCTGCACGACTCACAGCCCGGCTTCTCCACCTGTCTCTGTTGTCATGGTAACTATGGCAGTATTGGGCCACGCCCCTGTGTTCAGGCTCTCCTCAGCTCCACCTCACAGTACGCAACATTATAGGGTGAACATTTATAGCGGTATCACTTAAGATTTGCCCCAAAAGCTGAAAAACAGAACTTGAACAGTTTAAGTCAAGTCAGTTATTTAATCATAAAATGTGAAAAATTTGTCGCAAAATTATCCTAATTTTGGAATCATGATGAACTAAGATGATTGGACTTTGTACTTGACATTGTTTGTGCTCTCTACAGTCTCTGAAATACAGTAGGCTATACAACCAGGTTGAGTGTTTAATATTTCTTTTCCTGCTAACTAATATATAAGGCTACTGTCATCATACGGCATTTCTGATTGAAAGATTTCAATTTTCATCTGACATCATTACATAGCTGCTCTGATAGAGGTAGTGGCAGATTGTCTTCGAGTTCAGGTCTCTTATTTCAGTACACTCCCTCCGACAGCACATCTGTAAATACTGCATTAACCTCCCGAGATATTGCCTCTGTCTGCCATGGACCTGAGCTGGCCTGAACACAGGGATGCTGAGTGGTGTCAGACAAATATCTGGCAGCCAGATCCTCCACACAGGACTACACTACACAGGACGACACCACAGGAGCACCACCACAGGCAGGGGGCACACTGTAGTGCCACCAGCTTTAGTAAGTTGTTACAGATCACGTGTTTCATCTCACTAACAGGTGCACAATCAGTAGACTTGATATGTTGACAGTTAGACTATCTACCACACATTTGTTAGGTAGTGTGTGCGTGCCCCATATATTGGCCCACAGTCAGAATCATAGTTCTCACACGTTTACACTAGCTTTACGTAAAAATGATTAAAATACCTTATCTAACAATAATGATCCTCGCGAAAGAAAGGCCTTGACAAATCCAGGTAGTTTTATTGCATAACCCACATTGTTCAGAACATCTGTAGTCTGTCTTGTACCCAGGGTATTTAACGGAGACAGAAATATCAGCAGAAACCTAAATTTACCTGTACTTGGTCTATATACATGATGATATACTTCGATTCGGTCGGACTGACGAGAAAAAGATTAATCTTTATTTCAAAGGACACATTTTGTTCAAATTTAACTTACATTTTGAATTTATTAAATCAGTCATGATTTGTTGAACTCTACTTCACTTGAGTAACAACAATATTGGTCCGGTGATAAAAAATAGGTAACTTGCACCAAGCCTCATAACCTGTGATACCGACATCCGTGTTGACTTGACCCCTGCCTAGCTGTAACGTATGACTGGACTGTAGGCCATGAGGGTGTGAGTGTGTGAGTGATATTATCCACTGTCAGCTGGCCCCACAAGTCGGATGTGTTAGTGAGATAGCATATTCAGTTTGTAGACCACATTAACAGCGTTTCCCCGGCACAACAAGCCACAAACAGAATATGCTACTGGAGTGTATCGGTGCCGCTGTCCTGCAGGTAGATAATATATAACTGACACGTAGCCTACTCTAGAAGGAAGATATTTGTCTGAAAATGTCATTAATAGCATTCATTTATGACCCCAAATTATTTTATGCTCAAATATGAACTTGGAACAGTATTCCATTGAAGGACTTATGAGTAGGTCTTTTTTCTTTTAGCCTGAGAAGATCCATTGTTTCCCACTGCCTGCAAGGGGCAACCTGTCATGCACAGCAACTCCTAGGAGCATATCCAGCTCTTTCATCAACAAACACAGAAACATGTTGTGTTCCCAAGTACCCCTACAGTCAGGCTGAAACATGCTGTGTCTCCAAGTACCCCTACAGTCTGGCTGAAACATGTAGTGTCTCCAAGTACCCCTACAGTCTAGCTGAAACATGTACTGTCTCCAAGTACCCCTACAGTCAGGCTGAAACATGTTGTGTCCCCAAGTACCCCTACAGTCAGGCTGAAACATGTTGTGTCCCCAAGTACCCCTACAGTCTGGCTGAAACATGTAGTGTCCCCAAGTACCCCTACAGTCAGGCTGAAACATGTAGTGTCTCCAAGTACCCCTACAGTCAGGCTGAAACATGTTGTGTCCCCAAGTACACCTACAGTCTAGCTGAAACATGTACTGTCTCCAAGTACCCCTACAGTCAGGCTGAAACATGTAGTGTCCCCAAGTACCCCTACAGTCTGGCTGAAACATGTAGTGTCCCCAAGTACACCTACAGTCCGGCTGAGACATGTAGTGTCTCCAAGTACCCCTACAGTCTGCCTGAAACATGTTGTGTCCCCAAGTACCCCTACAGTCTGGCTGAAACATGTTGTGTTCCCAAGTACCCCTACAGTCAGGCTGAAACATGTAGTGTCCCCAAGTACCCCTACAGTCAGGCTGAAACATGCTGTGTCCCCAAGTACCCCTACAGTCTGGCTGAAACATGTTGTGTCCCCAAGTACCCCTACAGTCAGGCTGAAACATGTTGTGTTCCCAAGTACCCCTACAGCATGGCTGAAACATGTTGTGCCCCTAAGTACCCCTACAGTCAGGCTGAAACATGTTGTGTCCCCAAGTACCCCTACAGTCTGGCTGAAACATGTTGTGTCCCTAAGTACCCCTACAGTCAGGCTGAAACATGTTGTGTCCCCAAGTACCCCTACAGTCTGACTGAAACATGTTGTGTCCCCAAGTACCCCTACAGCATGGCTGAAACATGTTGTGTCCCCAAGTACCCCTACAGCATGGCTGAAACATGTTGTGTCCCCAAGTACCCCTACAGCATGGCTGAAACATGTTGTGTCCCCAAATACCCCTACAGTCTGGCTGAAACATGTAGTGTCCCCAAGTACCCCTACAGTCAGGCTGAAACATGTAGTGTCCCCAAGTACCCCTACAGTCTGGCTGAAACATGTAGTGTTCCCAAGTACCCCTACAGTCAAGCTGAAACATGCTGTGTCCCCAAGTACCCCTACAGTCAGGCTGAAACATGTAGTGTCCCCAAGTACCCCTACAGTCAGGCTGAAACATGTTGTGTCCCCAAGTACCCCTACAGTCTGGCTGAAACATGTAGTGTCCCCAAGTACCCCTACAGTCAGGCTGAAACATGTAGTGTCCCCAAGTACCCCTACAGTCTGGCTGAAACATGTAGTGTCCCCAAGTACCCCTACAGTCAGGCTGAAACATGTTGTGTCTCCAAGTACCCCTACAGTCTGGCTGAAACATGTAGTGTCCCCAAGTACTCCTACAGTCTGGCTGAAACATGTTGTGTTCCCAAGTACCCCTACAGTCTGGCTGAAACATGTTGTGTCCCCAAGTACCCCTACAGTCAGGCTGAAACATGTAGTGTCCCCAAGTACCCCTACAGTCAGGCTGAAACATGTAGTGTCCCCAAGTACCCCCACAGTCTGGCTGAAACATGTTGTGTCCCCAAGTACCCCTACAGTCTGGCTGAAACATGTTGTGTTCCCAAGTACCCCTACAGTCTGGCTGAAACATGCTGTGTCCCCAAGTACACCTACAGTCAGGCTGAAACATGTAGTGTCTCCAAGTACCCCTACAGTCTGGCTGAAACATGTAGTGTCTCAGAGTACCCCTACAGTCTGGCTGAAACATGTTGTGTCCCCAAGTACCCCTACAGTCTGGCTGAAACATGTAGTGTCCCTAAGTACCCCTACAGTCTGGCTGAAACATGTAGTGTCTCAAAGTACCCCTACAGTCTGGCTGAAACATGTAGTGTCCCCAAGTACCCCTACAGTCAGGCTGAAACATGTTGTGTTCCCAAGTACCCCTACAGTCAGGCTGAAACATGCTGTGTCCCCAAGTACCCCTACAGTCAGGCTGAAACATGTAGTGTCCCCAAGTACCCCTACAGTCTGGCTGAAACATGTAGTGTCCCCAAGTACCCCTACAGTCTGGCTGAAACATGTTGTGTCCCCAAGTACCCCTACAGTCAGGCTGAAACATGTAGTGTCCCCAAGTACCCCTACAGTCAGGCTGAAACATGTAGTGTCCCCAAGTACCCCCACAGTCTGGCTGAAACATGTTGTGTCCCGAAGTACCCCTACAGTCTGGCTGAAACATGTTGTGTTCCCAAGTACCCCTACAGTCTGGCTGAAACATGCTGTGTCCCCAAGTACACCTACAGTCAGGCTGAAACATGTAGTGTCTCAAAGTACCCCTACAGTCTGGCTGAAACATGTAGTGTCCCCAAGTACCCCTACAGTCAGGCTGAAACATGTTGTGTTCCCAAGTACCCCTACAGTCTGGCTGAAACATGCTGTGTCCCCAAGTACCCCTACAGTCAGGCTGAAACATGTAGTGTCCCCAAGTACCCCTACAGTCAGGCTGAAACATGTAGTGACCCCAAGTACCCCTACAGTCTGGCTGAAACATGTTGTGTCCCCAAGTACCCCTACAGTCAGGCTGAAACATGTAGTGTACCCAAGTACCCCTACAGTCAGGCTGAAACATGTAGTGTCCCCAAGTACCCCTACAGTCTGGCTGAAACATGTTGTGTCCCCAAGTACCCCTACAGTCTGGCTGAAACATGTAGTGTCCCCAAGTACCCCTACAGTCTGGCTGAAACATGCTGTGTCCCCAAGTACCCCTACAGTCAGGCTGAAACATGTAGTGTCTCCAAGTACTCCTACAGTCAGGCTGAAACATGTAGTGTCTCCAAGTACCCCTACAGTCAGGCTGAAACATGTAGTGTCTCCAAGTACCCCTACAGTCAGGCTGAAACATGCTGTGTCCCCAAGTACCCCTACAGTCTGGCTGAAACATGTAGTGTCCCCAAGTACCCCTACAGTCAGGCTGAAACATGTTGTGTCCCCAAGTACCCCTACAGTCTGGCTGAAACATGTAGTGTCCCCAAGTACCCCTACAGTCAGGCTGAAACATGTAGTGTCCCCAAGTACCCCTACAGTCTGGCTGAAACATGTTGTGTCCCCAAGTACCCCTACAGTCAGGCTGAAACATGTAGTGTCCCCAAGTACCCCTACAGTCAGGCTGAAACATGTTGTGTTCCCAAGTACCCCTACAGTCTGGCTGAAACATGTAGTGTCCCCAAGTACCCCTACAGTCAGGCTGAAACATGTAGTGTCCCCAAGTACCCCTACAGTCTGGCTGAAACATGTAGTGTCTCCAAGTACCCCTACAGTCAGGCTGAAACATGTAGTGTCCCCAAGTACCCCTACAGTCTGGCTGAAACATGTAGTGTCCCCAAGTACCCCTACAGTCAGGCTGAAACATGTTGTGTCTCCAAGTACCCCTACATTCTGGCTGAAACATGCTGTGTCTCCAAGTACCCCTACAGTCTGGCTGAAACATGTAGTGTCTCTATGTGCCCCCACTGTCTAGCTGAAACATGTAGTGTCTCCAAGTACCCCTACAGTCAGGCTGAAACATGTAGTGTCTCCAAGTACCCCTACAGTCTGGCTGAAACATGTTGTGTTCCAGAGTACCCCTACAGTCTAGCTGAAACATGTACTGTCTCTATGTGCCCCCCTCTGTCTAGCTGAAACATGTAGTGTCTCTATGTGCCCCCACTGTCTAGCTGAAACATGTTGTGTATCTATGTGCCCCCACTGTCTAGCTGAAACATGTGGTGTCTCTATGTGCCCCCACTGTCTAGCTGAAACATGGAGTGTCTCTATGTGCCCCCACTGTCTAGCTGAAACATGTGGTGTATCTATGTGCCCCCACTGTCTAGCTGAAACATGTAGTGTCTCTATGTGCCCCCACTGTCTAGCTGAAACAGGTAGTGTCCCTATGTGCCCCCACTGTCTAGCTGAAACATGTGGTGTATCTATGTGCCCCCACTGTCTAGCTGAAACATGTAGTGTCTCTATGTGTGGCCACTGTCTAGCTGAAACATGTAGTGTCTCTATGTGCCCCCACTGTCTAGCTGAAACATGTAGTGTCTCTATGTGCCCCCACTGTCTAGCTGAAACATGTAGTGTCTCTATGTGCCCCCACTGTCTAGCTGAAACATGTGGTGTATCTATGTGCCCCCACTGTCTAGCTGAAACATGTAGTGTCTCTATGTGCCCCCACTGTCTAGCTGAAACATGGAGTGTCTCTTTGTGCCCCCACTGCTAGCTGAAACATATGGTGTATCTATGTGCCCCCACTGTCTAGCTGGAGCATGTAGTGTCTCTCTGTGCCCCCACTGTCTAGCTGAAACATGTACTGTCTCTATGTGCCCCCACTGTCTAGCTGAAACATGGAGTGTCTCTTTGTGCCCCCACTGCTAGCTGAAATCCTGAGTACAACAAGAAAAACCACAACCAGCTGCCCCCAATACATGACTACTGACACATGAAGACTCTCTGTAAGTAACAAATATCATATTTGAGCAAATTCATTCAGCATTATTGTCAGGCAGAAATAGATGGAGAAGCCCAAACCACGATGACGGAACAGACTGGGTTTCCCTGGAAACAGGAAATAAACACGACGATATGGAGGATGCCCCAAAGCTGCCAGCACAGTCACATGACTACGATACGAGGGTATGCACGGCGTCGTCCCTGGTAGCGGGTGTGGACAAGGTGTGCAGTACTCACCAGAGTGACGAACAGGTGGTAGAATATGAAATAGATGGCAACCAGGGGAGCGATTCTCTCCCCAGTCCTCCACATTGTGATATGCATTACGTCAATCCACCCTTTTTGCGTTTGAATTTGAAACATAGACATGAAGGCCTGTGAGGAGAGAGAAGAAAGCACAAATACACAAACTCATCAGGACACACTAGCTTCCCCTAGCGGGGAACATCAGCCCTACATTCGCTCGCTTGCATTAGGGAGAGGAAAAATGTGGTCTGAAGAAAGCTGGAACCTGACACTGGAGTCATGCCAATTTTCCTCTTCCTAAAGTAGTGAACCTTAAACTGATGCAGTAAATTCATTCAACTGTTAATACCACAAGAAATAAACAGATCAACACATCCGTGTGGGGTACCTGCAACTGAAAGGATAGGGTTAAACATGCAGGGTGTCACTGAGGGACAAGCCACCCACAGGGTGTACAGCCTTCCTCACCTGTAGGAGTCTTAGCCCAAGGTGATCTATGGCCATTGCATCTTTGTCAAACGAAGAACTGAGGTTCTTTAGTTTGAAGCCAGAGTAAACAAATTGTCAATAAGGTATACACACAACACACGAGAGATTGTCAAATGGATCAATAGTTGGCCATGTTTGTCAGGAGAACATCTTGGAGGTATTGAAGCGTTGTGTGCAAAGGAATTCCATGGCATGTCACATACTAAGTCTGGAAGTCTTTTAAAAAGGTTCCATTATGACCCATAGGACAGAAAATATAGTGTGATGCTGTTTGTTCCTTGTGGCCAAAACATGGACGTTAGTGACTATCAGTTAATACATGCAAGAGAGTGAGCAGACATGTAAGTAATGGATGTATCGATGCTTCACAACAGTAAACAGTTAGGAGACCTGTCGGCATGTGATGCAGCAGGTTACAGAAGGTGAAGTAGGAGGGTGACATCCTCCTCCATCTGACGTGACGGGAAGAGTAGTCCTGACACACGCTGCCAACTTCTCCAGTCATGCACAAAACAGTATGTTCAGTAAACATTTCAGATGATATTGCCAAGTATAAACAAAAAGTTCATTCCACATGTCCAGATCTGTTTGAATAACAAACAGTGAAACAGACAATACACCCGTCAGGGCTAAGAGTCATCCCTAAATACACCTGTCAGGGCCACGAGTCACCACTAAATACACCTGTCAGTGCCTAGAGTCACCACCAAATACACCTGTCAGTGCCGCGAGTCACCACTAAATACACCTGTCAGTGCCTAGAGTCACCACCAAATACACCTGTCAGTGCCTAGAGTCACCACTAAATACACCTGTCAGGGCCGCGAGTCACCACAAAATACACCTGTCAGGGTTGAGAGTCACCACTAAGTACACCTGTAAGGGCCAAGAGTCACCACTAAATACACCTGTCAGGGCCAAGAGTCACCACTAAGTACACCTGTAAGGGCCAAGAGTCACCAGCAAATACACTTGTCAGGGCCAGGAGTCATCACTAATGCATTAACATAAATTACAACCAAATCTTGATCTTGGGTGAATAATTAACTGCTCTTCATTGCAACAACCTCACTGAATAGAAAGCCTGTATGTCCAATGTAACCTTTCCTTGACAGAAGCATGACCACTGAATGATTTCATTTTTACAATTGTATGCCGGGACCTCTTGTTGACATGCAGAGTAAACACTGAGGTAGATGTGCCCTGCACTGCAGAGCCATGTCTGGCTGAAGCACATGCAGAGTCAGGGCAAGACAGAGAAGGAGATGCTGTTAGGCTGAGATGGTCATGAGGGCAGGCAGCAGGCTGTATGCATTGTGTCAGGCAGGACAGGCTACTTACCACGGTCACAAACAGATGAAATAGCAAGAAATACGTAGCACACATAGCTTGCACTATGCCAGATGAAACTCTTGTCATAACGTCGAAATTCTCAATCCAACCCTCTTGTGTGAGGATTTGGAACATGGACTTAAGTGCCTGGTATTGAAAACAGTATGTATTAGCCAGGACGAGACACACTAACACAGGTCTATTTAATGAGGAAAGTTCCAAAAAGGAAACACTGAAGATATCATTCGGTAAAATATAATAGGTAATTAATGCATACAAAATGAACAGTTTGTGAAAATTCTAGTTAGATACAGGGTTTCCATTTACTGTATAATGTGTCGAACACAACATTAGCACATGCAGCAACCTCTACACTTCTCCACCCACCACATAGCATCTCACACAGCTACCTCCACCCACCACATGGCATCACACACAGCTACCTCCACCCACCACATGGTATCTCACACAGCTACCTCCACCCACCACATGGCATCACACACAGCTACCTCCAACCACCACATGGCACCACATGGCATCACAAGGCATCACACAGCTACCTCAACCCACCACATGGCATCTCACACAGCTACCTCCACCCACCACATGGCATCACACAAAGCTACCTCCACCCACCACATGGCATCACACACAGCTACCTCTTCCCACCACATGGCATCACACACAGCTACCTCCAACGACCACATGGCATCACACAGCTACCTCCACCCACCACATGGCATCACACAGCTACCTCCACCCACCACATGGCATCTAACACAGCTACCTCCAACCACCACATGGCATCACACACAGCTACCTCCACCCACCACATGGCATCACACACAGCTACCTCCACCCACCACATGGCATCACACACAGCTACCTCCACCCACCACATGGCATCACACAGCTACCTCCACCCACCACATGGTATCACACACAGCTACATCCACCCACCACATGGTATCACACACAGCTACCTCCACCCACTACATGGCATCACACACAGCTACCTCCACCCACTACATGGCATCACACACAGCTACCTCCACCCACCACATGGCATCTCACACAGCTACCTCCACCCACTACATGGACTCCATAGAAGCAACATAACATCACACACAGCTACCTCCACCCACCACATGGTATCACACACAGCTACCTCTTCCCACCACATGGTATCACACACAGCTACCTCTTCCCACCACATGGTATCACACACAGCTACCTCTTCCCACCACATGGTATCACACACAGCTACCTCTTCCCACCACATGGTATCACACACAGCTACCTCTTCCCACCACATGGTATCACACACAGCTACCTCCACCCACTACATGGCATCAAACACAGCTACCTCCACCCACCACATGGCATCACACACAGCTACCTCCACCCACCACATGGCATCACACACAGCTACATCCACCCACCACATGGCATCACACACAGCTACATCCACCCACCACATGGTATCACACACAGCTACCTCCACCCACTACATGGTATCACACACAGCTACCTCCACCCACCACATGGCATCACACACAGCTACATCCAACCACCACATGGTATCACACACAGCTACCTCCACCCACCACATGGCATCACACACAGCTACCTCCACCCACCACATGGTATCACACACAGCTACCTCCACCCACCACATGGCATCACAAGGCATCACACACAGCTACCTCCACCCACTACATGGCATCACACACAGCTACCTCCACCCACCACATGGCATCACACACAGCTACCTCCACCCACTACATGGCATCACACAGCTACCTCCACCCACTACATGGCATCACACACAGCTACCTCCACCCACCACATGGCATCAAACACAGCTACATCCACCCACCACATGGCATCACACAGCTACCTCCACCCTCCACCCACCACATGGCATCACACAGCTACCTCCACCCACTACATGGCATCACACACAGCTACCTCCACCCACCACATGGCATCACACACAGCTACATCCACCCATCACATGGTATCACACACAGCTACCTCCACCCACCACATGGCATCACACACAGCTACATCCACCCACCACATGGCATCACACACAGCTACATCCACCCACCACATGGCATCACACACAGCTACCTCCACCCACTACAAGGCATCACACACAGCTACCTCCACCCACCACATGGCATCACAATCAGCTACCTCCACCCACCACATGGCATCTCACACAGCTACCTCCACCCACCACATGGCATCACACACAGCTACCTCCACCCACCACATGGCATCACACACAGCTACATCCACCCACCACATGGTATCACACACAGCTACCTCTTCCCACCACATGGTATCACACACAGCTACCTCTTCCCACCACATGGTATCACACACAGCTACCTCTTCCCACCACATGGTATCACACACAGCTACCTCTTCCCACCACATGGTATCACACACAGCTACCTCTTCCCACCACATGGTATCACACACAGCTACCTCCACCCACCACATGGCACCACACACAGCTACCTCCACCCACCACATGGTATCACACACAGCTACCTCTTCCCACCACATGGTATCACACACAGCTACCTCTTCCCACCACATGGTATCACACACAGCTACCTCCACCCACCACATGGCACCACACACAGCTACCTCCACCCACCACATGGCATCACACACAGCTACCTCTTCCCACCACATGGCATCACACACAGCTACCTCCACCCACCACATAGCATCACACACAGCTACATCCAACCACCACATGGCATCACACACAGCTACCTCCACCCACCACATAGCATCACACACAGCTACATCCAACCACCACATGGCATCACACACAGCTACATCCAACCACCACATAGCATCACACACAGCTACCTCCACCCACCACATGGCATCACACACAGCTACCTCCACCCACCACATGGCATCACACACAGCTACCTCCACCCACCACATGGCATCACACACAGCTACATCCACCCACCACATGGCATCACACACAGCTACCTCTTCCCACCACATGGCATCACACAGCTACCTCCACCCTCCACCCACCACATGGCATCACAAGGCATCACACACAGCTACCTCCACCCACTACATGGCATCAAACACAGCTACCTCCACCCACCACATGGCATCACACACAGCTACATCCACCCACCACATGGCATCACACACAGCTACCTCTTCCCACCACATGGCATCACACAGCTACCTCCACCCTCCACCCACCACATGGCATCACAAGGCATCACACACAGCTACCTCCACCCACCACATGGCATCACACACAGCTACCTCTTCCCACCACATGGCATCACACACAGCTACCTCCACCCACCACATGGCATCACACACAGCTACATCCACCCACCACATGGCATCACACACAGCTACCTCTTCCCACCACATGGCATCACACAGCTACCTCCACCCTCCACCCACCACATGGCATCACAAGGCATCACACACAGCTACCTCCACCCACCACATGGCATCACACACAGCTACCTCTTCCCACCACATGGCATCACACACAGCTACCTCCACCCACCACATGGCATCAAACACAGCTACCTCCACCCACCACATGGCATCACACACAGCTACCTCCAACCACCACATGGCATCTCACACAGCTACCTCCACCCACCACATGGCATCAAACACAGCTACCTCCACCCACCACATGGCATCACACACAGCTACATCCACCCACCACATGGCATCACACACAGCTACCTCTTCCCACCACATGGCATCACACAGCTACCTCCACCCTCCACCCACCACATGGCATCACAAGGCATCACACACAGCTACCTCCACCCACCACATGGCATCACACACAGCTACCTCTTCCCACCACATGGCATCACACACAGCTACCTCCACCCACCACATGGCATCAAACACAGCTACCTCCACCCACCACATGGCATCACACACAGCTACATCCACCCACCACATGGCATCTCACACAGCTACCTCCACCCACCACATGGCATCTCACACAGCTACCTCCACCCACTACATGGACTCCATAGAAGCCACATAACATCACACACAGCGTTGTCAGCGTCACAGGACATTAACTTTCAAAATCTAAGCTGTGTAGCATTTTACTGTACACAGTGACTCAAAGCAATGAGAACCCTACTTGAGTGTGCTGGTGAAGGGGGAAGGAGAAAATGCCCTGAAATAATGTTCTTTGAGAGGGGATCCGTCTGGTCTCATGCACTGTCAACTTGTTTAGATCCTACAAGACATTTATAGGATCCCACATTGTGGTGGTGAAGTTTTGTAACAGGTATTATGCAAATCATACTTGTTTGGGAGACCCCTCCTGGTGGTGAGGTCTTGGAAACATGTTTTATGTAAATCACCTAGATATAAGCTTGAACCTGCTTCACATATGGTTGTGCTCCACATTTGGATGGAACACGGATACCACTGTAACTATTCTGCCAAGGGACGTGGGTTGGCAGATGAGCTTCCTGTCATATACAGGTTGCTCCACAGTCAGTTGACTACACAAATAAACTAGTAGATTAAACAGTGCACAACTGTAGGGTTAATGATGCATTTCAGAAAGATAATAATTCATGATTTGTGCTTTGATGATAAGACTAGAACTGAAACTGGTGCAGGCAATAAATGTTTAGAACTAGGTCTACAGTGAAGCTTCTCTAACTCCTCATAACATATTTCCCATTGCCGAAGTCATCCGTCCGACGTGCCACTCTCACGTCGGGTGTTAGGTCCGCTGTCAACAAGCTTTTGTTATATCAGTGACAATGTCAACCTGTACAGTATCCATATGGTTCACTTACAAACAAATAACTGTAAACATGAAACAAAATTATGACCACTTGACAACCCTTAATAGCAATAAAATGGTATTTCTGACAATTCTTCTGGTGTCCATATATCATGAATCTTAATATCAATGATAATTTCATCAATTATTTCCTTTTCCACAATAATTTCAACTTGTGACTGTTATGTATCGAATTCTAGTCCCCCAGTGTACTGCCTCCCTGTGTGTAGCAGTCGCACCCACCTGTGGAAAGGTCTCAAACTTGGTGAAGTCCTCGATGAAGCAGAAGAGCTGGAGGGAGATGCTGGAGGCAATGATGAGCAGGCACATGGTGAACAGGATGAGGCTACCCAGTTTCCGGCCTGGTCCAAAGATCTGACAAACAGACACAAGGCTTAGTGGTGCTTCCCTGGCTTCAGTGATCAACATGTCTGCAATATTTCAACTGTCCTCAACAATAGGTAGAGTCAGACACTCACCTTGAAGCAGAAATCTTCCAGCATCGGAGAAGCTTTGATGAGTCGGACAACCCGCAACACCTACAAACGTCTTCAATCATTAATACTTTTTTAATTTTGAAACAAAAAAACCATAACATATCCTATTTGCTACTTATCGCTGGGGGTTTCTGCAGCTATGTAAACAACCATGAAAAATTTAGAAATATGAAAAGATACACTAATGCGAATGATTGTGAAATAGTGTGAATTACAATGACATGAAAATAGAGCCATAAGGGTTTGTAGCTCACCTGGCTTTTGAAGGAACAATATCATGACACTTCAACCTTATCTTGTCACAAACATCTAAGTGAGTTAATGATAAAAAAAGTGGTGTAGAAGATTCTCGGAAGACCTTTGGTATCTAGATTAAGATTTGTACTTTCTAGAGCAAAATTTAATTTTTTATGATAAAAATGTCATTTACACATCCTGACTCATACTAATTTAATTATTTCTTCTTCTTCAAGATGTAGGTAGTTGAAGCTTCTTGTTCAGTGTAAATTAGCATGAGTCAGGATAAAATATAAAAAATAATAAACATGTTTTAAATATTTAAAATTACAATAAAATAAGATTGATTTCAAAGAAAGAAATTTATGATAAAACACCAGGACATGATAATTTACAAATTCAGTGGTATTTGTGTAGTTTTATTTGTTTGTTGTTTAACGCCCCATTATTCCAGCTATTTGACGGCGGTCTGTAAATAATCGAGTCTGGACCACAGTTATTGACATAATGAGCATCAATCCACGAGACTGGGCAACGATGACATGCATCAACCACAGTCACATCCCAGGCTGGGGGACGAAACATGGCAACTTGATCCTCCATTGTAGGATCTGCACTGAACTGAGGGCAACTAGATATGTAACTAGATGACCAGGTTGTTGTTTGTGGATATGGCGAACACTGCGCTTAAGACGGGATAGCCAGTGAGACATGGCCTGGATGAGTGCTTCGAGTTCCTGATTGTTGATGTGCCACCAGTGCTGATCATCTGACCACAACCCGGAATCAGTCCTCTAGAGGTGCCCCCCAGCCCTGTCAACTAAAGGGTGGAGTGTGGGCTTGACGACATCGCAGACATTCCATTTCACTGTCCACCAACTAAGAAACAAACAGAGATGAATCGGGAGCATGATGGAGCCCAGTGGGTTCTGAGACGAATAAAGAGCGCCAGAAACTGCTGTAGTGGGAATGCCAATTAGGATGACCTCCCATTGGTAGTGGATACCCTGGAAAAAAATCCATGAGGAACTTCCTCCAACTGAGCTTGTCGAAGAGTCAGATGGATAATCGTATAGCTGGCAAAGCGGGGGAACGACTACGGACCTGATGTCTGGAGCGAGAAGACCTGGAAGTGTGGTGGGTAGACCTGGGAGGTCGACGAGGAGCAATGGTGTCCTTTGAAGGAGCAATGGTGTCCTTTGAAGGCGCCAAGGATGGATGTGATGTTGTTGGCAACAGAGACATATTGGTACGATGCGCAATAGGTGTCACTAGCACTGGAGGGCGCCAAATGTATACTGATCATGCCCTAGAGGTGCTGCAGGTGCCAATGGCACCGTAATAGTAAAACAGCAGTAAAAGGTAGTAATGAAGGATAAGACAAAAAATGTATGGTTTTCATGTTGTTGTTGCCATGGAAACGTGAATAATATTTTTTTTCAAAATCACAAACTACCAGATGGCACCAGTTCACCACTAGACTTATCTATGTACCAAGTTTGGAATACAGTTTCAAGAGCTGCTCCGGAAACAACATCATACACAGATGGATGAATCCACTCACGGACTGATGGTGTACATTTAAATACCCCCAAAAACCAAAGTTGAAAAACTCCCACCTGGAAATATGTGAACTGTGAGCGGTAGCAGTCAGGGATGATGTGGATGGTTGTCCCGATGGCCAGCAGCAGCTCAAACTTGTGCAGCGACCGCTTCAGGTACCCCATGAAGCCGAGACACCAGATCTTGAACAAGGCTTCCAGGACAAACAGCAGAGTGAACACAACCTGTCAACAGTCAAACAAAAAGTCAGATATTGACAACTCACATCACTATACCACAGGTCATAGACAACACAACAGATATTGACAACTCACATCACTATACCACAGGTCATGGTCCACACTACAGATGCTGGCATTTCACATTAGTATACCACAGGTCATGGTCCACACTACAGATGTTGATATTTCACCTCAGTATACCACAGGTCATGGTCCACACTACAGATGTTGATATTTCACATTAGTATACCACAGGTCATGGTCCACACTACAGATGTTGACAAATCACCTCAGTATACCACAGGTCATGGTCAACACTACAGATGTTGACAAATCACCTCAGTATACCACAGGTCATGGTCGACACTACAGATGTTGATATTTCACCTCAGTATAACACAGGTAATGGTCAACACTACAGATGTTGATATTTCACCTCAGTATACCACAGGTCATGGTCAACACTACAGATGTTGACAACACTCCTCAGTATACAACACGTCATGGTCAACACTACAGATGTTGACAACACTCCTCAGTATACAACACGTCATGGTCAACACTACAGATGTTGTCATTTCACCTCAGTATACTGCAGGTCATGGTCAACACTACAGATGTTGACAACGTTCCTCAGTATACAACACGTCATGGTCCACACTACAGATGTTGACATTTCACCTCAGTATACCACAGGTCATGGTCAACACTACAGATGTTGACAAATCACCTCAGTATACCACAGGTCATGGTCCACACTACAGATGTTGACAACACTCCTCAGTATACCACAGGTCATGGTCAACACTACAGATGTTGACAACACTCCTCAGTATACAACACGTCATGGTCAACACTACAGATGTTGACATTTCACCTCAGTATACCACAGGTCATGGTCAACACTACAGATGTTGACAACACTCCTCAGTATACAACACGTCATGGTCAACACTACAGATGTTGACATTTCACCTCAGTATACCACAGGTCAACACAACACACACATTGTCAACTCACCTCAGCATAGTAGAATCCATCCAGCTTATCGTCCGGGTTCTTGGTTCTGTGGTCGAAGTGCAGACTGGCCTCTGTGATGGCGGAGGCAAGAACCAGCAGCAGGATGAATGTGTGGAACAGATTGGACCGGATGACTTGCTGGAACACCGGGGGCGCCAGGCCCTGAGACTTGTTCTCGTCCAGGATCACAAGTTTCCACACTGTGCCGTCCGTTGTGATAACCTGTAACAGGAGCCATCTTCGGGACACAAGAAAACACATACCTTTGTTCTGGCAAACAGAACAACTACACAAAATAACTCAAACTGAATTTATTTTTCATATACGCTCCCCAAATCTGCATGTCTGTTTCTATAAAAGTACTAAAATGTTATGACTAAAAGAAACACACTCCCTACCTACCTACCTAACTTCATATAAGGGGATTTTGATATCAGAAAGTGAGATTTCTAAAAGACGGCCTTGAAAATAGGAGATAAAAATATGTAGAGCTAGGTTACCTGTAGATTTAGCCGGGCAAAATTTAACATTTGAAACCTCATGCTGTGCGTTTGGTTCCAAATTCAATTTAGCACGGTTAAATCTACAGGTAACCTAGCTCTACATTGAAAACACAGTATGTTTATCTCCATTCTACCATGACTAAATAAAACGCGAACTCTTTGGTGTTAGCTAATATACTGAGTGAAGCGGCATGGGTTGAGTCCAGTGTTTGGAGTGGGTTATTGATCTGAATTAAGGAATCACCGAACAAAATATAGCGTTGTATATACTCAGGCAGTATGTTTACACCATAATACTTCACTCAAACATATGACAGGCATTGAAAGCATATAAGCACGGCAACTTGGTAAGCTAACATGAGGTGGGCATCCCTAAAGAAAACAAAGCAAGCTTTGCAAGGCTTTCGCTCTACATCGCACGTCACCATTATGACGTCATATCGCTCATTGTGACGCAAAAGATATGACATCAAAGTCGTATATGGAAAAGTGCCAAAATTCCAAGCTCTCTGCTGTCTCCAAAACATAAATACATTCCCTTTGTAGATATCTATTGTGTTTTCTGCACGAAATGTATTGCCACACATCCTTGGAATATTGTAGTAACCACATCTATGCATTTTGTAACCTGTAATTGCAGATATAATTATTTTAATATGCCTACCGATAATGACTGAAAAAAGTGCTATTCTATGAATATTAGCTTCCGCGGTGATGCGGCCGTCAAACCAGCTGTTTCAATCAGAGGGGGTTTATTGTGATTTAATAGCCTCTGATGGAACAATCAGAATCGAGTAAATTCCAAATTCATGGTAGAATGCATCATGTTGCGCCTGTGCAGAACAATACCTGGGAGGAATCAGATTCGGCCGCACTGCCTCTCGGCCCCCACATCTGTTGGAACTGCACTCGAATCTCAGCAAATGTCTCAATGATAACAGCAATGAAGACGTTCTGTAACAAGGCAAAACCACTCACTGTCATTCATGGCCCCTGATAGTCAAACAGTGTGTTCACAGAGAGCAATAAGCTACAGTGTTGTAGGCCACTTGTCCCCTGGTAGTAAAAACAGTGTGTTCACAGAGAGCAATAAGCTACAGTGTTGTAGACCACTTGGCCCCTGATAGTAAAAACTGTGTTCACAGAGAGCAATAAGCTACAGTGTTGTAGCGACTTGGCCCCTGATAGTAAAACAGTGTGTTCACAGAGAGCAATAAGCTACAGTGTTGTAGACCACTTGGCCCCTGATAGTAAAAACTGTGTTCACAGAGAGCAATAAGCTACAGTGTTGTAGACAACTTGGCCTCTGATAGTAAAACAGTGTGTTCACAGAGAGCAATAAGCTGCAGTGTTGTAGGCCACTTGGCCCCTGATAGTAAAACAGTGTGTTCACAGAGAGCAATAAGCTACAGTGTTGTAGACAACTTGGCCCCTGATAATAAAAACTGTGTTCACAGAGAGCAATAAGCTGCAGTGTTGTAGGCCACTTGGCCTCTGATAGTAAAAAAGTGTGTTCACAGAGAGCAATAAGCTGCAATGTTGTAGGCCACTTGGCCCCTGATAGTAAAACAGTGTGTTCACAGAGAGCAATAAGCTGCAGTGTTGTAGGCCACTTGGCCCCTGATAGTAAAACAGTGTGTTCACAGAGAGCAATAAGCTGCAGTGTTGTAGGCCACTTGGCCTCTGATAGTAAAACAGTGTGTTCACAGAGAGCAATAAGCTACAGTGTTGTAGACAACTTGGCCCCTGATAGTAAAACAGTGTGTTCACAGAGAGCAATAAGCTACAGTGTTGTAGACCACTTGGCCTCTGATAGTAAAACAGTGTGTTCACAGAGAGCAATAAGCTACAGTGTTGTAGACAACTTGGCCCCTGATAGTAAAAACTGTGTTCACAGAGAGCAATAAGCTGCAGTGTTGTAGGCCACTTGGCCCCTGATAGTAAAACAGTGTGTTCACAGAGAGCAATAAGCTACAGTGTTGTAGGCCACTTGGCCCCTGATAGTAAAACAGTGTGTTCACAGAGAGCAATAAGCTGCAGTGTTGTAGGCCACTTGGCCCCTGATAGTAAAACAGTGTGTTCACAGAGAGCAATAAGCTGCAGTGTTGTAGGCCACTTGGCCTCTGATAGTAAAACAGTGTGTTCACAGAGAGCAATAAGCTACAGTGTTGTAGGCCACTTGGCCCCTGATAGTAAAACAGTGTGTTCACAGAGAGCAATAAGCTACAGTGTTGTAGACCACTTGGCCCCTGATAGTAAAACAGTGTGTTCACAGAGAGCAATAAGCTGCTGTGTTGTAGGCCACTTGGCCCCTGATAGTAAAACAGTGTGTTCACAGAGAGCAATAAGCTACTGTGTTGTAGACCACTTGGCCCCTGATAGTAAAACAGTGTGTTCACAGAGATTAATAAGCTGCAGTGTTGTAGGCCACTTGCTACAAGCCTGACTTGTGTTCAAGCTGACTCACTTTGACCAGCCATGCCAGGAAGAAGATGAGAGAGATGAAGTAGAGGAAGGCCTTCCATGACGGGAGGCTGTCTATGCAGCGGTACATGAGGAAAGCCCAGCCCTCCTGGGACGCAGCCTGGTACACCGTGAACACACTCGTGGCTGAAACACACAGGACACCGGTAGTAGTCAGCAAACATAACCATCAAATATTGCAATTACATGATTCACTGATGTAAGGAATGATATTATCAATGATACATTGGTTTGAATCCTGGTTCTCTCTGATGAGTCTAGGTTTGTAAGCACCATACCTGCTCATGTGTTTCAGCAAACTGGTAAACATCAGACCTACATCACTTCCTCCCACTGAAGCTGACACACCATATTCTGGAATAATGTTCAAAGCTCCTCAAACCCAACTCACTCACACACTCCTTCCAACTCACCAATTGTATCAAAACCATTGAAGCCCATGATCTCCTTAGCCAGAGTGAGTTCTACACACTTCATGTTGCTGGGGCACTGGTAGCCCTGGCCAGGCTCTGGGGAGCAGTGGGTGTCCGGCACAGCCAGGTCATACTTGGTTATGTTGCTGTACGAACAAGTGACACATGCTATAGAGTCAGCAATACAACACTCAGACATAACAGGTTAAACACAGGAGCAGCCATACTGTAAAGTCTTAAAGTCGAAATGAGTTTCAAGACACAGCCTGTTTTACAGTTATACATAAACAGGACAAGTAACTTCATTTATGAATTTCATATTATATTTTTTCACATGATGATTGGAAACCTGAAGAATATTATACAAAAAAAATAATTCTGTTTTAATTACGATTCAAATTTAAAGACATTAAAATGCTGACTATGCATTCTTCCAAATGCCACCATGCAGTTACTATGACTACAGAGATATACTGAGGTTATTACATGACATCCGTCTCGTTCTTTACACAATGGTGCTTCATCACCCCAAAGAACTGCACTCCCAGGATTCCATACAGGGACATGAAGAACAGGAAGAAGATGGTGACATTGTAGATCTGCTGACTGGACCGCCTGTGGACACACACTGAATGCTGTCAAACACCAGACACATGTTAGTCTTTCACATAAGCACAACCTACCCCAAATAGTGTCATAGTGTGAACACGTCATTAGATTTCACCTCAACCTTAGGCGACACTTTTTTTTATTTCTTGGTTTACGGATTTCAAACTCATTTCAAAAGTGAGGCTGGCCAATTTAAAAACAAGAAAAGAAAAAAAGCCTCTCACATTTTTTTTACTTGAATTTTGTCCTAAAAAAAATATCCTGGCGTAACAAAAGTAAAATAACTCAATTTTTCAAGAACATTTTATTATATGCCTGGCACTCAGCTTGTGCACAAATGGCAACATAACAATATTCATGTCATGGGTGGAAATGCATGAGAGACGCTGCTATTTTGGCAGCATGGGCAACGTTTAACTCTTTCAACACCAGCCAACCAGAAGATTACTGCTGTGACACCAAGTTCCCAGAGACTCTTGTGTGATAGATGAAACCAACATTTATCAAGGAAATTATCTGCTGAAATTAACATCTTTGCTACTACATGTTTGGCCATACACTATTTGAAAGGTCTAACTAATCCTATTGTTTATAAATATGAAAGTTATGTGTATTACATTATTTAAATAATTCATTAACAACTAAATAAAGTTCGTTTTAAATAAAAATAATGTAAGCTAAAACATTCATAACGTCCAGATTAAGGACCAATGAAGCGCAAATTTAACGATTCTTTCGGCAAATATAATAATTCATAAAATCCACTTAACCATTTCTTTTGTATTTTCATTTGTTTACGTTGTTGGAACATTATTTTAAAAAGAATTGCAAATAATATGTCATCACCCATTTCCCGATGATAGTGGCTGTCGGCTCACTAACATGAGGAAATACCTCCGTTTTCAAAGCTTCGTATGAATAACACATACGTTGAAGGCTGCCATGTCAGTATACATTAAAAAAACTTATATTGTTTCACCGACAAAATCTGCTACAAGGTTCGTGATTGGTCAAATTTAAGCACGTGACCTAAGGCAGCCAATCAAATTACAGCAACGGTAATTTTCAGACTTTGGCGAAAGGTTTGGGTTAAATCATGTTATTCTGAACGTTTAAGCATGAAATCGTGATCTATATTAAAAATATGGAACTTTATGGATGCATAGAGCTAGGTTACCACTTGTGACAAAGATTTCTTATGCATATATTTTGGCATTAAGACATCGTGTCCGAGCCGAGAAATTGAGGCGACGAAAGGCGAGATGTCATTTCACAGACGATTACATGCGATCGCACGAAAAGTTGGAAATAATAACTAAGATGTCAGTTTGGCAACTTTTATAGATATATTTTTGATGATTTTATTACTTTGTAAATAAAGACGTTTCAGCACGTGGAACGTCTTTATTTAGCTATTTGACATGTTCGATGAGGACCCGGTGTCGAAGTGTGTCCGAGAATTTTATTTTCAATAACATTGCGGGAAATAGTGTCTAGTGAATACATTTTTAATCTATAGATAATAAAATGATAAAATCAAATGGAATACGTATTTCAGACATTGTGAACAGTGATAGATTTAATAAATGAATGATATGACAAGTAGGTTAATATAATTATAAACGATTTTGACGTGACTTGGACAGTCTACCGTGCGGTGTGACTTGTGGCTTTGAACGGCCAACAGTGTTGAAATAGTTGAAATAGTTAAACTGGTCACCACTGCACTTTGCTTTGACAAGCTTTGATGGTATTAGGATCCCAGCAAGAAATATCAGAGTGACTTCCATTTGCTTTACGCTCGACGAGGAAATGAAATCTTTTTTTTGTTTGAACTTTTTGTCGAAAAGATCGGCGGTAATAAAAAAAAGGGCAATTTTCATTTTTTTTTTTTTTTTAACATTTGGACTTTGAAAGAGCGGCGCATCCGTAAACCAAGAAATAAAAAAATTGTCGCCTTATGTTTCATAATAATGTCTTGAAGGTAGATATTCTTTAGATGATAAGTAACATGACTAAGTTAAGAGGTTTGAGTAGCGTATTACTGTAGAAATAATTGAAGTTTTTGTCCTCTAGCCTCCCCTCCCAACACGCAATTGGAAGTTGCCGTGGCAACCCTCCAGCTGCCCAAAATATGAACAGAGTTGGAAAAATAGTGTGCTTGGTTGCTGAAGACCTAATCTACACCGGATCTTCACAGGTCAGGTATATTATGGGTATCGATGTACCAATAGGTGTGATACAGGTAGATTATGGGTATCAATGTACTAATAGGGGTGACACAGATAGATTATGGGTATCAATGTACCAATGGGTGTGACTCAGGTAGATTATGGGTATCAATGTACCGATAGGTGTGACACAGGTAGATTATGGGTATCAATGTACCGGTAGGTGTGACACAGGTAGATTATGGGTATCAATGTACCAATAGGTGTGACACAATTAGATTATGGCTATCAATGTACCAATAGGTGTGACCAAGGTAGATTATGGGTATCAATGTACTGATAGGTGTGACACAGGTAGATTATGGGTATCAATGTACTGATAGGTGTGACACAGGTAGATTATGGGTATCAATGTACCAATAGGCGTGACACAAGTAGATTATGGGTATCAATGTACCAATAGGTGTGATACAGGTATATTATTGGTATCAATGTACCAATAGGTGTGATACAGGTAGATAATGGGTATCAGTGTACTGATAGGTGTGACACAGGTAGAGTATGGGTATCAATGTACCAATAGGTGTGACACAAGTAGATTATGGGTATCAATGTACTGATAGGTGTGACACAAGTAGATTATGGGTATCAATGTACTGATAGGTGTGACAAAGGTAGATAATGGGTATCAATGTACTGATAGGTGTGACACAGGTATATTATGGGTATCAATGTACAAATAGGTGTGACATAGGTAGATTATGGGTATCAATGTACTGATAGGGGTAACACAGGTATAATATGGGTATCAATGTACAAATAGGTGTGACACAGGTAGATTATGGGTATCAATGTACCAATAGGCGTGACACAAGTAGATTATGGGTATCAATGTACCAATAGGTGTGATACAGGTATATTATGGGTATCAATGTAATGATAGGTGTGATACAGGTAGATTATGTGTATCAATGTACCAATAGGTGTGATACAGGTTTATTATTGGTATCAATGTACTGATAGGTGTGATACAGGTAGATTATGGGTATCAATGTACCAATAGGTGTGACCAAGGTATAATATGGGTATCAATGTACTCATAGGTGTGATACAGGTAGATTATGGGTATCAATGTACCAATAGGTGTTACACAGGTAGATTATGGGTATCAATGTACCAGTAGGTATGATACACGTATATTATGGGTTTCAATGTACTGATAAGTGTGATACAGGAATATTATGGGTATCAATGTACTGATAGGTGTGATACAGGTAGATTATGGGTATCAATGTACTCATAGGTGTGATACAGGTAGATTATGGGTATCAATGTACTGATAGGTGTGATACAGGTAGATTATGGGTATCAATGTACTGATAGGTGTGATACAGGTAGATTATGGGTATCAATGTACTAATAGGTGTGATACAGGTATATTATGGGTATCAATGTACCAATAGGTGTGATACAGGTAGATTATGGGTATCAATGTACTGATAGGTGTGATACAGGTAGATTATGGGTATCAATGTACCAATAGGTGTGATACAGGTATATTATGTGTATCAATGTACCGATAGGTGTGACACAGGTAGATTATGGGTATCAATGTACTGATAGGTGTGACACAAGTAGATTATGGGTATCAATGTACTGATAGGTGTGACATAGGTATATTATGGGTATCAATGTACCAATAGGTCTGATACAGGTATATTATGGGTATCAATGTACCATTAGGTGTGATACAGGTATATTATGGGTATCAATGTACTGATAGGTGTGATACAGGTAGATTATGGGTATCAATATACTGAGGGGTGTGATACAGGTAGATTATGGGTATCAATGTACCAATAGGTCTGACACAGGTATAGTATGGGTATCAATGTACTGATAGGTGTGATATAGGTAGATTATGGGTATCAATGTACCAATAGGTCTGACACAGGTATATTATGGGTATCAATGTACTGATAGGTGTGATACAGGTATATTATGGGTATCAATATACTGAGGGGTGTGATACAGGTAGATTATGGGTATCAATGTACCAATAGGTCTGACACAGGTATATTATGGGTATCAATGTACTGATAGGTGTGATACAGGTATATTATGGGTATCAATATACTGAGGGGTGTGATACAGGTAGATTATGGGTATCAATGTACCAATAGGTCTGACACAGGTATATTATGGGTATCAATGTACTGATAGGTGTGATACAGGTATATTATGGGGTCAATATACTGAGGGGTGTGATACAGGTATATTATGGGTATCAATGTACCAATAGGTCTGACACAGGTATATTATGGGTATCAATGTACCAATAGGTCTGACACAGGTATATTATGGGTATCAATGTACCAATAGATGTGAACTTCACCCCCCCATCCCCCAGACACAAGGACAACTGTCACATTTTAAAACCTTTGATTATATTTTTACGTGGAAGATGATTTTTTCCGAGGACTACTGTTTTAAAAAATGCGATTTTCCGCGTTTCTGCGGAGATTTCACATCCCTGTGTCATGATCGATGAACCACTCCGTCTGGTCAGATGTAGGGCGAAGTTGTTAAGTATCATAGCATGGGCTTCATATATGAATGGTAGGAACAGATTGTTACATACAAGAACAGGCTTGAAAAAGCAAAACAATGGGCATAAGAAAGGTTGACGATGTATTAAAAAGAGACTTACTTGAAGATCTGGTTGATTCTGTTTTTTGGCAGGGAGAATTTGAGGAAGACCCGGAAGACCCTGATGAGGATGAGTGGTCGGGGGGAGCGCAGGATACGCAGAACTGACCCTGGATGCTCCGGTGGTATCGAGCCGGTCATCTCAAACACCTGAACACAGCAAGACAACACATCTCAAACACAGCCAGACAACACATCTCAAACACCTGTACACAGCCAGACAACACATCTCAAACACAGCCAGACAACACATCTCAAACGCAACCAGACAACACTTCTCAAACATTTGAACACAGCCAGAGAACAAATCTGAAACACAGCCAGACAACACATCTCAAACACAACCAGACAACACATCTCAAACACAACCAGACAACACATATCAAACACAACCAGACAACACATCTCAAACACAACCAGACAACACATCTCAAACACCTGAACACAGCCAGACAACACATCTCAAACACAGCCAGACAACACATCTCAAACTCAACCAGACAACACATCTCAAACACAACCAGACAACACATCTCAAACACCTGAACACAGCCAGACAACACATCTCAAACACAGCCAGACAACACATCTCAAACACAACCAGACAACACATCTCAAACCCAACCAGACAACACATCTCAAACACCTGAACACAACCAGACAACACATCTCAAACACAACCAGACAACACATCTCAAACACAACCAGACAACACATCTCAAACACCTGAACACAACCAGACAACACATCTCAAACACAGCCAGACAACACATCTCAAACACAACCAGACAACACATCTCAAACACCTGAACACAGCCAGACAACACATCTCAAACACAACCAGACAACACATCTCAAACACAACCAGACAACACATCTCAAACACCTGAACACAACCAGACAACACATCTCAAACACAACCAGACAACACATCTCAAACACAACCAGACAACACATCTCAAACACAACCAGACAACACATCTCAAACACCTGAACACAACCAGACAACACATCTCAAACACAGCCAGACAACACATCTCAAACACAACCAGAAAACACATCTCAAACACCTGAACACAGCCAGACAACACATCTCAAACACAGCCAGACAACACATCTCAAACACCTGAACACAACCAGACAACACATCTCAAACACAGCGAAACAACACATCTCAAACACAACCAGACAACACATCTCAAACACCTGAACACAGCCAGACAACACATCTCAAACACAGCCAGACAACACATCTCAAACACAGCCAGACAACACATCTCAAACACCTGAACACAGCCAGACAACACATCTCAAACACAACCAGACAACACATCTCAAACACCTGAACACAACCAGACAACACATCTCAAACATAGCCAGACAACACATCTCAAACACAACCAGACAACACATCTCAAACACCTGAACACAGCCAGACAACACATCTCAAACACAGCCAGACAACACATCTCAAACACAACCAGACAACACATCTCAAACACAACCAGACAACACATCTCAAACACCTGAACACAGCCAGACAACACATCTCAAACACAGCCAGACAACACATCTCAAACACAACCAGACAACACATCTCAAACCCAACCAGACAACACATCTCAAACACCTGAACACAACCAGACAACACATCTCAAACACAACCAGACAACACATCTCAAACACAACCAGACAACACATCTCAAACACCTGAACACAACCAGACAACACATCTCAAACACAGCCAGACAACACATCTCAAACACAACCAGACAACACATCTCAAACACCTGAACACAGCCAGACAACACATCTCAAACACAGCCAGACAACACATCTCAAACACAACCAGACAACACATCTCAAACACCTGAACACAACCAGACAACACATCTCAAACACAGCCAGACAACACATCTCAAACACAACCAGACAACACATCTCAAACACAACCAGACAACACATCTCAAACACCTGAACACAACCAGACAACACATCTCAAACACAGCCAGACAACACATCTCAAACCCAACCAGACAACACATCTCAAACACCTGAACACAACCAGACAACACATCTCAAACACAGCCAGACAACACATCTCAAACCCAACCAGACAACACATCTCAAACACCTGAACACAGCCAGACAACACATCTCAAACACAGCCAGACAACACATCTCAAACACAACCAGACAACACATCTCAAACACCTGAACACAACCAGACAACACATCTCAAACACAGCCAGACAATACATCTCAAACACAACCAGACAACACATCTCAAACACCTGAACACAGCCAGACAACACATCTCAAACACAGCCAGACAACACATCTCAAACACAACCAGACAACACATCTCAAACACAACCAGACAACACATCTCAAACACAGCCAGACAACACATCTCAAACACAACCAGACAACACATCTCAAACACAACCAGACAACACATCTCAAACACCTGAACACAGCCAGACAACACATCTCAAACACAGCCAGACAACACATCTCAAACACAACCAGACAACACATCTCAAACACCTGAACACAGCCAGACAACACATCTCAAACACAGCCAGACAACACATCTCAAACACAACCAGACAACACATCTCAAACACAGCCAGACAACACATCTCAAACACAGCCAGACAACACATCTCAAACACAACCAGACAACACATCTCAAACACAGCCAGACAACACATCTCAAACACAACCAGACAACACATCTCAAACACAGCCAGACAACACATCTCAAACACAACCAGACAACACATCTTAAACACAACCAGACAACACATCTCAAACACAGCCAGACAACACATCTCAAACACAACCAGACAACACATCTCAAACACAACCAGACAACACATCTCAAACACCTGAACACAGCCAGACAACACATCTCAAACACAGCCAGACAACACATCTCAAACACAACCAGACAACACATCTCAAACACCTGAACACAGCCAGACAACACATCTCAAACACAGCCAGACAACACATCTCAAACACAACCAGACAACACATCTCAAACACAACCAGACAACACATCTCAAACACAACCAGACAACACATCTCAAACACCTGAACACAGCCAGACAACACATCTCAAACACAACTAGACAACACATCTCAAACACCTGAACACAGCCAGACAACACATCTCAAACACAGCCAGACAACACATCTCAAACCCAACCAGACAACACATCTCAAACACAGCCAGACAACACATCTCAAACACAACCAGACAACACATCTCAAACACAACCAGACAACACATCTCAAACCCAACCAGACAACACATTTCAAACACAACCAGACAACACATCTCAAACACAGCCAGACAACACATCTCAAACCCAACCGGACAACACATCTCAAACACCTGAACACAGCCAGACAACACATCTCAAACACCTGAACCCAGACCTTGCCCAACAAACAACACAGACTTTGTCCTGTAGATAACACACACTTGTCAGACAGCGCACACTTGTCAAACAGAAAACACACACTAAGTTAGACAAACCACACTCAGTCAGTCAAACAACACACGCTTTTATGGCTGAAATAATGCAGATGCGATGTTAAATTTTAACTCACTTGTCAGTCAACAGATGCTTAGATCTTGTCATCAGTGAGTGAGTGAGTGTGTATGGTTTTACGCGGCTTTTAGCAATATTCCAGCAATATCACAGCGGGTCTTGTCATCAGATCCTGATGTGAATCGAATGGTGATCTTCACCAGTTGTTGTATAAGTGCATGAAATACACAGCCCTGGTTATTTACCTGCAGCACAACTGATGTCCAGAGGAACAACACCATGATCCCGTCAAACTGACACCATCGGTCCTTCAGGTATGGTGCCTCGCCCTGCAGCAAACAATAAGACACTGTACCTGTGTCCAGCTGACATGTTCAGTAAGACACTGTACCTGTGTCCAGCTGACATGTTCAGTAAGACACTGTATCTGTGTCCAGCTGACATGTTCAGTAAGACACTGTACCTGTGTCCAGCTGACATGTTCAGTAAGACACTGTACCTGTGTCCAGCTGACATGTTCAGTAAGACACTGTACCTGTGTCAAGCTGACATGTTCAGTAAGACACTGTACCTGTGTCCAGCTGACATGTTCAGTAAAACACTGTACCTGTGTCCAGCTGACATGTTCAGTAAGACACTGTACCTGTGTCCAGCTGACATGTTCAGTAAGACACTGTATCTGTGTCCAGCTGACATGTTCAGTAAGACACTGTACCTGTGTCCAGCTGACATGTTCAGTAAGACACTGTATCTGTGTCCAGCTGACATGTTCAGTAAGACACTGTATCTGTGTCCAGATGACATGTTCAGTAAGACACTGTATCTATGTCCAGCTGACATGTTCAGTAAGACACTGTACCTGTGTCCAGCTGACATGTTCAGTAAGACACTGTATCTATGTCCAGCTGACATGTTCAGTAAGACACTGTACCTGTGTCCAGCTGACATGTTCAGTAAGACACTGTATCTATGTCCAGCTGACATGTTCAGTAAGACACTGTATCTGTGTCCAGCTGACATGTTCAGTAAGACACTGTATCTATGTCCAGCTGACATGTTCAGTAAGACACTGTACCTGTGTCCAGCTGACATGTTCAGTAAGACACTGTATCTGTGTCCAGCTGACATGTTCAGTAAGACACTGTATCTGTGTCCAGCTGACATGTTCAGTAAGACACTGTATCTGTGTCCAGCTGACATGTTCAGTAAGACACTGTATCTATGTCCAGCTGACATGTTCAGTAAGACACTGTACCTGTGTCCAGCTGACATGTTCAGTAAGACACTGTATCTATGTCCAGCTGACATGTTCAGTAAGTCACTGTATCTGTGTCCAGCTGACATGTTCAGTAAGACACTGTATCTATGTCCAGCTGACATGTTCAGTAAGACACTGTACCTGTGTCCAGCTGACATGTTCAGTAAGACACTGTATCTGTGTCCAGCTGACATGTTCAGTAAGACACTGTATCTGTGTCCAGCTGACATGTTCAGTAAGACACTGTACCTGTGTCCAGCTGACATGTTCAGTAAGACACTGTACCTGTGTCCAGCTGACATGTTCAGTAAGACACTGTCCCTGTGTCCAGCTGACATGTTCAGTAAGACACTGTCCCTGTGTCCAGATGACATGTTCAGTAAGACACTGTACCTGTGTCCAGCTGACATGTTCAGTAAGACACTGTACCTGTGTCCAGATGACATGTTCAGTAAGACACTGTCCCTGTGTCCAGCTGACATGTTCAGTAAGACACTGTACCTGTGTCCAGCTGACATGTTCAGTAAGACACTGTACCTGTGTCCAGCTGACATGTTCAGTAAGACACTGTCCCTGTGTCCAGATGACATGTTCAGTAAGACACTGTACCTGTGTCCAGCTGACATGTTCAGTAAGACACTGTACCTGTGTCCAGCTGACATGTTCAGTAAGACACTGTACCTGTGTCCAGCTGACATGTTCAGTAAGACACTGTATCTGTGTCCAGCTGACATGTTCAGTAAGACAATGTACCTGTGTCCAGCTGACATGTTCAGTAAGACACTGTCCCTGTGTCCAGCTGACATGTTCAGTAAGACACTGTATCTGTGTCCAGCTGACATGTTCAGTAAGACACTGTACCTGTGTCCAGCTGACATGTTCAGTAAGACACTGTATCTGTGTCCAGCTGACATGTTCAGTAAGACACTGTATCTGTGTCCAGCTGACATGTTCAGTAAAACACTGTACCTGTGTCCAGCTGACATGTTCAGTAAGACACTGTTCCTGTGTCCAGCTGACATGTTCAGTAAGACACTGTACCTGTGTCCAGATGACATGTTCAGTAAGACACTGTACCTGTGTCCACCTGACATGTTCAGTAAGACACTGTATCTGTGTCCAGCTGACATGTTCAGTAAAACACTGTACCTGTGTCCAGCTGACATGTTCAGTAAGACACTGTTCCTGTGTCAAGGTGACATGTTCAGTAAGACACTGTATCTGTGTCCAGCTGACATGTTCAGTAAAACACTGTACCTGTGTCCAGCTGACATGTTCAGTAAAACACTGTACCTGTGTCCAGCTGACATGTTCAGTAAGACACTGTACCTGTGTCCAGATGACATGTTCAGTAAAACACTGTACCTGTGTCCAGCTGACATGTTCAGTAAGACACTGTATCTGTGTCCAGCTGACATGTTCAGTAAGACACTGTACCTGTGTCCAGCTGACATGTTCAGTAAAACACTGTACCTGTGTCCAGCTGACATGTTCAGTAAGACACTGTTCCTGTGTCCAGCTGACATGTTCAGTAAGACACTGTACCTGTGTCCAGCTGACATGTTCAGTAAGACACTGTTCCTGTGTCCAGCTGACATGTTCAGTAAGACAATGTTCCTGTGTCCAGCTGACATGTTCAGTAAGACACTGTTCCTGTGTCAAGCTGACATGTTCAGTAAGACACTGTACCTGTGTCCAGCTGACATGTTCAGTAAGACACTGTTCCTGTGTCCAGCTGACATGTTCAGTAAGACAATGTTCCTGTGTCCAGCTGACATGTTCAGTAAGACAATGTTCCTGTGTCCAGCTGACATGTTCAGTAAGACACTGTATCTGTGTCCAGCTGACATGTTCAGTAAGACACTGTATCTGTGTCCAGCTGACATGTTCAGTAAGACACTGTTCCTGTGTCAAGCTGACATGTTCAGTAAGACACTGTTCCTGTGTCCAGCTGACATGTTCAGTAAAACACTGTTCCTGTGTCCAGATGACATGTTCAGTAAGACACTGTATCTGTGTCCAGCTGACATGTTCAGTAAGACACTGTATCTGTGTCCAGCTGACATGTTCAGTAAAACACTGTATCTGTGTCCAGCTGACATGTTCAGTAAGACACTGTTCCTGTGTCAAGCTGACATGTTCAGTAAGACACTGTATCTGTGTCCAGCTGACATGTTCAGTAAGACACTGTATCTGTGTCCAGATGACATGTTCAGTAAGACACTGTATCTGTGTCCAGCTGACATGTTCAGTAAGACACTGTATCTGTGTCCAGCTGACATGTTCAGTAAGACACTGTATCTGTGTCCAGCTGACATGTTCAGTAAGACACTGTATCTGTGTCCAGCTGACATGTTCAGTAAGACAACGTTCCTGTGTCAAGCTGACATGTTCAGTAAGACACTGTATCTGTGTCCAGATGACATGTTCAGTAAGACACTGTACCTGTGTCCAGATGACATGTTCAGTAAGACACTGTATCTGTGTCCAGCTGACATGTTCAGTAAGACACTGTTCCTGTGTCAAGCTGACATGTTCAGTAAGACACTGTATCTGTGTCCAGCTGACATGTTCAGTAAGACACTGTATCTGTGTCCAGCTGACATGTTCAGTAAGACACTGTATCTGTGTCCAGCTGACATGTTCAGTAAGACACTGTTCCTGTGTCCAGCTGACATGTTCAGTAAAACACTGTATCTGTGTCCAGCTGACATGTTCAGTAAGACACTGTACCTGTGTCCAGCTGACATGTTCAGTAAAACACTGTATCTGTGTCCAGCTGACATGTTCAGTAAGACACTGTATCTGTGTCAAGCTGACATGTTCTGTAAGACACTGTATCTGTGTCCAGATGACATGTTCAGTAAGACACTGTACCTGTGTCCAGCTGAGATGTTCAGTAAGACACTGTACCTGTGTCCAGATGACATGTTCAGTAAGACACTGTACCTGTGTCCAGATGACATGTTCAGTAAGACACTGTATCTGTGTCCAGCTGACATGTTCAGTAAGACACTGTTCCTGTGTCCAGCTGACATGTTCAGTAAGACACTGTACCTGTGTCCAGCTGACATGTTCAGTAAGACACTGTACCTGTGTCCAGCTGACATGTTCAGTAAGACACTGTACCTGTGTCCAGCTGACATGTTCAGTAAAACACTGTACCTGTGTCCAGCTGACATGTTCAGTAAGACACTGTACCTGTGTCCAGATGACATGTTCAGTAAAACACTGTACCTGTGTCCAGCTGACATGTTCAGTAAGACACTGTATCTGTGTCCAGCTGACATGTTCAGTAAGACACTGTACCTGTGTCCAGCTGACATGTTCAGTAAAACACTGTACCTGTGTCCAGCTGACATGTTCAGTAAGACACTGTTCCTGTGTCCAGCTGACATGTTCAGTAAGACACTGTTCCTGTGTCCAGCTGACATGTTCAGTAAGACAATGTTCCTGTGTCCAGCTGACATGTTCAGTAAGACACTGTTCCTGTGTCAAGCTGACATGTTCAGTAAGACACTGTACCTGTGTCCAGCTGACATGTTCAGTAAGACACTGTTCCTGTGTCCAGCTGACATGTTCAGTAAGACAATGTTCCTGTGTCCAGATGACATGTTCAGTAAGACAATGTATCTGTGTCCAGCTGACATGTTCAGTAAGACACTGTATCTGTGTCCAGCTGACATGTTCAGTAAGACACTGTTCCTGTGTCAAGCTGACATGTTCAGTAAGACACTGTTCCTGTGTCCAGCTGACATGTTCAGTAAAACACTGTTCCTGTGTCCAGATCACATGTTCAGTAAGACACTGTATCTGTGTCCAGCTGACATGTTCAGTAAGACACTGTATCTGTGTCCAGCTGACATGTTCAGTAAAACACTGTATCTGTGTCCAGCTGACATGTTCAGTAAGACACTGTTCCTGTGTCAAGCTGACATGTTCAGTAAGACACTGTATCTGTGTCCAGCTGACATGTTCAGTAAGACACTGTATCTGTGTCCAGATGACATGTTCAGTAAGACACTGTATCTGTGTCCAGCTGACATGTTCAGTAAGACACTGTATCTGTGT